TTCCGAGTGGGTGTGGACTTGAAGGCTCCTGCCACTATCCGTAGACTCTTGTTTTGAGCTTTTCCAAGCGCCTTGGTGATCCATCTCGTTGCTGGCTCACCCCCCTTCTCGGTGGGGATGTGAAAGGATGATGCGCCGTACGCTAGCGCTGACCGGATGCACTTTGAGTATACCTCTCGTGCTTTGGCCAGCCCTAGGCCCCACGTTTTTGCCGTAATCCTTGACAAAGCGTAGCTCTGTGTTTTCAGCTTCAAGAACCCTTTCAGACAACTTACGAATCTACGCCACGGTCGTCTATTACTCCCCAGCCAGCCAAGGGCGGCCGACAGGAAGATGTTGTCCCGAACCAGCTTGCCTGACGGTCAAGATTGCCAAAACCTGGTATGACGAGTGCACTCGGCCTCGGTCAGAGGGCGGTTTCCTCGTCAACTGCCCGAGCGACCAGTCCGCCCTACTTCTCCCACGGCGGGTGATAGATGTACGAAACGCCGATGGAGAGTCGGAGTCGTGCCGCCCACCACATCCTCCTCGCATCGTCGAACAGCCTCGCGACGGCTCAAATGCAAGCGTATCCGGTCACTACGTGACGCTCAGCTACTGCTGGGGCGGGACGCAAAAAGTCCGGCTCGAGAGAGCGAACTTAATAGCGCTTCAAGACGCGCGGTCTCCCCGTCGACGAGCTAGCCCTCACCATCAAGGATGTCATCCGGTTTACGCGGGCGATGGAGTTTCGTTACCTCTGTGTCGACGCGCTGTGCATTGTCCAGGACGACGACGGTGACAAGGCCGAGGAGCTGCCCCTTATGGGCACCTTCTATAAGCAGTCGGCCCTGACCATCGCCGCCGTGTCCGGCGACGACGCGGAAGCCGAGCTTGCGCCTTTAAGGCTGCGCGGGTCCTTTAGGCCGTGTCTCGTGTATTCCCGAGGTCTGTGATGACGGTACGGCAACGGCGACGACGATGGCGGTCATGACGAGGAGACTTGGATAAGAGGTCAACTCGCAAGGATGCCAAGCTCATGGGGAAAAAAAAAAGCTTGATTATTAGGTCCTGCCGATGAATATGGGAGGTATTATTACTTGTTATGTACAAGTTGATAGCTATCGCTGTTACCTGAACCGCAACAGGAGGTCATCTCTGTCTCACGACTCTTGGTGTAAGTGGCCTTGTGGAAGGTAGCAGCCCAAGTTTCCGGTAGAGAGATACCTGCATTGAACTGGCAGACTTTGGTCTTCACTATGAATAGCATTTTCAGAGACGATCGACTGTCCATGTAAATTTATCATTGATTAGCTTTACCCTCTGAGGCTTCTGAGCCAACTTGGATGGCGGTCACCATTGTGGAGGGTTAGGGTCCGATGATAGAGCACTTCCTTTGTGACTCCAAGCCCCACATCATGAGTCACCCGAAGTCGGCGAGTCGCCCAGCGGACGACTCAGCACAGTATCCGTAGCAGAAAAATCAAACTTGGCAAGATTCGATTGAAGTGCTCCAGACACCCTCCAACCGCCAAAGAGCACAAGGGTCGTCTATCAAGGCCAATTCGCAGGCAATTGGTGCCCCATTTTCTTTTTCCTTTTTGCTAACTGTCATCGGGACAATGGCTTCGCAGGTGAAGCTCGACATCCGGCCAACCGCGAGCGAGGCCCGCAGCCTGTTTGAGCAGACCAGCACAGCGTCTCCGAAACCGACCTTGCTGCCCGTCTGCATCACCGTGCCGTCGGATCTGCTGACGCCGTCGGCCATCTACCTGAAGCTGTCAAACGGGTATGCCATGGTGCATCCATTGCCAACCAGGTCAATTGGCTGATTTGAATAGCGCCACTGCCGAGTATTCATTCTTGCTTGAGAGTGCCACAAGAAGCACCGAGACGGTTGGGAGGTATAGCTTCATCGGAGCCAGTATGTGAATCAACAAGCTCACAGCACCGGACTCACCTGACTTGGACAGACCCTAGGAAGGTATTGGCAACCGGCCCTGGCTATGACGACGTCGGGGACCCGCTGCGGGCGCTCGAGGCCCAGCTCGGCCAGGACAGAGTAGTCAGCATCCCGTCACTCAAGCTGCCCCCTCTAACCGGCGGCGCCGTCGGTTACGTTTCATACGACTGCATCAAGTACTTTGAGCCCAAGACAAACCGCCCTCTCAAGGACAACCTGCACATCCCGGAGGCCCTGTTCATGCTCTTCGACACGATCGTCTCCTTCGACCATTTCTTCCAGGCTCTCACCATCATCACCCACATGCGCCTCCCCGAGGACGCCTCATCGTTCGAGTCGGCCTACGACGACGCCTGTGCCACCATCCGCTCCACCCTCGCTCTCATCCAGCAGCCCGAAACCCCCCTACCCTCGAAGAGTTTCGGGAACTCGACCACCTCGCAGCAATACTCCTCCAACGTCGGCCGCCACGGCTACGAGTCCTTCGTTACCGCGCTCAAATCCCACATCGTCAAGGGTGACATCATCCAAGCCGTGCCATCGCAGCGCTTCTCGCGCGGCACCTCGCTCCATCCCTTCAACATCTACCGCACTCTGCGCACCCTCAACCCCTCCCCATACCTCTTCTTCCTCTCCTGCGCCGACTTCCATATCGTCGGCGCCTCACCCGAATGCCTCATGAAGACAGACGGCTACGCCCCGCTGCCCATCGACACGCGCTTCGCCTACTCCGCCGCGGACCAGGCCCGCTCGCGGCCGCGCATCGTCAACCACGCCATCGCGGGCACCATCCGCCGTGGTCTCAATCCGGCCGAGGACGACGAGCTCGCCGCCGAGCTGCAGGCGAGCACCAAGGACCGGGCCGAGCACGTCATGCTGGTCGACCTGGCGCGCAACGACGTCAACCGCGTGTGTCACCCATCGACGGTCAAGGTCGACCGGTTGATGCGCATCGACAGGTTCAGCCACGTGCAGCATCTCACGAGCGAGGTTTCGGGCTTGTTGCGGCCGGAGTGTACCCGCTGGGACGCCATGCGGAGTATCTTCCCCGCGGGCACGGTGTCTGGGGCGCCCAAGATCAGGGCCATGGAGCTGATTTATGAGCTGGAGGGGGAGAAGCGCGGGATTTATGCTGGTGCTGCGGGCTGGTTTGCGTATGATGTTGTGCGGGTCGAGGTGGACAAGGACAGCGGGGAGACGAAGGTGGTGGTGGATGAGGGCCAGATGGATACGTGCATTGCCATTCGGACGATGCTGGTGAAAGGCGGGGTTGCGTATCTGCAGGCGGGCGGCGGGATTGTGTTTGATAGCGAGAAGACGGAGGAGTGGATGGAGACGATGAACAAGCTGGCGGCCAACTTGCGGTGCATCGAGCTGGCCGAGCAGTATTATGGGGATGGGCTCGGCACCAAGTCGGTGCAGGAGATCATTGACGAGGAAAGGCGCAAGGGGGACGAGTTTTATCGTCTGCACACGAACAATGCGGGGGCATAGGGGGATGCATGGCTATGTACCAAGTTGCTTGGGTCTGTTCCATTGGTACGAAGGCCTGCGACGACTTGGATTTTGCATTGCTTTTCTGCCTCCTCTTGACAGCTTCGCGCCGTTGGCTAGAAGTCTTTGTCCTGCGTCCGTCGAGTTTACTGGTTCTCTCTACGGAGTACTTTGTTGAGGTTGATCGGCGTCCAGACACACCAGAAGTCACTGATAACCTGACTGATATACCGGCGCATCCCTGGTAGGCTGGTCGGGTACAGAACATTACAACCCCTTCCAGCGCGAACCAAGACAACCTGCCCATCAAATAATCCGCTCATCTCACTCCATGATCCAAGTACATCCTACGCACTTGTAGTGTCTGATGCTTCCCCTGAGACCGGCCGTTCGGGCTGCTCAGCAACCTTCACCCTAAACCCATGCTTGACTCCATCCCACATACACCAGCTCAATTATCATCACCATAGCTCCCACCGTCCTTGCTGTCGGTGCGACGGCTAACGTCGCACGAAGCGTTGTCGAGACGCTGCTTACATTGTTGAAAGCCAGCAACACTTTGTCTGGCCATCGAGTCATCGCCCTCACACGTTCTCTCAACGACCCCGTGGCCCAGCACCTCGCCTCAATTCCCGGCGTGCAGGTTCTGGAAAGGAACTGGATCGACATCACGGCCGACTGGTTGCGCGCGCATGAGGTCGTCAGAGCCCTTCATCGCATCACACGCCCAGCCAAACCAGTTCCCCGAGGAATCGGCCTTCCACCTGGCGGTTCTCAAGGCCGGCGTGCAGTACGTCGTACGCATCTCTATGACCGCCCAAAATGTCCGGCCGGACTGCCCCGCCTACTATCCGCGCACGCACTGGGCTATCGAGGCGCTCCTGCAGCTCGGTCCTGGTCGAGGCCCTGCAGTGGGCGTCGCTGCAGTCAAACGTCTTCACCAATTCTTGCCCGCAGCCGCCGCTGAGCTGATAATCAGTACCGCAAGACGGGGAAACAGCACACGCCCCGGTTGTCGGTACCACAGGACGTGCAGGCCGCGCCCATCGACCCGGACGAGGTCGGCATCGTTGCGGCCCACCTGCTGTCTCAGGCCGACACTTCTCGGCACAACAAGGCCAATTATGCGCTGAACGGGCCCGAGGACGTCACGGGGGAGCATATCATGTGGAGGGTGGAGCAGTACATCGGCACAAGGGTGGAGAGCGTCGTCTACAAGGACATGTCGCTCGCCGATGGCTGGGCCAAGGCAGCTGGCTTACCGGCAAACACCATCTCGACCCAACAGCAGGCTTCGAAAGAACCCACGTGGGCTGGGAAGTGCACGGCATTCACGACTAGCAATGAATTGTTGGAGCTCGCGGCTCCCACTCGGACGGCTGTTGATGCATTGAGGGCGCTCGTGGGAGAGTGATGTGGCACTTGTTAACATGTCATGTGAGGACCTTGAACTTGGACTGGGACGGGTGGGGTACGGCCAGTATCTGTTGTAACTGTAAATAGGTGAACTGTATCCAGCAGGAGGTTGCACAGGAACAAACAGAGTGGGAGAGGTTGTTCAAGTCTCTTTTAGGTATGTTAGCAGAAACGGCTGAAGGGACTCGTGAAATGAAGGTAGTTGTTCTGCATGATCAACACCTCGAGAATCTGTTCTTCCGCCCTTGACATGTCACATCTCATCAAAACTCACAAATCATTGAGGGCAGTATCGGCGAAATAAAACGAGTGATGGAAACTCCTACAGCTTTTTTCTGAGACAGCGCTGGAGAGGATGGATAGGCACTGGCGGATTGGTTAGCTGAGGTATGCTCGAAGTCAAGTACTTTGGATATGAAGGTCTCAGTCATACTGTCATATTTCGGAGGATGCTATTAGAACGGGTTCTCAACCGCTCAGTGTTACCACCTTGGATGACTCAATCAAATCTATTGTTAGTCCGCACGGAAGCCTCGTTGGAAACTGAATGAGGAGGGCAGGATGACCATACGGAGCTAGGTCCGTTGCAGACGGAGTATGTCGATGGCTGGTCTGGAGCCTCGCACAACCCTATCGGGATTCGAGGATTCACGTAAGGAGCTCACCCACATCCGAAACACGCCCCTCGGGCTCGGCGAACAAGCCACGGCTGGCCCTGACTCGCTCAAATTCTGCGCCCGTGACCCGCCTCCAAGAGGATGATAGGTGGTAGTAGCTGGTGTGGCGTCCGAAATCTGTCTCTGTGACCCTTCAACAAAATGATAGAGCCGGAGGAGATAGCTCAGAGCATGTCGAGAAGGGTGCCGCAGCAACATTATAAATGAGCATACGGTAGTCTCCCCTTAGGGACAAACACGCATGCAACGGACATTCTGCATTGATCCAGCGTATCAACGGGACTTTGTCCGAGCAGTCAATCTCCTATTATCCATACCTTATCCAGGCTTGCTGCACCAGAAGCCGGATGGCGGGAAGCAGCTACTCCGCCAGTCGCTTGGATGAATCATGCTGCTGGGGTCATACCGCTGAGGAACGACTTGGGCTCGTGGCAAAGGGGCTGGCTGACCACGATGAAATCCACAACAAGCTTCCCGGTCTCCATGCCCTGCTCAGGGACTACATTGATCCTGACATCCCGGTCTCCTGCGCCGACTTCCACCGACGTCTTCTCCGCGTCTTCCGTGACTCAGACCATGACTTTGCATATCAAGACGGTCTGGCGAAGCTGTCACCGGATGAGAAGGAGAGGATCGAGGGCTTCGTGGCCGAGGGCAAGCCCCTGGACGAGGTCTCGCGTGACTTCGACCTATGCGTGAGCCTTGGAGTTCGCGAGTATCTAGAGCACCTCATTGGCATGGACTTTGCCATGATCTCGTCCTCCTCGGGTGTCCAAGTCTTCACGAACAGGCTCACTGGCCAGCAACCGGTTCCGACAGAGGTTGAGGGTCTCAGCGGGAGGCGCCGGTTCGACTGGCTGAAAGACAAGGACAACTTGTTTCGCGCATTCCTCCACCGACTAAAGGACTTGTTCACCGGCCATCTGATCGAGCACAATGTTGTGGTAAGTGGATCGGGAACTCGCAAAGAAAGAGAGACTGATGGGTCCAAAGGTGTACCAGGACATCAAGTTCGAGAACTGGGGCCTCGACATCGACTATGTCCCTCGCTACACCTGCATCCCCAACTCAGTTGCCAGCGTGCAGCGGATCGTCAAGTACGCCAAGAAACACAATATGCGCGTCCGCTGTGCCGGGTACCGCCACTCGTGGGCACCCATCTATGGCGACCACGGGCAGATCACCATCTCGCTGGTCAACCTGGCCGAAGCCACCAAACTTCCCAATTTCACCGCCCTCTCCAAGCTTCTGCCGGAGTGGCTCCTCCACCGAAACGGACTCCAGACCATCGAGGTCGTCTCCGGCAAGCCCCGAGTGGAGGGCAATGCTCTGGTGCGCGTGGGAGCCAGCACCACCAACGAACAACTGCGGCGCTGGTGCGTCGAGAATAACAAGTACACGTACCCGCTGAACGTGATCATGGTCGAGATGACGCTGGGCGGCAGCAACGCGCCCATCTGCCACGGTGCCGGCCGCAGGCACCAGACGCTGAGCGACCTCGTCCGCAAGGTCGAGTACGTCGACTGCAACGGCCGGCTCCAGGTCGTCACCGACCCGCACCACCTCCGCGCCGCGGCCGGCTGCTTTGGCCTGATGGGCGTCATCACACACCTCACGCTAGAATTCGCGCCCATGACCTACGCCCTGATGCAACCCAAGAAACTCCCCGTGGTCCGCGCCATCCCGCCCCCGGCCGACCTCCCCGAATCCGCCATCCCGCCCGCCCTCCGCATGCCAAACCTCACCCCAGCCGACCGGGCCTCCGACCTCGCCCGGTTCAAGGACATGGCCGCCAACTGGTACTACTCGGAATGGTTCTGGTTCCCCTACGCCGACCAATGCTGGGTGAACTGCTGGAACAACACGACCTCCCCTGAGGGCGCCGAGGAATACCCCTCACCAACGCAGACCTTTCTCATGTTCCTCTCCCAGTTCACCACCAATGTGCTGCAGAACGCGCCGGTACTCACCGAGCTGATCCAGACCCTCCACCTGTCCGAAGCCGCCGTGACGCTGCTCTCCGAGGCCGCCATGCTCGCCCTCCCGGAATTTGACTACCCTCCGGGCCTAAAAACCTACCTGCCCAACGCGCTGCACTTCCAGCGCGGCATCCAAAACGTCAGGGTGCTCAACGTCGAGGTAGCCATCGCCTTGCCTCCAGTTCCTGCGGCGGCATCATCAACACCCCGGGCTGATGTGTCGGGGGGGAAACCTCAGCAGCAGCAGCCGGACTGGGAAGTCGTGCAGCGGGCGTGGTGGCACGCCATCCTGACATGCTACCGGCACAGCCGGACCGCGCCGCAGAGCATGCCGCTCGAGATGCGCATCACGGGCGGGAGCGAGATGCTCATGGCGCCGCAGCGCGGAAACGGGCTGGGAACGTGCGCCATCGAGGTGCTGACCCTCGAGGCCGCGCGGGAGTTGTGGCTGCCGTATGCCGAGGAGGTGGTGGACGGCTGGTTGCGCCTAAGGGATTCTGAGGGAAAGAGGGTCAAAGTCAGGCCGCATTGGGCGAAGCAGTGGATGGGGCTCAAGGTCGGGGAGGGTGGTGGGAGGCAGTGGGCCGAGCAGTTGAAGGAGGAGTACGAAAAGGAGCGGCGCGAGTTTTTGGGTGTGCTAGGGGAGATTGGGAAGAGGCATGGCTGGGGACTGCAGGATCTGCGGAGGAGGTTTGGAAATGAGTTCTTGGATTGGTTCTATTTTGAGGATTGATGTCAGTGATGAAGACCTAGAGTGAGTGGTGGACTTTGCAGGAGAGGGAGGCAGGGCCAGTGTGCTGGTCGGCGACGTGCTGTTTTGAGTCCCAGGGTTCTTCCATCTTTTGCAGTTTCGGACACACCTTAAGGGGAGAGGAATATATCGTCAGAGCCGCCAAAGACGGTGCCAGGGGGGTTATAAACCCTCTGCGGTCCACTGCTGATGAGGTTCGATATTGGCAACATGCCGCTTTCTCTAGCTTTCTGTTTAGATGAACCTCCTCGAGAACTCGACCAAGGCCATGATGGCCATGGCCTGCCCGTACGGCATGCTCGTCACCGGAATATCCTTGTAATGCTGCAGGTCCCTTCCCATGCCCGTCCCAAACGACGTGTTGAGCAGCTCGCCGTCCTCGCTGATATTCGCCAGGACCCCCTTGACGGCCTTGACAGCCATGTCCTCAAACTCGGTTCCAAGATACCTCTTCCTCTGGCCCTTGAGCGCGCCAAACGCGAAACCGGCCGTGGCACTCGCCTCCAAATACGACCCCTCCTCCTCACTCACATCCAGCAACGTCCGCCACAGCCCTGTCGACGGCTCCTGCAGCGGCCTCAGCGCCTCGCACTGCGCAAGCAGCGTGCTCTTGAGAAACTCCTCCAGCGCCACATCACGCACGCCGCCTTCCCTCAACAGCTCCAGAAACTCCGGAATCGCAATCGTCAACCAGCTATTCCCCCTTGCCCACCTCGCCTCGGCAAAATTGTGCCCGCCAGCCCCCGTCGCGTTGAACTCCCACCCGTGGAAGAACAATCCGGTCTTGGCGTCAAACAGGTACTGCACGTGCAGCAGGAACTGGCGCTTCGCCTCGTCGACGTAGTGCGGCCGGTTCAGGACCAGCCCGATCTTAGCCAGTGGCAGCACCGTCATCATGAGCGTGTCGTCCCACAGCTGCTGCTCGTTGAGCTCCAGGTACGTCTCGTGCCGCATGCCGCCGTGCTTGGTCCGCTTCAGGTCGTGGTACGCCCACTCGGCCCAGGAGTCGAGCCAGGGGAGGTAGGCCGCGTTGTGGGTTTTCTCGTAGACGCAGGCGAGCGTCAAGAAGACGGACATGGTGTTGATGTTTTTGGTGGTGCCGCCCGCGGCGAAGCGGGAGGCGAACCAGGCCTCAATGATGGCAAGGTGGGCGGGTGACTGTGTGAGTGTGTAGTACTGCCAGATGCCGTACAGCCCGATGCCGTGCGTCCATTCCCAGTCGTCCCAGCCCTTAGTGTCAATGACCCGCCCGTCGGGCAAGGTGAGGAGGAATTCGCCTGTCTTGTCGCGGATGTTGACCATGGCCGAGATTAAGAGCTCGATCTTCTGATGGACCTCCGAAGAGGTGATGCCATGGTGTTCGGTTGGCATCTGGGCGATGAGGAGAAGGGGGTCTGATGATCGGGCGACGTAGGGAAGGTGCAAGGCTTCGGGTGGCTTTCGAATCCTGAAGACTGGGATACTCCCTTTGGTGTTGTCGACCTGAATATCGCGGCTGTTTGATCCCAGGAACTGTTATGGCACTCAGAAAGGAAAGGCCTGAATCCCCCTGCCGGATGTAACGCGTTTAAGAAGCCATACCCGGTTCTTGGCCCTTGCTTGGTGGAGAATCTCCCCATGAACCAACCAGGCGGTCGCTGTGGAGATAGTAGTGCTCGGTGTCAAATTCAACCGAGAGAATGGAGCACGGCTCGGTCGAACAGAATGCGAGAGAGACGACGTGGTTTAGAGCGGTAATGGGAGGATCTCCATGGTCTGGTTTGTTAGTGGGTCTTCTGAGCTCCCACTCGTCCGGCAATCACTGGATCCTTGGGTGGCAATATCGAGCGGAGAAAGCTTCCTGAACGGTCCAAGAAGGCGGTGAAGCTCGGGGTAAATTCAGTCCACGCGGAGGCGGATGAACCGAGCCCCAACTACCCCATCCCCAGTTCATATCTGTGGAGAAGTTTGCTGATTCCGGGGCCCCATGGGGAGTCTGGGGTAGGTGGGTGCGTTTAAAGCCATCGACTTTCGTCTTCACCGCTGCCATTGTGCACGCAGGAAGGGAAGCCTTTCTCCTGTTCATTCGTCCAAGGGTCGAGTCATTTCTCTTCCGCGTTTCCGTTGTGCTTTGCCCATCACACCACCTAGTTGGTTCACCATCAGTCGACATGGTCAACGATACACACCGCGACGCGGTAGCCCCGGCCGGCCTCCCCGAGACGGCCGGCGACCACAAGACCGACCTTGTCGAGGCTGAACGGGCGCAGACGCCCGACCTCGTGAAGTCCGGGCAGAGATACGACAGGATGGACAAGGAGCTCGCCCAATACGTGGCCGAAGGCCGCATCCACATCTCTGAGGAAGAAAACACGCGCCTGCGCCGCCTTGTCGACAAGAGGATCCTGGCCATCATGGTCACAACCTACTTCTTGCAGGCCATCGACAAAGGGACCTTGAGCTTTGCGTCTATCATGGGCATTGTCCAAGACACTAACCTCCAGGGGCAAGAGGTGTGTTCCCTCTCCTCTTCCGCCTTACCCCTTCTAGTCTCTAATGATGATAACCCCTGACTAACTTCTGCCCGTAGTACCAATGGCTCACGACCTGCATCTACATCGCTATCCTGATCGTCGAGTACCCGCAAAACTACATCATCGCGCGCGTGCCCATCGCCAAGTACCTCTCCTTCTCCATCATCGCCTGGGGTACGGTGCTCGCCTGCACGGCGGCCTGCACGACCTTTGCTGGGCTCGTGACGGTACGCACACTCCTGGGCATCTTCGAGTCGGTCTGCCAGCCGGCCTTTGTCATCATCTCGTCGACATGGTACAAACGCGAGGAGCAGGCGTCGCGCGTGACGTACTGGTACATGATGAACGGCGCTCAGCAGATGGTCGGCGGCCTGCTGGCCTACTGCTTCTCGCTCATCACGACGGGCCCGCTCAAGTCGTGGCAGTGGCTGTTCCTCTCCTACGGCGTCATCTCGGTCATCTACGGCGTCTTCGTCGGCTGGTGGATGCCCGACTCGCCCATGCGCGCCAAGTGCTTCTCCGAGGAGGACAAGAGGCTGATGGTCGAGCGGGTGCGGTCCAACCAGACGGGCATTCAGAACAGGCAGTTCAAGAAGGAGCAGGTCTGGGAGGCGCTCAAGGATCCCCAGGCCTGGGGCTACGCGCTGATCCAGCTGTGCACCACGCTGCCGACGAGCGGGCTCGGCAGCTTCCAGGGCATCATCATCAAGAGCTTCGGCTTCACCACGCTGCAGACGCAGTTGCTGGCCATGGTGCTCGGCGCCTACATCATCATCGTGCTGTTGGGCAGCTCGTGGCTGGTCAAGAAGACGAACCAGAACTTGTTGGTCATGCTGGGCTTCTGTATTCCGTACGTGGCCACCACCCTTTCCCCTACCCGTCACCACGGAAAGATGTCGCTAACTGGCTCTTAGCTCTTTTATCGGGACAGCTCTTCTCATGACGGTAAGTGATAACATTTCCCTGTGTTTGTGGACTGTTTATCCTTGCCATTATATCACTGGCTTGGGAGCACGCCGATGGCCCCCGAGCTTGCGCATTAGCTCTCAACCTCCAAGACAGCAAGTTCCCAGCTGACATTGTTGGTAGATCCCTCCCGACACATATTCCCGCAAGGTCGGCCTCTGCATCTGCTACTACATCACGCTTTCCTTCTGGTCCGCCCAGACGCTCGCCCTGTCCATGCTCTCGCGCAACGTCGCCGGGCAGACCAAGAAGAGCGTTGCCGTCGCCCTCAACTTCATCATCTGGTCCACCGGCAACGCCATTGGTAAGCTATCTACCGTCATCATTCCTTCATGCATCAAACGCGCACGCAGACTGACATGTTTCCTCCTTTCCAGGCCCTCAGGTCTTCCTCAGCTGGGACGCGCCCCGCTACTTCATCGCCTTCGCCACGCATCTCGGATGCTACTGCCTGCTGGTCATTGTCATCATCGGCCTGAGGTTCTATCTGGTGGCTCAGAACAAGAAGCGGGACGCCCTCGCGGCGGCTGGTGTCCACGAGGCCAAGGACGAGAACATGACGCACGCATTTGAGGACCTGACGGATAAGGAGAACCCGAACTTCCGGTATGTGTATTAAGGTAGCAAGCGAGAGTTTAGGTCATGTCGAGGCTGGACCTGAAATTTAACGCGGTATCAAGCGTCTTACATCAGATAAGGTCCTCTGCGCGGATGGAACTGGTCGGGCGCTCTCAACTTGTGCTGTGCCGTTCGGCCTGTTTCCAGAACCAGAATACACTGACCTAAGGTATGGTATGCCAACCTTCAACTAACCTTCCGATGATGCCATGGCGCAATCTCAGGGTTTATGGCTTGCCGAATACGAGTGAATGCTTCACACCACCCTCTTCCGTGTTACTGCATCAATCAGCAACTTGTTTACACAGGAAGCTCAGTACACACATGGACCCGGCAGTTCGGATACGCAATGGACGGCACAATGCTTGCTAGACTTGTGGTGCCCAGGCCAACACGCAGTCAACCTAGGAGAGGCAGGTAAGGTAGGATGTGACGATGCAACTCGCCGAGCCCAGCTGTGGCAGCAACCCTGTTTTTGTCCAGCACTTGCTCTATTTCGATCCTTGGCCACCGTTATTGCTGATCCAAAACCTGATAGAGAAACAGAGTTGCCCAAATCACACTGCTTGGGTTGCATCCGTTCTGCCAGAGCCCAATCCGCTCGGCCCCTATTCTAAGAAAACCAGCAATCTTGACTGGACCACCACGATGAGAATACCATGTTTGGCCCTGCCGCTCGGACGAGCTGAAGCTCGAAGCTACCTTGAACAGTGGTGAACGCAGGTCGGGCGGCTGTCCGCCTTCAACGGCTGGTAGCGAGGTGTTGGCATACGATGTAGTTGGCTGAAGGCACGTCCCGCATCTGCAAGGCAACTTGACGGCTCGGCGGCTCCTGCATGCAATGTGCAGAACCCAGTTTGACGTGCAGCTGCCGTGCGTCAATCAAGGCGAGACATGTCATCGATGTGGGCATCAACACCAAAACGGCATCGCCAAGTTGTGCGGGCTGAAGGCCGCAAAGTCCCATGCAGTGAGTTGTAGTATTGGCGTCCAGCTACCGGCAAGTCTAGCCCTGAAGCAGCCAAATTCGGCGGCATGGCAAGGGAAATGGACCTGTGGCTGTGGCCGTCGTTTCTGTCTCTACCCGGCTTCATGAAATGTGAGGGGAATGATGAGTATAAAAGCCCGTCTGCGCGACGTCCAACCCTCACAGAGTCCCACAGTTCACCTTCCGAGATCAGACACGTCCATCATTGGACCCCTCGCCCCCACAGCCTGAGGATTTGAATTCACCGAGTGTTCTACCCTGTCTCGCCTTTCAGGGATCAAGATGTTGTCTGTCCGCATAGCGCCTCTCCTCCCGCTCTTTCTCTGGGCTGTCTCTTCGGTGTCAGCCGACACCTGCTCGGAAGTGCGGGACAACACCGACATTGAGGTGTCTTCTCCCCTTCAGCTCGCCTACATTGACGAGCAGACCGACTACTGGTCCGCGTCCTGCAGTGCCCTGAAGCCCTCTTGCATAATCTTTCCCAGGTCTGCCGCCGAGGTTGCAGCAGTCCTCCGCGTCCTCAACACCAACAATGAGAAGTTCGCAGTCAAGTCTGGCGGCCACAGCCCCAACAACTACTACGCCAGCATTGACGGCGGGCCGCTCATCTCGACCCAGAGGATGGATCACGTCTTACTTGATCCGACCACTGGGGTGATCGATGTCGGCCCGGGCAACCGCCTCGACGAGGTAGCCAAGAAACTCCACGGCACCGGCTGGACCTTTGTCGGCGGGCGCATCGGCAACACGGGCGTCGGCGGGCTCATGCTCGGCGGCGGGCTCTCGTACATGTCAGCGCAGTACGGCTGGTCAGCCTCCTCCGCCATCTCGTACGAAGTCGTCCTCGCCAACGGCACCATCGTCACAGCCTCCGACACCTCCCACCCCGACCTCTTCGTCGCCCTCAAAGGCGGCGGCAACAACTTCGGCGTCGTGACCAGCTATAAACTGCAAGCGCACCCGCAGGGCCAAATCTACGGCGGCAACCTAATCTTCCTCCGCACGCCGGACCTCGACGCCAAGATCCTCCGCGCCGTCCGCGACTTCACCGAGTACAACACCGACGACAAGGCCGCCATCATCGTCACAGCCGAGCGCACCACCGTTAACCTGGTCGACAGCTGGATCCTGTTCCTCTTCTACGACGGGCCCGAGTCCGCCGTGCCCCCGGGAACCTTCGCCAACTTCACCTCGCTCCAGCCCCTCCTGGCCAACACCGTCCGCACCCGCACCTACGCCGACATGATGGCCGAGAGCAACTGGGTTGTGCTGAAGGGGCTGCAGGTGCAGATCGGCACGGAGTCGGTGCCGCTGCCGGCTGCGGTGGATGCAGATGAGGTGCTGGTCGAGGGGATTCACGCGCACTGGCGGAACGTTACCGACAGCGCGCTGCTGGTGCCGGGCATGGTGGCGTCGGTTGCGTACATGCCTTTTCCGAAGAGGATTGCGCAGGCCGCGAGGGAGAGGGGGCAGGATCTGCTGGATGTTGATCCCGATGCGGACAGGTTGATTGTGGAGTTGGATTACATCTTTTTGTCGCCGACAGATTATAGTAAGATGGAAGGGAAGATGGTTGAGTCGTATAGCGGGATCAGGGAGAGAGTGGTTGAGTGGCAGGCCGAGGGGAAGCTGAGGAATGTGTACTTGCCGCTGTTTATGAACTATGGCTTCTATCGACAGGATTATTGGGGCAGGCTCAAGGCGGCGAGCCGGCAGTTGGCGAGGGAGGTCGCTGAGAGGGTTGATCCGGCTGGCCTGTTTCGGACGAGGACCGGAGGGTGGAAGCCCTAGGTTTCGGGTCTCCTCTGGCTGTCTGCACTACCTACCTGAATCACGCGGTATTGAGGTTTGAACACACTAAGGCACTTACCTTCTGTTATCATGTCTAACATATATCAGAAAAAACCATACAAATCAACATCATTTGTCTTTGATAATCTTGATTAAGCCCCCGGCAACTGGGCACCATTGGCACTGACCGCCGGCCTCCTTGCTTCTGTAAGGTACAATACATCCCGTGTCTGAGTTAAGTTCGCCAGGGAAGCTCAGGCTGCGCTCAACAAGGACTTATAGAACGGTTCACCTCCATGATGTCAAGGAAGTGGGGAAGGTTCTTTGCGTTCTTAGTTGCTTCTCATGCAGCTGTTCGGGCTTGATGTGATATTGAGATATCTGCGTATCTTACACTGCGTAGCTGACCTGTGAGCAACATGGGTGCGGAGAGATGTGTTGGAAGTGTTGGCACTTGAAACTCGGAAACTGGGTTGTCGGTGTCGTACCCTAGTCAGGGGTAATACACAGCTGTTAAATAAGGCCTGGGAGACACCCAGGTAACCTGAGGAAGAGTAAACTCAATTGACAGATTCTGGGCTGGTCCTAAGCACTCGAAAACTTCACTGTTTTCACGGCTCCCATAAAGCGTGTCACCGTGGAATCGTGGCTGTTGGCTTTCCAACAAGATGATTGGCTGAACTGTTTGCTTGTGCGGTGAAGTAACTACTAAGTAGTTACTATTATAATTGCTCCTTAACTAATATTATTGCAGTGTAGTTGAAGATAGTTGTTACAGAGTAGCTAGATGTAGGTAACTCACTTATATGAGTCACTCGCTTATTATATACGTTTGGGCTGAGTTGTATAGGTGTTGAATCGTGCCTGCCCACTGTTGTTTTTTAAGACAGTTGATAGGTTAGTTTCCTATTGTATATTCCCATGATATAGTTATTTCTGCGGGAATTGACCATTATTACCTTACTTCCTCAATCCCGTCTGTTTTTTTTCAAGCAAGAAGCATCTCCCAGCATAGGCATCCCATCAAAACTACTTCACGAGCACATGGCCTGAGATGTTTCTTCCCTTCCACGTTGATCCCCATTCTCACCCGAGGCTTCATGAGGCAATCTTACAAGACTCCAATGTTATTACAACAGTCTTTGTCGACCAGCATGGCATCATTGGCCGCTCGCGCAAAAATACGAAGAAGAGCGACTCGAGTCCCAGTCCCGGAAATGATCAGATAGACACGGACTGTCGCACGATATATACCCTGGCATGCGTACCTAGAGCCCATAGGGTGTGCTTATGCCGGCTGAAAACAAAACTTGATTCATCACCAATCCACCCCTCGGAACGCTGCAACATCAAGGATTCGTGGCAAGACATGTCGGGTTTCCCTCTCGGGCACTCTTTCACAGCTCGGGACCGGCCTATGGTGCCAGGTAATCATCGAAAGGGTCGCTCAGCTGCATTTCCTGCATGCGTCGATCTCAAACTCGTCAACAAGCATGGGTATTAGGGCTCTCAATGTAGGCCCAAGGGCCAAGATACGCAACAGGTCTTGAGAGACATTGGCAGAACGGAAAGTAGCAACTCCCGTCATCCATAGGCTTAATACCGATTCCCGAGAGTTCAACGAATACCTTTCAGTTTTGTGGCGTTTCTCCAAGATGCAGCTTGCCGTGGGCCGTCCTGACTGCCCACTCTTAGCGTTCCGCTGGCACAGATTTATTGAGATACTGCATCAGGAATAAGACATTTCAGTCAGCCTCTTTCCACCGATGTGTCACCCGGAGTCCGCACTTGGGGAAGTCCCGGCGTTCAGGCACCTATCTGCCCGACTGGTTGATCTGATTGACCGTGTCCAGTTCGACATAATTGACATAAAAGGACAACAGCTCGACGGCGCGGGCACTTTTCGAGATTAACACCTATCGCATAACTAAGGTAATCACCACCGAGACAATTCATTCATAAGATGCGCTTCGCCAGTTCCCTCGCTCTCCTCCCCCTGGCAGGCCTCGGCCTCGCTATGCCTGTCGCCTCCCCACAGATTCCTGGCAATCTGGCTGGCCCTCTGCTTAATTCTCTTCAGCTCCTTGGGCTCAGCCCCCGGGATGAAAAGCATAATGCCTACGCCGTGGCCCGCGGAGTTCTCCCCGGAGATGATCTCGACGATGTCGCGGTGGGCGTCTCTACACGCCGGGATTTCCAAGTCGCCAACGGTGAAGACGATGAGGTTAAGAGGGCGGTCCGCGATCGCGATCATGGCGGCAAAGACGGTGAGCACGGAGACGAGGAGGTTGAGGAGGACGACGGGGACGAGGAAGATGACGAAGACGAGGAAGATGACGAAGACGAGGAGGACGCGGAGGACGAAGGTCACAGCGAGGATGGCCAAGAGCCCGAGGACCAAGACAATCAAGAACAGCAAGAAGGCCACGGCAAATCCAAATCCAAGGGCAAAGGAAAGGGCAAGGGCCAGGGCGCCAAGAAGGACAAAGGCAAAGGCAAATCCGACGACGGCGACTCGGACTCCAAGTGCCACGCCCCCCGCGAAGTGCCACGCCGCCCGCCACGCCACGCCCCTTGCCTGAATCCCAACTCCGCCAACGATCTCGTGGCCGCCTACGTGCGCATGATCTCCGGCTGGAACGACGCCGACGCCAAATACCTTGCCGACGACTTCCGCGACACCTCTGACAGCATTAACATCCTGGCCGGCATCCCGCTTGGCGGCCCGACCTTCCCGACCAAGCAAGCCTTCATTGACCACCAGCACACTCAGGTACCTTACCTCCCTTCCCGTCTCTTCCTCGTCACTCACTCCCCCACACCAGAATTCAGATTAAGGTACCTTACTAATGCATGACCAAAACAGCCCGACAACCTCCCGCTGGTGGTAACGCACAAGTCGCCCTTTGACTGCGACGAGATCACACTCATCTGGACGGCCACCTTCGGTGTCGCGCAGAAGCCGGTCCGTGGCATCACCATCCTCGGCGTGACTAAGGAGAAGGGTTACTGGCAGATCAAGAGCGTCGACGTCGAGTTCAACAATGTTGCTTACCTCGAGAACATTGGCGGATTGTGGGCCATGCCTGGCCAGCAGCAGTAGAGCCTCCGTCTGCTACTCTCATTACCCACTGACCTTACAAACATGAGAATCTGACCGAAATCGACCGGGCTATCTCGCGAGGATCGTTGTTTGTGCGACGCGGAACTCCGGCGGTGGGGTGAAACAGTCTGGGATGAGAGACATGGGGGGAAAAAGCGGTGGATGCGCAAGAGCTTGAGCGGTCATCTTTGATATTGACCAATAACTTTAATCGTGGAGTTTACCTTCTGGGGTCCAGCTTCAAGACTGTGAGTCTAGATCTCTCTTGATCAAATATACGCAATCTAGCCTGTCCCATCAAGTACTAATAAGGACATGCGCTTGAACTGGACTATGCATTACTAGGTCAGGTAGGTACTGAACTAGCATACACAGGTCCCAGATTATCACCAGGTAGTGATGAACGGGAATTTTAGGCGCGCAAAGCGGGAGCTTGAAAGCTCAAACAACTCCAGGACCCGACTTAGATCCTAGACGTCCATTCTCGTCGCACCATTTCACGCTCTTTGTCCCCTTGACCTTATTTCAGTCGGAGGCTTCCTCAAAATCGGATTCAGCAGCCGCCTCGGCATCGGGTTCAGCGGCCGCGTCGACTTGCGACTGAGAACCTCCTCCTCTTACCAGTCCCTGAGTCGATTGAATAAGGCAAGACCCCAAAAGATCTGCGCAAGGTAAGGTAGATAGATATGTTAGCAACGTCTTCTCTCAACAACGACTCTTTGTATGGGATGCCTTACTTGCGCCGCAATCGGTGCGGAATCGGGCGACGAAACAATTCCTGTCAGGGAGATACACCCAGGAACTTTAAAAGCCGTCGGTCAGATCAGAATCAGTCTTTTCGCTGTCCACAGCCATTGAAGATGATGGGGCATCCAGTTACCTGTCGCCATCCGCCCTTTCCCCCTGCCGCCAGATGCATGAAAACTCCCGCCTCTCGCGGTTGCGAATCTCGGTGACAATCTCGCATCCTCTGCAGGGACAGGAACGGCACAGGCCGTTTCCTGCGCCGACAATCCTGCAAGAGAGAGCGGCGGCAGCGCTGACGAGAGAGGCAAGGACAAGGAAACGCATTTTGACGTCTGCTGTTCCGGTGCAGACGAACTGATTCGGGAAATATTGATGCAATAATACTGCAAGTGCTATGGGCGTAGCATGTAATGAAGCTTCAAAGGTGAACGAATTCTGTACGAGGTAAACGCAGCGGCATACCTTCATGTAAAGAATGATGCCCCCCTGCTGCTTACCATCGTCTACCTCCTCGTCCTTAGGGTTCGTCATAAAGACATAACTCTTGTACAATGACGACGGAATCATGACCGAATGTCCCCACCAGTGAAGGAGATGTTCTGCCTTCATCTCATCCTGTTCGGTGTGTTCCTCCGGCGTGACACGAATCACAATCGCAACCAACCTAGGTAGCGTGACGGCAGCAATTACGGCAGTGGTGCTTCTGTGGCGAATAGCCAAGGTGGAAAGAGCGAGGGGAATAGCAACGGGAACGGATGGAATACGAAGGATACAGCTGAGGAGCTGCTTAAGGTGAAAATGGATACCTCGTCGACTTCTGTCTCTAGCAACAAAGTCTCTAGGTAAGTAAGGAACTGTAGGTAACGTGGTCCAGCCAAATGAAGAAACGAAGGTCGGCCCAATGCCGTGGAAGACAACAAGGCCGCGCGGGCAGCTTGACCTTGAATCAACATTACATCTTTTCGTCGAATCTTCTTCAAGCTCTCCTTCTTCTTCCTTGTCGGCCCCTGCACGATCCCCCAAACGGACTTCCCTGCTGAGGAATCCACGATGTGGTAGCAGGCGCTGCACTTGTGACAACCGGAGCAGCCTGCGTGGCAGTCTCCGATGAGACAGGGGCGGTCGAAGTGCTTACGAGGGGCGTACTTTGCTGCGAAGCCGACGATGCGGTAGCAGTTGCGGGGTTGGTCGTGGTTGTCGAGAACTTGGTGTCTTCAGAGCTTTTCTCACCGCTGAAATGAGGTGCCGATGAGGTAGCAGCAGGAACCGGAGAAGTAGTCGTCGACGGGCTGCTGCTGCCAGACCGACTGCTCGACTGCCAACCTCTGTTGCGGGAGAGTTCATACCACCAGTTGCGCATCATCCAGCCGTCGAACTCAGTGATTTCGGTCGAGGAACCTGCGAGCATGATGAAGTTCGTCACTCCGGTCGGGGTCCAATCTGGGTGTCATTAGTGCAGCTCAACATAAATGTGACGTGTCACGACGGGGCTGAGGCAGTGTGGCAGTTGGTACCGTAGACTGGAGAAAGGGTTAGTCCCAGGTCAGATCAATGGTCATTCTCGAGGGCTACTATGAGGGAACTCACAATCATCCAAGCCAAACGTGTGTCCCTGTAAGTGTTTCGTGGTCAGTCTTACTGCTAGAAAGAGGCTCTGGGTCAACATACCATTTCATGCAGTAGGATATGAATGTTCTCCGAGCTCAATGCTTCAAGAAAATACTCCTTGCCGACTTGCTGGCCCCAGTCGCCACCAAAACCGCCGCTCAGGCCGTCGGTGAGCCACAGCGATTGGTCATAATGCCGATCAGCGCCGCTGGGGCAGCCGCTGTAGTCGCCGTCCTGGTTGAAGTAGCGGCCGCAAGCTGGCGCGCACTGGGGGACGCCGGCGTCGTCCGTGCCGGTGTAGACGTCGATGCCGCTCGTGTCACCCTCGAGCAGGTTGTTGTCTCGGACGGCCCAGCCGACGACGTTGACGGCGACGTTGGAGAAGGGGAAGTTGTCGTAGCCGTACAGCCACTGGAACCACTTTTGATACTGCACGTTGAGGACCGTGGCGATGGTGGTGCGCTGGGCCGCTGTGACGGACGAGGTCGAATCCCATCGGACACACATACTGATGGTCCTGCTCGACGTTAGTCGTCTATGATGATGCTCAGAGTTGCAAGTTGAAATTCATACCCATTGGTGGCCATGATTTGGTCCCAACCATAGTTCTTGAAGCCATAGAGATTCCCGTCGCTGTACGTCTCCAAGCAATGATCCCAGACCTCCTTCAAGGGAGTTGTCAGCTCGGAAGGCGGGTTCCATCCCGACTGTCTCTTCACAGGGCGGTTCCTGGCATAGCGACGCATAAACGACGGTCGATGGCTGGCAGCTGAGAGCTTCTGCCAGACAGACGGATCAAGGTCGGAGGAGGACGACGAGGAGGGCGTATGGGCGGCCACGGTCGACGCGGCGCAAGCCACCAAACCAGCAGTGGCGATGAAGCGCATGTTGAAGGACGAAACGAAGGACTAGGTTATGTACAGAGAGAAACGAACGTGAATTCAAAGAACGAAACTGGCTGACGAGAGTGAAACTCTAGCAGAAGCAGTCTGAACTGGTGGCGAAGACATATTTATCTTGACACCCCATTTCCCACGTGGATTTTCTCTCCTGGACATCAAGCCCGCTGCTGCCCACCTGCCGCCCGTTGGTGGAGATCATGAAACGCGATAGCCCATCTTACGAGCTCGATGGCTTGATGCGGCCGGGGTGGGTGTCTTTCAGGCAAAGAAGCGTTGCCGTGCGGAAGGACCCGCGTTTGTTTCAACGTCTTCAGGGAGTCCTTACCGGGCAATTAAAGCTAAGACATGACAACGTAGAGCCGAAAGGGTTATAGGGGAGAAAGGATTTGTCGTCCAACCCACCTAGCCCCTGGATAATATCCGAACATTCTAAGCGATAGTTATCCACCGGCCACGTACGCCAACGCTTGGCAGAACTAAGGTCGGTCAACTTCCTATAAAGGAGGAATTCCCGAATCTACCTCCGTACGGCGAGATTCTGCGCTGGCTCATGTTTTGCGAGATTATCTGTCTTCGCACCTCTCACACGACAAGAGTATCCTCTGCCACTGTGTTGCTTACTCACCTCATTGCCTAAGGTAAGGAAGGTGTTGTTCTTCGATATATGTGACTACCTTAGATAAGTTACATGAGTTTTATGTGTTCATGTTTACTGTCAGAGATGACTCCTCACGTTAGGTAGCTACCTACACTCATAGCTCAGAGGATCCAACGCAATATACCCCCCATGCTGCCCACTCTCATGGACCTGCACCGTTGTCATATCAACAACCTCAACCTTGCCGTCACTGCCACCCCCATCCGCGAAACTCGTCCCGGATGTGTATATATCGCGCTCCTCCTCGCCCTCCTCCGCCACCCCTCCTCCTCCCACCCCATTCCCCTCCCCATCCGCGAACCTCACCGTCTTCGCCCCGCTCATCAGACTCCACTGCTTGGGCGACATGCCAAAGTCACTCTCGCCTGGGTACAACACAATGGTAAAGATGCGTCCGGCCGACAGCTGGTGGATGCGCCGGCGGACCTTGTCCAGGTTCGACACCCTCGCAAGCCAGGCGCAGATCGAGCCCGCCGTGAGCGCGACCAGCACGGCCAGCAGCACAAACGCGGGGATGCCATAGGCAAAGTGGTAGCGCGTCCTGCGCACGGCCGGGCGGACGTGGATTATTATGGGGGGGGGAGGCGGCTCTTCTTGTCCTTGCGTATTGATAGGAGTGGTGGAAATCCCCTTGGTCCCAACAACAGCCGACGCGGCGAGGTCCGTCCACAGAAGGTTAATCATCCGGGCGGCGCCTTCTTGCGTCTCACACAGCGCCTGCCAGCGCGTAAACACGGCCATGTCGGCGCGTCCTCGGAGGTCAAACGGCCAGGCCTCGTCCGTGATGCCCTGCCCGGGCGAGCTCAGGTAGATTGTGTTAGCGGCGGCGAAGGGGAACTCGGCGCCGGGTAGGTTGTACTGGCCCGCGGCGAAGTCGGGCCCGGGGTAGAAGGACGCCACGTGCATGTCGTCGCTCCCGAGGCCGATCAGGTACAGCGACGGCTGTTGTACGACCGAGAGGTTGGGGTAGTGGGCCGCCGGGTACGCCGGGGAGATGAGACCCCATATAGGCCGGATGTCGCTGAGGTTGCGACCCGTGTCTTCGACGCCCCAGACGGGGTACGAGTCGGGGGAGGAGTAGGTTTTCTCTGTGATGTTGGTCACGCGCAGCCCGGCGAGGCCGCGGCTGGACTCGGACGGGGGTGGTTGGCCTGGATTCATGCTACTGGTTCCCGCGTCGGTAGAGAAGTCGACGGTTTTGATAGTTGCGCGGACGGCGGTGGCGCACGAGTAGAGCGGCGTGGTCCATTGGCTGCCACGCTCGAAGATGCTTTGTGGCCCGCCGTCGACTCGGCGGGGCGGGCCGCTCACGAGGCCACAGGTGACAAAGATGTTGGTTATGTTTGCTATATCGCCTGACCCGGCGCCGGAACAAATAATACCTGCAGTTAGAGTCAGTATCTGGTAAGGAGTATCGGATGGGAAACTGGGAACTGGGTAAGGTAGGAGACGTACGTATACTGCTGAACCATTCACTCATAGTGACGTTGAACGGGTTTGGGTACTTGGGCTCGTCGTTGGTGTACATGTTGGGGAAAAGGTGAGTCCCATACTTGGACGTGAACCTGGCGGCCCTGTAGTCGACGCCCAACTCGACGTCCAGGGGAAATGACTTGCCCATGGTGGAGTCCACATATTGGAACGCCTTGACGCCAGCAGTCTGGTTTCCGGGATTCGTCACGTTGAGATACATCATGGCGTAGGCGTTGTGCATCATGGCTGCCTTGTACGCCCTGCCCCAAAGGTCCGGGTTGGCCTGCGGATTATCGCGATCGTAGTACGGATATGTGTGGTTGAGGTTGATGAACCCGCCCCGGTCCGTCAGCCGGTAATCAGGAGGGCCGTGGGAAGAAGAGGAGAAGTTCCTCTCGGTAATGGTGAAGTCGAAGGTCAGATTGGTGTTGACGCAGGCCGTGACAGGTTCGACAAACAGCAGGTCCTCCTGCCAGGTGACATTGCGGTCCGGCGGCTGAGGCAGCGTATGGTTCCGGAAACCCACGCCACCCGACCTCGTGTCGACAATGAGGCCCTCGACTAATCTGATCGAGTCCTCCAGGGCAACGCTGTCCACCTGGCGAAACATGCTGACGGCGTACTCGGATCCGTTGTTCAGGTCGCCGCCATCGTCTCTCTTGGTGGTCAGCTGCCGCCACTCAATGTCGAAGAAGTTGGAGACAGTCGTGCCAATGCCACGCGTGCCGCTCGAGTAGAGGTCGCGCAGGACGCGGGGGATGTCTGTGGTCAGACCGTCGGGATAGTCCCAGCTCGCGTGTGTGCTGTTATGGCTGACGACGAGTGTGTCGTTGGTGAAGGGGCATGGTCCGTACCGACTTAACCCTATTCGGTACTCGCACACCCTCGAGAAATTGTAGTGGCCCCGAGGGCTCGTGCCGTAGAAGTAGGCGCTGGTGTCGCGGATATAGGAGAAGTTGCCAACCTCGCGACCTCCCAGTACTGTTTCTTCGTAGAGGCCGAGAGGCGTCACGACACCAGCGATTGCCGTCAGAAAGGTCGTGACGGGGATGGCGAGGGACGCGAGATAGATGGGGGTCCGGACGGCATGGCCGCGGGCGGAATCGGTCCGTAGAAGTGTTGTCCAGTGCGACGACTGGAGGATCTTTGATGCGACAGTCCTAGGGCGCTGAGCGTCAGGACCCGGCTGAGGCAAGGCCCAAGGTCACTGCACTGAGGGTACTGACCATGATGCTGCCGTCTCCTCGTCGCGGAGCAATCCGGCAACCAGGAAGGATATGGCCGTCGGGAGCCAAAGCTGTGCTGTACAGGGCGGATAAGGTAAGCACACGACCGGAGCCTTATAATCAAGGAGAACTCAGTAGAACGTACCAATGACAATACCCAGCGCAATCAAACCGGCTGTATATCCAACTGATAACTCCGCCATTGTGCTGGCCCTATGCAGTGAACATCAACATCAGTGCGGAAGTGCCGAGTGGTATCACCTCTGCTGTCCATGGGTTGTCATAAACGGACGCCTCGACGGGAGCAGACACCGAAGGGAGTTTAATGTTTCCTTGGCAATGAGGCTCTTCGTGGCAAATGCCAAATTGTCCTTGCATGACGATCCGAAAGGAAGGAGCAGGGCTCTGCCTAATCTGCCCAGTTTGCCCAATGAGCGGGAGCGGATAAAGTGCGCCACGATCAAGCTGAAGAATTGATTCACCATCTTCCTTCTGATTTGTCCACTTCATCACACCGAGTGGCACGTAATTATCCCGAGGCTTACGGGTAACTACATACCTTTCCTACTGTGTGCATGCGAGGCTCTCCTGCAGTGCTCGAATGTGCTAGGGATGGAGGTATGCGAATCGCGACCTGCATTTCCAACTTTTTCTGACTGCAGTAACGACAAGCCCACCTGCCAACCTAGAGACTAAGGGCAATCATTCAGATATGGCGCTACACACTCATCTTATCTTGCCTGTCTTACTCCTCGGTTTGTCCCTGTCCGCTCCATACGTTGCCGGCCAGACCGCGACAAGCACAACTGCTACGGCGAGCCGTACTTATGACCCGGGCAATGTCCAAGGACTTCGAGCCTGCTTTGGCGCAGGCTCCATTTGCAAGGTCAAACTCGATCTCCACGACCAATGCGAGGAGCAACAGGAAGCTCAAGGGGACGATGGATACTATGAATGCGTTTGCGGTTCGGGTTATGCTGCCGTCGACGAGGCGTAAGTGGCCCTCATGTTCCATTGCTACACGGACAGAGGGTCTGAACATTGAGTTGGCTGAAACGGTCTAGTTGCGACAACTGTCGCTTAGTCTACGGCATGATCACGTCTAGGCTTTGGAACTACACGGCCACATGCTCCAGCGAGGGCTACACGGTCGCGCCCATTCCCAGCAGTGTTCTCGCCCAGCAGTCCTCGCACAACGCCACCTTTGCTTTGGGTACAGGCGCAACGGCCGTGGAGCCGCTCACAGATCCAGTGACCATCCAGGGGTCGCCCACCGAGCCGCTGCCAACTGTCGCCACCACCTTCAGCCTGCCGCTGCAAACTGGAGCAGCAGCACGTCGGCTGCCGCAGTCTTGGATTCTCGCAGGTTTGGCAATGGCGCATGTACTGCTAGGTATACGGCAATAGGGAAGAATCGAAGCTCAGGATACCATGCTATCTATAGCTAGGGTGCCTTACGTGCCTCATCTTTGGATACTGTAACACACCGCGAAGAGTCCGTGTGTTGGGGCCCGGAGATACATTGTAGGTCAAGCTCTTAACTTCAACGGCGTCTTTCCCTTCCATATTCATGTTGATAGGCTGATAGCGGCATTGGGCGGGCTGTGATGTCTTACTGTAATGTACCTTACCATGACTCAGACAATATTAACCTGGCCGCACCAAACCTTGAATAAAGGGGACAAGGGCAGGGGAAATAACACTGTCCCGCACCAGCTTCAAACAGGTCTTGCGCTCCGATACCACGTATACGAGAATGGAAGTTTGTAGCCGAAATGCAAATGGAAATGACTGTGGATTGTTCGCCCAACACCGCACTCCGGAGAGATGTCGGCGCGCCTAAGTCACCTATACCGTGACTCGAACCAAGAACAGAAACAAACCAGACTGCGAAGATTGTGTACCATGGCTGAAAGAAAGACAGGAAAACCCTCAGATATCTTCGGCAAACGCCGCCTGCTCCATGTTGTCAACGGCTAGACGATAGTAAATGGAATCCCCATCTCCAACAAAAGCAGTTGCTAGTTGCCATGATCTAAGAGCACTTCCGCGCGGCCTTGCCGATGCAGTTGATTCCGGAAATGCACTCCCAGGGAGCGTCGCCACGTCCGGCGCAGTTCAGAAGCTAAAGCAGAGCCAGAAAGTCAGCACGTTTCTCAAGAGTAGACAGGGCGTTTTGAACAAGGTCCGGGCATACCTTGGGGGAGCAGTCGAGGATCAGGCTCCAGGCGCCAACACACTTGACCCAGCTGACGACGCGGGAGCCGTACTTCTTGATAATGGGAGCCAGCCGGGCGAGGACGCGGATCAAGCCGAGGGCGCGCTTCTCCACAACATCGTCACGAGCCGCGAGGACGGCGTCGTCGAGGGTGTCAAGGCTGACTTCGGTGCCGTTGCCCTGGAAGCCACGAACTGAAGATTTCAAACAGAGTTAGTTCCAGTCGCTGAGCAATCCAACAAGAGTAGGAAGGGGAAGGGTTCACCTTCGCCATTGGCATCGATAATCAGATAACCGTTGGAGACGCCGTCGACCACGATTTCGACCTTGCTGCTGCCATCATCCAGATCCTGGGTGACGATGTCGACGTTCTCGTCGTCGCGGATTGCCAAGGGCTCCGAGTTCAGCGCGGCAGCGACCTCGCGCTTTGCGACGGCGTCATCGTAAGAGTCGTAGGGGACGGCGGCGGCCGAGGCAAGAGCCACCATGGTGCAAAGAAGAGTGGTGAAGATCTTCATTTTGGCGAAGTGTGACTGAGAAATCTTCTTTGATGGATTTTGTCTGTTGTGCGTTGAGGGTTGGAGGCAAACTGGGGAAGGCAGGAGACCTGGATTGAATAAAGGCGATGGATGATGATGGCGAGAAAAAGCAGTGGATGATCTGGAGGATGTGACTGCTTTTATACATCTCTCGAGCCTGCCCAGGCATGTTGAACTTGTCTCCCCAAGCACCCTGATGACAGCATTGAAGGCTGCAAGTCTTGGTATTCTGCCACCGCGTCGAATCCTCAGTTGCGATCACTGTTGCTAGGTATCCAAGTCATCGTCACAGCGAAATGGATATTTCGGACAAATCCTTTCATGCTCCGCTCATAAGAAAATAGCCAAGACAACAGCTATGTTTAGTAGTCTCCCCATCGACATAAGAGAGGTTGATTTCTTCATAGCCATAGTTGTCTTGCCGTCGGAGGAACTGTTACATACGATCTCCATAAGCGTACCTGCCAAGAACTTGACTGCTCGTCATCAGCTAGGGCGTGTATCTGCAGATCCAAGATGCTAGAACCCCAAGAAAAAAGGGGCAAGTGCCCTGATCTCTCAAACTTAGAAAACTTGGACGCCTTACGGCTATACTTAGGACCACCACCTTGAATGTCGGACGAACATGTATCCGCTGGTTCCATTGCATTGCTACGTCAGGTAGATCGCCAAGATTACAGCGCCGCACAACGTTGTGGATCTGGGGTGCCCAGAGCTAGGCGAGCTTTCAGCTCTCAGTTCAGCCACTCGGGGCCCATTACACATACCTAAACATGTTTCTCAAGCATCTAAATTTAGACGTCATATTCCCCTATGAGAGGAGAGGAGACGTGCCAAGTGCGGCGACCCCACGATGAGATGTTCGTGCCCGAGCACGTTGTAAATAGACACTCCAAAGTAAGATGGGTCGCGCTTGAATCGTCAGGGACTGGGGGCACTTTCTGTTAACTTCCCAACCTGATTCGTTTCCTTGTAAAAGTGATTGAGTGACATCACAGTGCATGACAACTTCCACAAAGGCATACTATCTGCCCCGTGGTCTATGAACAGTTAGTTCTAGACTAACTATCTCCTCGTCGGGCAGAAAACATAAAAAAAGACTAAAAAAAAGAAAGAGAACTTCATTCGAGGTAGGTACCTAAGGTATTTGGGTGGGCGGGAGTCTCGTAGAAGAAGCCAGATGAGATCATGACCCGAAACAAATCGTCCCTGAAATAACTCAGTGATTCAAAAGAAACCGAACATTGAGATAGAGGAATCGGCGGTGCTGTGCACCTCATGATAACCAACCCAAGTGTTGCCTACCTAGAAGTTCGCCGTCACACCGGGCTGAATCCCCTCCAGCTTCGCCTTCAATTCGACCCACAAGCGATCCTGCACGTCGGGATTCTGCGTCACGACCTCGGACGGCTCAGCGATCTTGCAGTCCTCCAGGTATTGCCCGTGCGATTCTGGCCCTTGCACGCCAGCATCGACCAGCGTCCTGCTGCCGTTCTCGGTCGACCTCGCCAGCAACATCTTCATGCCCGTGAACATGATCTTTTGCATGCCCTTGGCTTCGCGGGAGAGGCCCGAATGACATAACCCCGGGCTCACGAGGTTGATCGTGACCGGGTACGTGTCTGCAGGATGCTCCTTGGCGATGCTCCGGACGGCGAAGATGCCCAGTAGCTTGGAGATTGGGTAGCGGTCCCTCCAGTACCTGCCGCCGGCGTAGTTTCTGTCGTTGACTGCAGCCAGGATATTGACCTCCTCCATCTGCGGAAACGTGGTGTGCCTGTGCGCCCCGGAGCTCGTGATCACGAGGCTCGGGCGTGTCTTGAACTGCTCCGCCGTGGACCTGAGCTTGGGCAAAACCAGCGCCACGAGCAAGAAGGTTGAGACGTAGTTAACCGTGATGCCGGTCTCGTTGTCCTCGGCCATTGCAAACTCGGCACGCACGAGGCCGGCATTGGCATGGAAGATGTCGATCCGGTCGAGTTCGGATTCAATACGAGCTGCAAATGCTTTCACGCTGACGTAGCTTGCCATGTCGACCTGCCATACTTCGATCGATACTCCTTTCGCGGCGGTGGTTAAGATGTCCTGCTTCGCGGCCTCGCCTTTGTCGACGTTCCGGGCCGCGAGGATCAGCTTGCTCGCGCCCAGGCGAGCGTAGTGTCGCGCGGCTTCCTTTCCCAGGCCTGTGTTGCTGCCAGTAATGACGATGGTCTGGCCAGCATAGTTGGTGTTGGGGTAGGGCAGTCTCCACGATTCTATGAGCTGGCTGTATAGGAAGCCCATGACTGGACTGCGCAAGCGAAAGAAGCTCTGGTTGCTTGGTTGAGTAACTTAAGGTCGGGTGCTGACAAAGGTAACATTCCAGCGCGAAGCGTCAAGTAAAGACTAAAGGACACTAGAAACCCGATTCCTTCATTGTTAAGGAACTGCCGTTTTTTGAATCCGCATAATCCGGAGGACGGAGTAGGAGCACTCATATCTCTCCGAGACTCCAGGGAGTAATTCCAGCGCTGGCGATGAAGCGACAGGCCTAAGCCACACGTTGCCAATGCAATAGAACCTGTCGCATTGCTTTCAATCCCACTATTCCCTCCAACAAGCACTTCGCGGACTGCCGGAGGTAAGGTGTAAACCCCGAGAGGACGGGATTCCGAAGACCGGCTCCGATCCGGTGGGACATCAACAAAGATGTCGACCGGCTGAACGAATCCAGAATTCAGCAATCATCAGTCAATCCATACACTTTCATTTTCCTCCTTGTTTTTCACACCTCAGACCCCTCGCTGAGGTGATCATTGCAAATTCACAAACAACCCCCCATCCACCAACAACTGCGCGCCGGTGACATAACCACTCAACTCCTCACACGCCAAAAACACCGCCGGCCCGGCCAAATCCCTCGGCTCCCCGGTCCTTCCCAGTGGGATCCGCCCCTCCATGTACCCCCTCTTCCCCTCATCCTTCAAATCCTCCTCATTCAACTGCGTCCGGATGGTCCCCGGCAGCAGCGCATTACACCGTATCCTATACTTGCCCAGCGCCACGGCAGTACTCTGCATCAGGCTCAGCACCCCGGCCTTGGTGGGCGTGTAATGCGTCTGCATGCCGCCGCCGACCAGGGCCGAGATGGAGGATATCCCGATGATGGAGCCCCCCGGCGGAGATTGGTGCCGCGCCATCTGCCGCGCGGCGGCCTGGACGAGGTAAAAGGCGCCGTCGAGGTTGGTGCGGACTGTTTTGGCGTAGAGGTCGTGGTCGAGGTCGAGGAAGTCGGCGAAGGTGCAGATGCCCGCGTTGGAGACGCATATGTCGAGGCGGGTTGCGCCAAAGGTCGCGAGGCAGAAGGTTACGAGTTGTGAGCCTGTTGCTGGGTCGCGCACGTCGCCGGGGAGGTGGGCTAGTCGGCCGCTGGAAGGGTTGTTGGTGCGGAGGGACTCGGCTTCGGCGAGGAGGGAGTCGAGGTGGGGCTTGTCTGTTTCTAGGTCCAAGTGGTTCACGGCGACGTCGCAGCCCTGAGCCAGGAAGGCGAGGGCGATGGCGCGGCCGATGCCTGTTGTGCCGCCTGTGATGATGGCGGTTTTGCCGGCGAGGAGGTTGTTGGGGGCCATGGTTGCCGTTGGGGGAGGGAACTGGGAGTGAGGGATGATGTGACAGAGGAAAGAATGTGGTAGGAAATTTCTAGATCGGATGTTGTTCAGGATTCCGCTAGATGTTGAACTCGACGCAGTGTATCTCGGGCACTCGGGCTTTTTGACCCTGGGCCGAATGAGGTGGATCGCGGGGTCGATGCCACACGAGCATCAAGTCTCGACCCGGCCACGACACTTCAGCCGGAGTGCGACTTTGGCCGGTATACCAGTGAAGCCGAGTGCGTCTATTTACCTTTTCATTTGTGATCCTCTTGCCGATGGTCTAACCAGTCGCTCATCAGCCGGTAATGAATTCTTCCTGCGAGCCGTGTCGAAGCAACCGCACGTTGGGAGCGTGAAGTCAAGGCCATCCGCAGGCGAAGTTAAACGCCCCACTAACCTTGGACGACCCCAATAAATCCACTGGGGCATCTTCATAGATCCACGGTGTTAGATCCCTTTCGGATGGACCCAAGCCACCACCATCAGCGGCACCACACACCACCTATCCAATCAAGGTCACCACCTGACTTTAGTGCATACAACTGGAGCAAATCGCTGTTACTGCGATACATCATCATTCTCTTGAAGCGGCCGGGTCTTGCGCCTATTACAGTGGCTTTTAAAGGCCTCCACAGCGCCAAGCCCAGCCCGGCCCGAGATACATTGGCGTTTGAGTCCTTGATGTAATGGACGTCGGTGATGGTGTTGGCTACGAGACGTGGGTAACCTGCAGGTTGAGGTGGGTCCATCCGAAAGGGTCCGAAACTGGTGGAGCTATTGAGGTGCCCCAGTGGATTTATTGAAGTCGAGCCCGCGGGGCCACTGCACTGTCACTAGGCCCCACTCTCGGGATGAATTACAGCGAGGCCAACGAAGGTCGAGTCAATCGATGGCAGTGCAGGTGGGCGATGTACGGAGGGACAAGGCCATGTTTCATGCGCGGATGGCTCGTACGGATCACGACGGAGATGAAGTAGAATAAACGGTAATGGTGAAGCACTGTTATGATCAAACGGCACTCAACCTACGAGAGGATGACGTCAGTGGCTCAGGGCAGAGGATTAGATCAGACGGCGGCCGAAGAACGGTAGCAACCAGAAACTGTGTTGAATATCCAATGCATCCATCGCTATGCCTCCCGACTCTATGTACAGGCCTATGTACTGCTGAGCTCGCCGAGCTTGACCGCCTTCGGATTTTCCTCCACATGCTCCGTACCATTCACCTCAGTACCGTTCACCCCAGTTCCATTCACCCCGGTCCCATTGACTGCTGGCGCGCCCAGCGAGTTTGTGGGCAGCGTCAGCAGGTAAGTGCTCGGGATAAGCTTCGCCCTCGCCGCCGGGTTCAGCGTCAGCCCGAAACCCGGCTTGTCCAAGTCGGCCGCGGTCAGGAACCCCTTGGTCGGGATGGGCTCGTCAACAAACAGATCGCCGAACACGGGCAACACACTCTTGCCGTCGGGCGAGTTGGCCAGGTACTCCTGGAATGGCGTGTTGGGCTGGCTGATGACGAAGTGGTAGCTGTACGGCCCACTGGCATGCGGGACCACGGGGATGTCGTAGGCCGCCGCCATGGCCGCCACCTTAAGCAGTTCCGTCATGCCGCCCAGCCACATGACGTCGGGCTGGATGATGTCGAGATTGCGGCCCTCGATGAGCTTGCGGAATCCGTACCGCGAGTACTCGTGCTCACCCGTCGTGAACTTGATGGTCGGGTGCGCCCGCTTGATCTGCTCGAACCCATCCGTGTCATCCGGGCTGAGGCACTCCTCCCACCAGTTAATGTTGAGGTCCTGGCACGCCTTGGCAATCTCGATGGTGTAGGGCACGTTGAGCGACATGTAGCAGTCGACCATGAGCGGGAAATCGGGCCCGACCGACTCGCGGTGCTTGCGCAGGAATTCGACATTCCTTTTGAGGCCCGCGTGGCCTTCCTCGGGGCAGTAGGGCAGCGGCACCTTGGCGCCCCAGAAACCCATGGCCTTGGCGGCTGTTGGCTCCGGCCCGGTGCAGTAGAAATTGATGCGGTCCTTCGTGTTGCCGCCGATGAGCTTGTAAACAGGCTCCCCGCGGATCTTTCCCAGCAAGTCCCAAAGAGCGAGGTCGATGACGGAGATGACGGCAACGGGTAACCCCTTGCGGCCGTAGAACATGGATGCGCGGTACATTTGCTCGAAGAGGTGGTTCGTGTTACGGGGATCGGCGCCGATCAGGAAGCGTTCGAAGTGCTGGTGGACTAGCCAGCATGCCGGCGGGCCTGTTCGAGTTAGTGATGCAGCGGGTAAAGAGGTAGGTGCCACATACCGCCAAATCCTGTCGCAAAACCGACGGTACCATCGGTGGCCTCAATTTCAACAAAGAACGAGCCAAGCACGTTGATGCCCCAGCTCGTCCGCGACGCCCTGTACTTCTCCCATCTTGAACATGGCGTTGAGATGGGTGAGTCGATCAGCCTGTGGGGTCAGCTTGTGTTGGTCGCAAGCGCATCGAGACGCCTACCAGTGTCCACCCTTAACGTTGTGATAATCGCCGCCTGGCAACTATTAGTGACCAGTTGAAGTCGCAGGACATGGCACGCACCTGATCCGACACCGCCAATGACAAAGGACCTAATTGCCTTGATGGTTGGGAACTCTCGCGCAGCCATTGTGACGTGATTCAGACGAAGGGTGAAGACGGCCGAGAGGGAAGAGGGCGTAGACTGTGAAAGGATAATGGCCCAGCAATGCCCAACGAGTCTTGGCAGAGGAATGGAAAGGAATCAAACCGACTCGAGGGAAAAAGGCCCTTTTCTTGGTCGCATTGCACGGCCAGACTGGTGGGGCCAAGACGGGTAGGAGTCGGGCACTGTTATCCCGATGATGGAGACATCGAGATGGGAGTTGGGTTTGACCCAGGGCCGCCCTCAGTACCCCCACGATAACACGTGGACACGCTCACCACTCAAACCAACCCCTCCCCCGTGCTGGCTCGTTGGGTCTTTCTCCGAGACGGCCAGTTGGTGATTCAAGAACAGGTCCGTGATGCCGAACTGGCTCTCGTCGGCAGTTTAACCGTGCGGTCTGCCATGGCGATGGACGCCTTCCGGATCGTCCATTAGCAAGCCAACCTGGAACTCAACGGTCCCTCAGGACCCCAAGTTAAGTTAGCGGCTTTGCATTGTGGATTTGGTTTCCAGAATGCAGAAGGAAGAGCCAAGGTTGCATCGCCAAGCGGCGGCTGCAGGTCATCGAGGAGGGACTCGGCGTCGCCTGGTGGCCTCAGCGTATGGAACGAAAGTGTGATATGCAAACTATCGGACTCTGGGAATCAAGCTTCAAAGTTGTGTGCCTAATCGCTATCGTAGCTAAGGCTGTCGTATGGTAGCTTGAACTGAGGCGCTGCACCGACCACGGTCATTTGTTCATGAGAAAACAGTGCATGAAAGCCGATCGAAGGGAAACGCCGACTGTCGGCACCTGGCTTCCCCGCATTGTTCCAATCTCGCTTCCCCACATCTTGTGACCCCAGACCACATGGGCGGACTTCGGGTGACAGGGGCGTGCAGGGATCAGACTCGGGAGTCGGGCGCACTTGGCCCGCGATAAAAACGGCCGAGGCCCATGCTGGCCTCTCCACTGCTTCGTCTCGCTTCTCTACTCATCATTACCCCGAACTGCTCCACGGGCTTATCGGCGGCCACTGCAGTGACTGCACCTGCTCGTTGGCCGGAACCAGGGAGAAGACGCGGTCGCGCAAGCTGGGCGACTGCATCTTTTTGGGTTTCGGCACGTGTCTCAATTCGGCCCCGACACCCGAGACAGCACGCGCCGCATCCCGGCAGGGCATCGGCCTTTGTTTCGGCCCACTTTCCCCCCTTTCCCAACGCTGAGGCTGACACCTTTGCCCGTCGTCAACCGCCGTCGCGGCCGGGCGATCACTCGCCGCGGGCCCCCTGGCACGATGCAGGCCCAAACTCCCCAATACAACGGTCAGGGCCACCAGCCGCTCCAGACGTCGCCGCCTTCCGCACCCCAGCACCCGCACTCCCAGCTGCTCCATCCTCCACAGCCCGACCCCGCAGACAGCGACGATGGCGGCCAGCAAAGTGGAGACGACATCGACAACGACGACGACCACCAAGAGGTAACCCGCCTGGGCAAGCGCAAGCGGCCCATCTCCGTGTCGTAAGTTGCTGTGCTGGCTCTTCCAGCGGATGGGACTATGGGTCTGCCAGTCCGATGCTGATACTTCCCCCAGGTGTGAGCTCTGCAAGCAGCGTAAAGTAGGTTTCGGACCATACCCTTGCGCGACGACACCGCCGCCGACGCCAATTGGACCCGACTGACCCCTACAGGTAAAATGCGATCGGGGACAACCGTCATGCGGGTGGTGCAGCCGCAACGGCGCACTCTGCGAGTACAAGGAGAGAAAGAAGCCGGGGCTGCGCGCGGGTTACGGGCGTGAGCTGGAGCAGCGTCTCGATAAGCTGGAGGAGAGATTAAGGGTGCACGCCGAGATTTTGCAGTCGTTGACGTCCAACACCAGCCCGGGGAGTGGGCAGGGCAGCGCCCTCACACACCCCGCACCACCGAGCTTCAAGGACAGCAACGCCAGCTTGCCGAGTGACCATGGCACGCCGCGTGACACATTACCGCCGATTTTCGCACGGCCAAGCCACGACACGATCCGAACACCACAGGCTGAGACGGCCCTGTTCCTCCAGAAGCCCTCGACGAGCATTGACTTTGGTCTGTCCACGTCGTCGGGCCATGACTCGTTCCCAGCCGCCGTTAGCGCCGCGGTCCAGGAGTACTACGGCACCGGCCATGCTGCACACTTGCAATCCCCGTCGTCGGCGACGCACAACTCGGCACAGATGGCTTCGGAACAAGAGCTTCCCCCATACGACTTGTTGTACGCCTTGGTGGATCTCTACTTCAAGCATATCAACACGTGGTGTCCTATCTTGAATCGCAAGACCACCTTAGATTCGTTGTTCGGGCCGTCCATGATCGACGAGGAAGACAAGATTCTGCTCCACGCCATAGTCGCCGCTGCGCTGCGCTTCTCGACGGACGCGCGGTTGACCGAAGAAAGCCGCCAGCGTTACCACGATGCATCCAAGCAGCGCGTGCTCTTGTACGGCATGGACCACCTGACTGTCAAGTCGCTGCAGGCGCTTGTTATCCTGGCCCTCGACCTCTGCGGCAGCAGCAACGGCCCCCCGGGATGGAACATCATGGCGCTCATCACGCGCGCCGTGGTGCAGCTCGGGCTGGCCGTCGAGAGCAATTCGTTTGCCGTGGCCCCTACTTATTCGTCCATCTACACACTGCGCGCCATGATCCTTCCAGAACCACGCGATTTCATCGAGGAGGAATCCCGGCGGCGACTGTTCTGGATGGTTTATCTTCTCGACCGGTACGCCACCATCGCGACAGCCTTTGAGTTTGGCGTCGACGACAACGAGATTGACCGCACCCTGCCATGCAGAGACGACTTGTGGATCAAGAACCAAAAAGTCGAGACGCGCTGGTTTCGCACTGACGACACCAAGCCGGGCAGTCTCTGCGGAGGCGGTGCCTCGGAGCACGAGGTCGACAAACCCGAAAACCTCGGCGCCTTCAGCTACTACATCGAGATCCTCGGCATCCTCTCCAAGATCCACAAGTTTCTCAAGCAGCCCGTCGACATCAGCGCTCTGTCGGACGTCGAGACGTGGCAGATGCGCTACAAGGAGCTCGACAACACGCTCGCGGCCTGGAAGTTCGGCCTGCCGGGCGAGTACGGCAACATGGCCAAGCTCTTCCAGCCCGCGTCGGCCAAGACGCTCAATTGCGGCTGGGTAATGCTGCACGCCACCTACCACACGGCCGTCATCCGCCTGCACTCGTCGGCCGCCTACCCGACCACGCGCTCGCCCATCTTCACCCCGTCCTACTCAGCCTCGCAGCGCTGCCACGCCGCCGTCGAGAACATCTCGGCGCTGTGCGAGTTCGTCGTCGCCAACGGCCTGCTGGCAAAGCTCGGCCCGCCTTTTGCCTTTACACTGTGGGTCGCCGCCCGGGTGCTGCTCGTGCACGGGAGCACGGTCGAGCGCAAGCTCAGCCCGCAGATTGGCGCGTTTGTCGACACGCTGCGCGAGATGGGCCGGTACTGGCCCGTTGCGGCGAGGTATTGCAGCTTGCTGAGTCGCGTGCTGGATGAGCACCGCGACAGCGAGCGCCAGGGCGGCGGCGAGGTCCCCGGGAGTGTCAAGATCCTGGCGGATATGCGCCGCACGGCGTTTGATTTGGACTTTTTGATTAGTCGCCAGCCGAGGCATGTTCCTCCGCTTGCGGCGGCAGCGGCGAATGCGGCGAATGGGGCTGGGGGGAGTGGTGCTACCAATAATGATAATGGGGGTGGTGGGAATGGTGGCGCCGGGGCGTGGCAGAGCCGGCTGGCAAGTGTCACGCCTGCGTCGAGGACGCCGGCGCCGAACGAGCTCGAGTATCTCGACGTGTTTGATTTTTTCAATGTGCCGCGATTGCCGGTCGGGCCGGGGACCGGCGCGGCTGCCGCTGCCGCTGCCGCCGGGGCGGATGGCAGCGGGAATGGGATGGATGCGGCGGCGGCTGGAAATGGCGCCGTCGTTGGCGTGCCGGGCGAGTTCAACATTACAGACTTTATGGTGGATGCGAACCGCGACTGGCTGTTTCAGCAGGGCGAGTCTAAATATCTTGCTTGATGGGTTGGTTGGTTTCACTACTTGGTTGGCAAAACAGAAATATCATGGGCGGTGGGATTGGATGAAGGGGGCCATATGTGATATCCTGTCGCCATGATTGACGTTCAGCGAGGTGTCTGATAGATTTATGGAGACAAATACTCGTTGGTAATGCTTGTCCTGCTTGCCAGCTGAGAGTTTGCGGTGTTCAGCATGTGAGAACATGAAGTCGTCGTCACGAGGAAGAAGAAGATCGCCAAGATCAGGCAGATGAGGGTTGTCGTAATTAACCACTCACAGCAGCTCTTAAGGCTGCCATACTCCGTACCGCCTCTTTAATGCGGGGTGATCAGAACCTTAAAATCACTCTCCTGCCATCTCGCATCTCCTCACCATAAAGAGGAGTCTGGAAGTTCATCCACTTTTGACTACGAGATCAAAGGCGATCAAGATGGACGAAAAGAGTGCAGGCGATGTCTTGGCGCCGCAGCACCCGGCGTGGAATGACAAGTCCAGACGGCTGGACTCCAAGACGCGGTTCCGCGTTGCCGCGCTGCTCTTTGGTATCTTCCTTCTGGGTTACTTCACCAATCGAGACATTGGGGTTTTCAGCCAAGGGCCTCGCAGCTCCAACAAGGCACCGCACATCCGTCACGATGACCCCATGAATCCATGGGAATCAGTCAGTCCTCTGCAACCTCTTTCCCCTTTCTGGTTCACTAATATTCTCCAGATAACCCCCTCTTCCGAGTTGCACTGGCATCCATGCTACACCTTCATCCACCGCTCCTTCCTCTGCGCCCGCCTGACCGTGCCCATGGACTACGCCCGCCCGCTCAACGTCTCGTCGCAGGACAATAACCACCCCAGAGTCGACATCGCCCTACTCCTGCTCCCCGCCGAGTCATCGTCCTCCTCATCCTTGCTAACAGAAAAGGTGATGAAATCCCCGCTGCTAGTAAATCCCGGCGGACCAGGCGGATCCGGCGTCGCCCTCGCCCTGCTCGTCGGCCCGTCCATGCAAAAGATCCTTGGTCCCGACCAGCCCATCCTGGGCTTCGATCCCCGCGGCATAGGCTTCACGACGCCCAGGGCGGATTGCTGGGCGAAACCGCCGCCGGAGAGCTGTCGTCGTCCGAGTCCGGGCCATCGTCATCATCCCACCACCGCCAACCATTACGACAACAACAGCGACAATAACGCGGGTGATGATGATGATGATGGTGGTGATGGCGGAAGCAGGCGGGGGCGGCCGGGGTGTGAGGAAGACGTCATGACGGGACTGCTGCACCGGTTGGAGTGGGAGAACATGAATGCGGCGTACGGGCTGATGGGAGAGAGCGAGGTGGCGGTGCGGTATCTGGATGCGGCGCAGCGCGGGGTGAATGGGCTCTGTCGGTGGAAGGATGGGCTGGTTGGTGACGACTCGGATGGGGGTGGCAGTGTGTTGAGGTGGGCGGCGACGAGGAATGTGGTGAGGGATATGGTTGAGATCGTCGAGGCGTGGGGGAAGTGGGTTGATACCCTCGACGGGGGGGTGGCGGATGAGATGAGGGGGAAGTTGGTGTATTGGGGGTTCTCGTATGGCACGTACCTTGGTGCGACGTTTGCGCGGACGTTTCCGGAGCGGGTGGGGAGGTTGGTGTTGGATGGGGTGGTGGATGCCGAGTTTTATGAGGAACCGGTTTGGAAGGAGAGTTTGTTGGATGCCGATAACGTGCTGGGGACGTTCTTCCAGTTCTGTGCCGAGACTGGGAGGAAGTGTCAGCTGTACCGGCAGGGCGATGAGGCGGCGGTTGTGCAGAGGAGGTACGAGGCCATCATGGACCGGCTGGAGACCAGCCCGCTCACGTTCAACCACCCGGAGAATCAATATCCGGTCCTCGTGCGGGCCAGTCAGGTCAAGAACATCGTGTTCAGAATTCTATACTCGCCGATTCAGGGGTTCCCTGTCCTGGCATCCGTGCTGAACTTCATCTACGAGGATATGTTCGAGGAACTGGGCGCATTCACCCAAGATCCACAGCTTGTGTGCAGCATATCGGACAACCCATCGGTACTGGGCATGTTGACGGATGCTCAGCGTGCCATCATGTGCGGGGACAAGACACACCCGGTGAGTCAGGGGGTGACTCCTATCCCAAATGGTTATCTAGAGTGTTGACGTCTCCCAGGTGAACATGACTGTCCCCGAAATAACTTCGGCCTACCAAGCCATGGCCGCGAACTCGCAGTTCGCTGACATCTGGATGGGCCTGATGCTACAGTGTAACGGCTGGGACATCTTTCCGCCGGGCCAGGCTCCGACCGACCCCTGGGCTGCGGCGAACCAGATCGAGACGGCCAACCCCGTCCTCTTCCTCTCCAACACGTACGACCCCGTCACGCCGCTCAAGGCGGCCGTCAAAATGGCCCTCAAGTTCAAGGGCGCCGGCCTGCTGGAACAAAAGTCGCAGGGTCATTGCACCCTCTCGGCGGTGTCGAGGTGCACTGCTAGAGCCGTCAGGGACTATGTGACGACGGGGAAGCTTCCTCCGCCTCCCAAGGAGGTCGACGAAAACTTTAACGGAAAGTGGAAGCAGTGCGAAGCTGATGAGGCGCCGTGGAGGAGGCTCGGCACAAGTGAGGTTCACGCGTGGGCGGCCGAGGAGCGGGAAATGGCCGACGGGTGGCGGCATCTGCAGGAGGTTATGGAGACGATGCAAAGATGGGGGGTTGGCAAGAACAATGATCTGGACATGGCGGCAGTCATGAAGCTCGCAAGAGGTGGTCAAACAACGTGATGGGATTTAGTCTGCACTTCCACTGATCCCACGCCATATTTTCCATCACACTTGAAACACTTCTCCTTGCTTTCCTCTGTCTCTGCCTAGTTCAAGTTCTCTCCCCCTTTTTTCCGTTCCTGGCTTCTTTCACCCCCTCTCTGTCGGGAACCTGATTTTCTTGCTTGCCCAATGCGAACAAGCAGCCTCTTGGGGTGCGAGGGTGCAGTCCTGTCAATTGATGCAATGTTGTTCCATGAAAGGTAACCATATGATTACAGTTCTCCCTCTGCCATTCTGATGGCAGCGCGAGTCGAACAGTACCCTATGGTCCGAGAAGACGGGGCGTATGAGCTGTGTCGACTGGGACCAACTTAGGCAACACTCCGAATCGAATATAAGGTACGTTTTGATCTGGACAATGTATTCATTGAAGCTACGCGCGCCTAGTCGTAACGCTGGCAATGGTGTTGGTTAATAATGATGAAGAGCCTTTAACTAGTTATGCGGTAATGATTACAGCAGGAGGTACGCTCCGTACGGTAGGTGTAACCCCACTTGGATTGCACCAGTTCCCCATCTTTGTTCGCGAAATCGTTCATCTCCAGCGTACTAAAGCGCAACGCATCCGGACTTCCGGAGTCATCCACAAGCAAACACTTACCATTATGTACATGCTGCACAAACTCTGTTAAAACGTCCTCTGCGCCCGCGGCATTGATTGAGACCGTATCCATGCTCGCCATACACGGAGTACTGGACTTGAACTTGATGGGAAAAGGACCGAATGTAACCTTACCTGCATCATATGTAGTGGAGACTTGGCACACATCTCCCCACTCTTGCCTCTGTCCAGGTTTCCCAGAATCGGGTGACGTGTGAAGCAGAGGATGTGGCGAGGCAGACTAAACTGGTGCCCAAAAGAATGCTCAGGACCGTGGGTTTTCCGAACACGCTGCCGTTGTGTAGGAGCAAACTGTTTACGATGGTCAGGTACTGGAGTTCATGAGGTTTCATTTCGGGGCAAGCAGTCTCGAGACTTGGCCCACGGCTCCGCATTGTCCGACCTCTCTCTACCGTGTCCAGGTCCGGGGACGGAGTTGGGGCCCACCGAAGCCGGGCTTTGACTGGCTCTGCCGTTTAGGCATTCTGACCGCCCAGAAAGCTTGACGATCTTTGACGGATTCAACCACATGGCTCCATCGCCGCAGAAGTCTCCCCGGGAATCACCCCGGAGTGGCGAGACAGCGTCATCCACCCGGATCTTTGCTTATCCCCGGATGTGTGACTTGACCCCACGGGGCAGCTGCTTTCCCAGAAAAGATATAGGTATGACGGCCCGCTCGCTGTTTCTTCCCATGTCGCACATGCGCCTCGCTCCGAGACTCTTTCCCTCCGAAGCACCACCACGACTATGGATCCGGAGAAGACGGAAGCCCACCAGCATGAGGCGACGGGAACGGTGATGGCAAGACCCGGGACGGGGGTTGCAATCACTATGACGCCCGAACGGCGCGTCGAGGTCGAGAGGAGCATGAAGCGCAAGCTGGATGCGCGCTGCTCCATCTTCATCCTTCTATACATCATGAACTATCTCGACCGCAACAACATCGCCGCCGCCCGCCTCAAGGGCCTGCAGGACGACCTGAACCTGTCCTACAACGAATATGCCACCTGCCTCAGCATCCTCTACGTCGGCTACATCCTGATGCAGGTGCCCTCCAACATGGCCATCAACCTCGTCTCGCGGCCGTCCATCTACATCAGCTGCTCGATGCTGCTATGGGGACTGGTCTCGACCCTCTCGGGCATCGTGACGGGCTTTGGCGGCATGGTCGCCATTCGCTTCTTCCTGGGCTTCATTGAGGCCACGTTCCTCCCCGGCGCTCTGCTCATCTTGTCGAAGTGGTATACGCGTCGCGAGCTGACCACCCGCAACGCTCTCTTGTTCTGCGGCAATCTCATTTCCAACGCCTTCTCGGCCCTGGTCGGAGCCGGCGTCCTGTCCAACATGCAGGGCGTGTTAGGCCATGCCGCCTGGCGATGGCTGTTTTTCAGTAAGTGGGCAGTTTGAAATGTCCTGGTGTATTGAAACTTACAGCTTTTTGTGTAGTCGAGGGCGCCGCCACCATGTTCATCGCCATCGTCGCCGTCTTCATCCTGCCCGACTTGCCACACAACACGCGCGGCTTCACCGAGGAGGAGCGCTACGTTGCGCAGCTGCGCATGACCGAGGACGTTGGCATCGCCGACAGCGACGAGGGCCAAACCGTCTTCACCGGCCTGATTATGGCGCTCAAGGATCCCAAGGTCTATCTGATGATGTTCACGCTGACCGCTTACGTCGTCGGTCTCTCTTTCAACGCCTTTTTCGTACGCAATTCCCACCCCCGGAACCAAAAAAAAAATCATTCCTGCTCCATCTTCGCCTGCAAAGTTGACTGACAGTACACCTAATTCACATAGCCTACCCTCACCGGCACCCTCGGCTTCAGCTACGTCCCGACCCTGCTCATGTCCGCCCCACCCTGGGTCTTTGCCTGTCTCGTCTCGCTGCTCAACGCGTGGCACTCGGACCGCACGCAGGACAAGTTCTGGCACATCACGCTGCCCATCCTGCTGGGCCTGGTCGGTTTCGTCATCTCCATGTCGACGCTCAACACGGCCGCGCGCTACCTCGCCCTCTTTTTGCAGGCCAGCAGCTACGCCGGCTTCATCGTGTTTTACTCGTGGATTTCGTCGTCGTTTCCGCGGCCGCCCGCCAAGCGGGCTGTGGCGATTGCCATGATCAATGCGTTCAGCCAGCTTGGCAATGTCGCGGGCTCGTATGTGTGGAACTTGACCGAGGATGGGTTCCGTAAGAGCTATGGGATTGTTACGGCTATGTTTGGAGTTACGATCCTGGGGTGTGCGGTGTTCAAGATGGTGTTGGTGAGGATGAACCGGCTGTTGGCGGAGGAGGAAGAAAGGGGTGCGGCTGGGGGTGGTAGTGAGAAGGGCGTTGAGACGGCTCCGGGCCCGGAGACGCTGAGTAAAGGGTTCAGGTACTTGGTGTAGTTCTGTTAATTACTCTAGAACGGAAAAGACAATAGAAGGTTTCTCTTCTCTCAAGGTTCCTCAGAAATCACGCAGGTGGGTGAACATGCTAGAAATATTGATGCCGCCTGCGCCCGCTCAAGCCCACCGTCTACGGCTGCTGTGTTCAGGAGGCCCCTATTGACATCTGCTTTATGGACATTAGTTGTTAGCGTTCTGACGCAAACATGCCTGTACCATGAACGCGCTGGCTACCCTGCCTTCGGCACAGCTCTGTATCTTTTTCAACCTCTGTGGTACTGTTCTAACATTTACTGTGGTAAGGCAATATTCGGCGAAGGAAGAGAGCAGTTGGGCCAATAGTTTTTGAGCATGGCGGTTTTTTTTTGGGAGTCCGGGATTGACGGGGTTCTGAGTTTGGCAAGGATTATCATGGCGGAAACAGTGATGTTGATATGCAGGCTATCTTCCTGGACGACTCAAGGCCTCGGGCAATGGCCTTCCAGGAACTTATCGGTTGATCTACGCGCCTCGATCAGGTAGTCTTCGGCCCAGGGAGTGTATCTGTGTATTTGGCTGTCTTCTTCCTCAACACTGACAAAACATCTACAATAACAACCGCGTAGGTTGGTCAAGTCAAGGTGACGGCAAGGGCGAGACAAAGTCAGCTCCGGCATAACTTCCCGCCGGCCTGCCTTGAGGATTTCGGATTGCTCCCCCTCAAAACTTGCAGGGGGTGGCCCCGCGAGGCTGTACGCCACTCTCCGGACCCTTTAGGGGAAGCATTTGTTACCATTCTCAAATCTTGGCATCCTTCATACAAAACCATTTAGCAGCGTAGATTCGTGCCCACTGTCGCCATGGCTTTGACGACGACCGTGTCGAGGGCAAATCTTGGCGCCCTCACCACGACCTTCACGCTGGCAAGCGGATGCGATGTACCTTTCGTCAACTTCCGCACAAAGCGGTGGTTTCGTTGAAAAGCCGGGAGAACGCTGCGTAGCCCATGGCACGGGAACAGACCAGGTCCTTGTGCGCCTCGTCGCAGAACCATGCTTCCCCGGCGCCCTCGGCTCCTTCATCAACAGCGACGGTGGCTACCTCACAAAATTCCCCGTCTACTCGCTGGGGACTGGGTGCTTGTCCGGCTACATGCCCGCCTGCACCCTTGCGCGTAAATAGGGAGAGCCCGCTCCGACTACGGAGTACATAGTCACGGCCAATAATGAGATCTGGAACATGCTCTTCGAGGGGGAGACGGCGACGGGATGCTGTCCTAGGTAGGTGCACAACATCAAAGCCTGCTGCACCACCTGCAACGTTTCGGGCCATGACTCACCCCCCTTCCTCCGTGCACAGCGGCTACATGTGCTTCGGACAATCAGATGCGATGCACAATGCTGGCACGCCAGGACAGGTCTTTTTGAGCTATACATACGAATCGGGCTGCTCGACGTCGCCCGTCACGGCCACGGTCGCGAACACGTATGATGCAGCCGAGTTGGCTGACGGACCCATCGCAACCGCAAGGAGGCTGGTTTTTATCGGCGGAAGTGCTCTCCCCCTTATTTATCTACCGGAGCGGGCTCCTCTCAGGCGGCACCAACCGAGACCGGACCGGATGGGCAGCCTAGCAGTGGTTCGGACGTCGCCAACTCAGGCAACACCGCCGGCGGTAGTAGTGGAGGTTTGTCAACAGGGGTCAGAATCGGCATTGGAGTCGCCGTTCCGCTTGCCGTTCCCATGATGGCGGTCGGCCTCCTCTTCGTCCTTTGGGTGCGGCGCAAACGGACCCGACAAGATGGACACCCAACATCGGGAGGCGGCACGATGCCCTTGCTCCCAGGGTCAAGCCGGAGCTGGAGGGGAGTCAAAGAACTGACCTTGCGGGGGTGTACGGCGCTGCACACGCCGAGCTAGAAGTCGATAGCTCACAGATCCACGAGATGGCCAACACGGTGATGGCTCACAGGACGCCCGAGTTGCATGGCAGCTGGCACCGCCCACAGGAGCTTGATCCAACATTCGCACCCCGGCCAGAGCTCCATGGTTACGGCCTCGCACCACCACACATGGCAGAAATGCCGGCCGGCGACAGGCGGGAAGCTTAGTTCGCCTTCACACAGAGCAGCGGTAATTGCCGCGTGCGCCCGGGCCGCGCAGTGGGTTTGACGGCTGAGCTGCAGCAAAGATATACAACATTGCCGACCGAACCATCCGTCGTCGACTCGCCGGGAAACCTGCACAACGCGATACTGTGCCCAAATCGAGGAAGCTTACGCAATGGGAAGAGGAGGCTATTGTTCAATATGTCATCGAGCTAGTTGTACGAGGATTTCCGCCTAGGTTGCGTGGTGTGGAGGATATGGCCAACCAACTGCTCCGCGAACGCGACGCGCCTCCTGTCGGCAAACGCTGGGCACACAACTTCGTCAAACGCCAGCCAGAGCTCTGTACGCGTTATACGCGTCGGTACGACTACCAGAGGGCTAAATGCGAGGATCCAAAGGTCATTGGCGAGTGGTTTGCGCTTGTACGGAATACCATAGCCAAGTACGGCATTGTAGAGGATGATATCTACAACTTCGATGAGACCGGGTTCATCATGGGCATCATCCTCGCGGGTATGGTGGTCACGACCTCGGACGGCCTGAGTAAGGCGAAACTGGCTCAGCCTGGCAATCGCGAATGGGCAACGGTGATCCAGGGAGTCAATGCTTTCGGCTGGGCCATCCCGCCGTTCATCATCTTGGCCGCTCAGTATCACCTCGCCAACTGGTACACCGAGTGCAACCTCCCGGCCGACTGGCACATCGCAACCACCGACAATGGCTGGACCAACAATGCAGTAGGCCTCGACTGGATCAAGCACTTCGATCGCCATACGGCGTCCCGGACAAAGGGCATATACCGGTTACTGATCCTCGACGGCCAAGAAAGCCATCACTCGACCGAATTCGAGCTCTACTGCCGGCAGAACAACATCATCACGCTCTGCATGCCTCCGCACTCCTCCCACAAGCTCCAGCCACTCGATGTTGGCTGCTTTGGGCCACTGAAGCAGGCGTACGGTCGCCAGATTGAGGACTTGATGCGCGCGCATATCAACCACGTGAGCAAGCTCGAATTCCTCTGTGCCTTCCGCGAGGCCTTCTTTGCCTCCATAACGGAGAAGAACATACAGGGTGGCTTTTCAGGGGCTGGCCTAGTGCCATATGATCCAGAGAGGGTGCTTTCCAAGCTGGATGTGAGGCTTCGTACGCCAACACCCTTGACCTTGCGAGCCAGCACCCCACAACCTTTGGTGTTCCAGACGCCACACAACCCCCGAGAAGCCAACTCGCAGTCAACGCTCATCAAGACTCGCATTGCCAATCATCAAAATAGCTCCCCGACTTCGATGTTGGCTGCTGTGGACCAGCTTACTAAGGGTACAATGGCTGTAATGCACGAGGTGGCTCTCCTTCGGTCAGAGGTCTCTTCGCTCCGCAATGCCAATGAGGCACTAAGCAAGCGCCGGAGAGCTAAAAAAACACGTGTGCAGCTTGGAGGATCACTTTCCGTACAAGATGCACAGAATTTGCTGAACCAGAAGACTGTGGGCGGGGAGGCATTGCAAGAAACACAGCCGGAAGGGAGTGGTGTAGGTGGGGGTCGCACGAAGGTTCGGTGCTGTGGTGTCTGCGGCAAGCCTGGCCATAACGCACGCACTTGCCAGGAGGCTGGAGAACCGTCTAATTCAGCTGTTTCTGATGTCATTATAGTTGGTTCCTAGTGTTGGTGTGTTGCAATTGAGGATAGTTGTTATAGGGTAGGTAAAAGTGCGGCGCTCGCTTATCCGCGGCGCTCGCTTATCAAACACGTTAACGTTATACTTTGTTGATTAGGCATTATACACAAGAATTTTGGACAGGGACCCAGCCCCTGTACCTCTAGTTACAATCAATGCAAACTCTTATACACTCTCAAACACCTCTCCTCCAACCACTTGGCAAACCTCACACTCGGCACATCAACCCACCTCTCCACCTGCGCGGCCAGCGCGAAAACAGGCACCGTAAACATCACAGACCACACTACACAAATAACCCAGTACCCCATCCCCTTACTCTGCGTCTCCACGCCCGCAAACCACATCAACAACCCCTGCAATTTCAAGCCGAACAAGACAAGACAAAACTCATGCACCAAATACAGCGAAAACGAGATCTTGGCCAGATACTGACACAGATACGTCTCAAACACGGCCCTCAGCCGCGGCAGCTGCGAGACGGACAGCAGCAGCGCGACGCCCGCAATCGACCACCAGAAGCGCGCCGGGTCTTCCATGGCCCCGCCGAAGCCGCCGGCCGCAACGGAGATGAGCGCGCGCAGCGTCTCGAAGCCCGGCATGGGATTTGTTCGGGCGTCTGGGAAGACGAGGGTCGGGAAGCCTAGGATGTAGAAAGATACCAAGAATATGGTGGTCCAGAGGAAGAGGCGGTGTTTCCGGGTGGAGGTCGTGCGGGCGATGATGGGGGAGTCGTCTTCTTCCTGGCCTAGGTTGAAATCGGCCAGGAGCATCCCCGCGGTAAAGCAAAAAATGTTCCAGCTTCCCAGGGCCATGCTGAGGAGGCTGAGGCTCGCGACCGAGGCCATTCTGGGCGTGTTGCGCGACACGGGGGCCAGGGTGAGGAGTAGGAGATAGCAGACCATGGAGCCGTAAAATTCGACTGGTATGGTCCAGATGACGGCGTCGTATTTGGGATGCTGGACCAAGCCGCGGATGGCGCCGCTGAAGTTGTGGATTGGGTTGACCAGGCGGTTGGTCTCGACTAGCCAGTCGCAAAACTGGCCCTGAAAGGTGGGCTCGGGGATGAATTCAAAGTTGAGCGGCGGCGCGAAGCCAAACCGCGTCGCCAGCATCTCGCAGAAGGTGAGGAGGATAGGTGGGAGGTACAGCCGGAACCCGCGGCGGAAGGTGGAGGAGGCCACGGCCGGGTAGACTCCATGCGGTGAACCCGCGCGTATGAGGCGAAGACATCGGTGCGTGAGGACGTAGCCGGAGAGGACGAAGAAAACCGACACGGCGCCCCCGCCCGCGACGAAGATGGTCCGTACCAGGGGTAGCTGAATGGGGTTGGTCTGGTGTGTGTCGGCGCGCCAGGCGGGCACGATCGGGGCCCAGCAGCCCATGGCGTGGAAGATGAAGACGGTCATGGCGGCGACGCCCCGGACGCCGTCCAGCCAAGAGGTCCGTCTTAATCGCAGAGATCCGGAGCTCGGGTAGCAGATTATGTGAAGGACCATGGATGATGCCCAGGCTCGCCAGGGTGTGAAGCGAGAAGCAATAACACTTCGCTTGCTGGCTTGGCGCATTCGGTTAACGGCTTCGAGATCTCCTAACTCGAGCCATTCCTCCTGTCCTATACGGTTTTGGTCGGCGCTCGAGCGAGTTTTCAGAGTCGACATTGTGGGCAGCTTGATTTGAGTGCAAAGTTCCCTTTCACATGTTCCATGAGAACCGCGAGGTCGCGTGCGAGTTGAAGTTCGGAAGTTGCAGCCAGCCTGCCAAGATTCAGGGGAAAAGCGGAGCTTCCAGGGGCTCGGGGGTCGAAGCTTGGTTGCTCATTGGGTTAGCCGACCGAAGGCCGATGGACCTGCCCCTCACTCCCGTCGGGTCTTAATGCTTGGATTGGGTGTTACCGTTGTCCTCTGCTTCTAACTGTTATACGGTATACGTGCAAAGAAGGCCCAAGTGGTGCGGCTCTGTGAGTCCGCGACGGATACCAGAACCGCACGAACATGTCAGGGATCATGCGCTGCAGTTGTGTGGGTGGAGAATGGAGATACTAAACGGGTTCTTCTCTATGATTCTACAACCCGCCAGGGTCGGGCAATCCTCCAGATGCCAGCATCATCGATAATTGCATATCTCTTGAATCTTGAATGGGAATCCAGAGGATCTAGACGAGACGAAGCGGCCGCATAATGAGATGAGGAAATGTGGAGGTCAAAGTTCAAGTATTGAAGTCACTGAGAGTTGGAAGGTTCGCCACCTCCCGGCTGACAGATGTCATTGCTTTCTCACAGGCAGTGCGCTATCCCTAAAGCGGCAGGCGTACCAACACAATCTGGTCATTGAGCTCGATCATTTGAGACGCGTATTCCAGACGCGCTTGCCCGTGCTGTGTTTGCTGTTTGACTGATGGCCATCTTGACGTCAATCCACTTCGTCAGTGCGCTTCTCTTTCTCTTTCGCTTGAAAAGCCCTTTCTTCCCTCTCCTCTGCTCAATTGCTCAATCGTATCCTCAAATTACACGGAATTCAGCAGATCACTTGTTTCAACGCGACAATGCCCCCGAAACGTGCCGCAGCAACCGGCGCAAGCCGAGCCAAGAAATCGCGTCCGTCCACTGAGGCCGGTGGAACAGATGGCAGCGACACGGCTGTCGTCGAGGCCGGAGGGCCCCCGACATCGATCCCTCGAAACAAGCGATGGGCCGCTGTCTCAGGCTCGGCCAACGCCGATGCCGAATACAAAATGAAGACGTCGAACCCGCTCATCGCGTACAAGTTTGTGTGCATGTGTCAGCCTCCGTTCCCGAATGGCGAGGACGACGAGGACGAAGAAGACGAGGAGAATGAGGACGCTGAGACCTCGGACAAGAGCGCCAAACGACCAAAGTGCGACGGCGGCGAAACCTGCCTGTGCGACAAGCCCGCGGCAGAACACCCTGATCATGTCTGGAAGTTCTCGGCCGCCGGCAAAATCAAGTTCTTCACCCTGCAGACTCAGTGCATGCTCAGATACCCGGATATGTTTAACATGTACACGTTCAATGACCACGAGGGATATGGTGTCTTGGAGGTCATTCAAAACCTTATCCTCGACTTCGAGGAAGCCGCCGACAACTACAAGGAGCAGTGGGCCGTCTGCGAGGCTTTGGCCATGTTCCTCGCAACCGATCTGGCCGCACCTGTAACTCGGTACGTCTTTTCCTCCTCCTGTGTGTCCGAACTTGAAGAGCTAATGCGAGCACGCGATCAGAATTGACGATAGCGATACTGTGGATGACACCTACCAGTTGATCGGCCGCTTATTCATGTCCATGCTCGCCCAGCTCGAAGGCAAGAAACTCCTCACCAAAGACTCGGAGATCATCAACCTGGGTCTGGTCATGGCGCTGTTTATGGACTTCGCCCGCGGTGCGCGGGATTACGGCCTACTGGAAGACAGCAATGAGGAGTCGCTGGGGCCGGCAAAGGACAAGAAGAAGTGGGAGCCGCACGCCTTTGACAACCAGATTCTCACCTACGCCCGCAAGTACGACATTAGCCTAGTCGGCCCCCACGACATTAAGAAGACGATCGATGCAGCCGATGGCGACGTGGACCTGCCCGCTGAAAAATCAGTTACCGGCAAGGCGGATCCCTTCGGCTTCACCAAAAGCCTGAAGAAGTACAAGAGTGATCGAGGCGGCATCACGGCGTTCTTGGCCGGCAACAAGTCCAGCAAGACACCCATTGGCGGCGACCACCTCGATATCACAACCTGGTCCAGCGCCAAGCGCAAGAGCAAGGCCTTTGACAAGAAGGACCCGCTGGGCAAGAAGGAGATTGACGCGTTGAAGGAGGGCCTGGTCCTCTCGGTCGCCTAGGTTTGTAGCGACCAATTGTACGATATGAGTTTGGTTTGGGTGTGTACTTTGGAAGTGCTCTGAGAGTTCATTAGGAGGATAATACCAATCATACAAACAAAATTCACGCTGCGGGCGGCTGCCATTTGTCACCCAAACGGGCAAGCCACACCTATAATTGGCAGATTGCGTGATTGAGCATGCCCCGCACGCAACCACTCTTCTCTTTCATGATCCTATAATGAAATCCTCGGTTTCGACTTTTTATTATGTTCAGCTTCTCCAGCAACTCAAGGGCACAATTAAGAAGACCGAGAGAAATCAGCATGGACTCGGCCGAGCTTGTCGTGGTGGCCTCGCCGTTCGCAAACCTCGCACCCCTCTACGAGGTTGACCCGGATGCTGACACGCTGCTCATTGTGCCGCCTTCGGCGCAGCCCTTTGCACCATGGGACAGGCATCAGATCAATGGGGTAAATGGTAACCACGAGGCAACAGCGTCTCGGTCGGGACTGCGCATCAAGGTCTCTTCCAGACACCTCGCCCTTGCATCGCGCATATTCAAGACCAAGCTGCAGTTCGGCGGCTCCAAATCCACACGCCAGGCAGATGGCCGCATCCATCTCCAGCTGGCTGAGGGCTTCGATGGCGAGGCAGTCAGCATCGTCATGAACGCAATCCACAGCCGTGGGTCCAAAGTCCCAAAGTCCGTCAGTGTCGAAACCCTGTCACAGATTGCCCTCTTCGTGGACCGCTTCCAGCTGCTCGACGCCGTCGAGGTGTACGCCGACCGATGGATCTCGAAGCTCGAGTTGAGCATCCCGACCACCTACAACCGCGACCTCATTCTATGGCTGTATATCAGCCACGTCTTCCGCCAGCCAGAGATCTTCAAATCCGTCACCAAGACCGCCGCGGTCCACGCCCCAGGGCCCATCCAAACTCTCAACCTGCCCATCCGTGAGAAGATCATCAGTAAGCCCGGTCCATCCCTAAAGATATTCACACCACGCCCAAGTAAGAACCATACTAAAACCAACAAATGTAGAGCACATCGAATCCCAACGCCACAACCTCCTCACCACCGCCCTCTCCCGCCTCCACCAAACCCTCGACGACCTCATGACCCCTTCTTCTCCCTCCTCCTGCCCCGCTCCGCACAACTGCGACTCGCTCCTCCTAGGCGAATTGATCAAATCCCTGCAAGGCCAACATCGCCTCGTCTGGCCGCGCCCCGCCAAGCCGTTCGCGGGTATCAGCTTCGCCACGACCGTGCTGGAATCCGTGCACGCCGGCATGAGGCTACACCGCCAGCGGCGGGAGCAGGAGGTTTCCGAGCGGGAGAGGGAGTTTACTAGTAGTAATGCTACTAAGCGCGAGGTGGAGCCTTGGTATATGCGCGGTGTACATACTGCGGCGGGTCAGCAGCAGCAGGGTCCAGTGACGCCGGGGAGTCCACTGGGGGTTGGGATTGGGCCCGGGGTAAAGCCACCCAGTTGGGGCGTTGTTGGGGGGAGGTTTCCCGTTACGCCTGCTGCGTCGCCGGAGCCGGTTTATAGGAGTACTTCTGGGGTTGGGCGGGCTGAGGGGCATGAGTGTGGTGTGGAGAGGGTGGTGCAGAGGTTGGAGGGGTTGGGAAGGTTGGCGGATGAGGTGGACGGGTTGGTGCTTGAGGGGAGCTTGGGCTATAGGGTTTATTGACGACGGCTGCTACCTGGGGTCCGGGGGTGGTTGGTTCAGTTTCCGCAGGAATCTCCGAGCAGCGGAGGACCAACATATGTGCTCCCTGCTATGGTTCCGTCGTTTCGTTTCTCCCCATACTCTGTTGTTTGTCGCTGTATCCATTATGAGAGAAAAAGGGGTGGGGATTCTATAAAATTTCGGCTTCGGAGAATACTTACGACAGGATTTTAACCTGGGAGCAGGAGTCTCATAAGGGGGTACTTACCCCATTTTTGCTATCCTGACAATCATGGAGTACCTAGTAATGTATACGGATGGATCATGTTTGAGTTCTAAGGTATTTTTCATCCATTTGTCTTGCTTCCTTTAAGACTGTTCCTGCCTCCATATTCATGCGCTAATACTAACTATCTTTTCTAATTATCCTTCCTTGAAGCGTAACAGGGCAAGCCATGTGCCATGCTGGCGACATGGAACAGCCCATGTCTGAATCGTACCATGCAACGGACAGACTACCGTGTGTTTCTGTTCAGACGGCATGTCTCGAGATGGCCCCTTCAGCTAATTCCCCTCACAGCGCCTGCATTTGAACACTGGCATGGGGGGAGGGTTTTCATTGGCCTCCCACAGTTCAACTCAGCCCTGAAGAGTGCCTATGGGCCATCGAGACCTCCCTCCCATGAAAATGTCCCGATGGCACAAGCCAGATCGCTCAACGCCCGACATCTTCGTGGGCCACAGCACGCGAACACCAGCATGCCTCACGTGCGGTGCCGCTTCCGACCTCGACGAGATCATCCGCCAGCAATCCCACGCGAGCCCCTTGCCAACGCCTCCGCCTGACCAGCCCCAGGGCAAGATGAGCCTTTGGTGACCGCGCTCAGTCCCTTACCGAACCACTGAACCCATCGTGAGTTCCGACCAGCACTCAGCCCAACCGTGTCCCCCCACCCGGATCTCCCAGACTGGAACCTGACCCAAAATCCTCCATCTACCCCTCGACTCTCAGACCAGGCGAGTTCCGCCCTGGCCTGCATCGAGGCAATCCCCGTCCCGAACACAGGACCAGATTACCCTGTACACGTCATCCTCGAGACCTATGCGTTGTCAAACTGCCTGCCTTACGAGACAGTCTCGTATTGCTGGGCCGGCGAAGAGGGGGACGGCACCCCCGACGGCATCCGATCTACGTGGGGAAGTGGGATTTGAAGCTCCACACACGCAACTGCTGGGAGATGTTACGAGTTGTGAGGTTGGCAAGAAGGTAGACTTGCTTGAATTGATGCCATTTGTATCAATCAGGGGTGGTGAGTCCCTTTTTCGTTCCTGAATGTCAAACTCTCCATTGGCAGTCTTCTTCTTGTGTTCGATCGTGAGGACAATTTGCAGCCTAGGCAGCTGACATAACTTACTGAAATAGTGACAATTAGAGGACCGCTCAAGTTGCCCACATGGTCGGATCTACGCTTCTTGCACTCAGGTTGTGGTCTATCTTGGTCTTGATGTTGCGCCCGTGTTGCCCGAGGGGAGATACCTGCGTCGGGCGAAGTTGCGAAAGTTTGGCTCCAAGGATATCGAACAAGCGAGCGGTGTTCGAGGCGTGAAAGAGCTGTTGCAGGGGCGGTATTTCAGCCGCCTGTGGGTGGTCCAAGAGTTGATACTCTCCCCGCAGGTGGTGATCCGGATTGGGGAGGTTGACATTCAAGCAGACGGGACAACGACCGGAAATCAATGGGGATCTGAGCCGGGATCCCTCGCTCCCTGAGTTCAACATACATCCCAAGGCGCTCCGCTAAATTTGGACCTGCTACAGGTGGTACGGCTCACCTTCTCCGCCGTCTGCGCTGACCCTGCGACCGTATTTTCGGAATTGTAGGAATCATCTCCAAAGAATCCTGGAAACTCGCGCCTGAGTATCGATTCCTCTCCAGGACATGTTCATCGGCCACTTTTCACAACTGATCATTGCCAAAGGTATGAAACACCTGCTTACGCTTGCCTCGGGCATTTCTGGACCTCCTTCGATTCCGTACTGAATTTCGGATAGGACTCGTCAGATGCGTGGCAAGCGGTCTTTGAGCATAAGTTGAAACCTCGAGCTTGGCTCCTTTTCCCCTTGGATAACGCCAGTAACTCGGCGATGACCACATATCGAGGATACAGAACTTATCCCAACCAGGATCAACTGGCATTCATCACCCTTCCTCCGAGATACTGTCAAGCTGCCACCCATGCCCCAGAGACAATTTTTGATGTTCATCCCACGACAGGGGCGCTCGGGGCGAAGGTGGTCCGGCTACTGACACTCAGGTGGCTTCCCAAGATCGTGGACGAGCTTGTGGATGGGTTGACGCTTTTCGAAATTCCAGGCTGGAACCACGACGTTCACTTCACCGGCGCACATAGGTTGGACGTACCTGTGGAGCCGCTGGACGACTATTTGTACCTCTTTCCACTTGAAGGTGAAAATCCTGGTGCAGGGGCATGTATCCTTCGAAGTGTTGAGGGGCCTTAGGGGGGTGCGCTCCGACTGGTGACGACCTGTGAAGAGGTGTTCTTTAGCTTTTCGTGTCCCACGGACAGCATCGGGCCAGCAGCTCAATGGGACGCCTACAGACCGGTCAAGGAATCCGTTTTGGGGTAGACGAGGTGTCTGATGATGTGGATTGCCAACACTGGTAATTGGTATGTATTGGGCTCTGAGCGACGTCATCACGAAGGCGCAGGACTGGTGGCAGGGCCGTCTCAGCACAGATGAGCGGCGTCTCTTCCCGCTCATGTTCACCCCAAAGCACAAGGAAATCTCGTCAGTCTACTTGGCGCTCCTCCAAGAGCCCTCCAGGCGAGCTGTTTGATACTTACGAGCAATTTATGAAGGGAAGGTGCGGGGCAGAGATCACAAGAATCGGCTCTATTCCACCATGTCGGACAATATCTTCGAAGAAATCTGCTACCCTGGCAGCAATACGCGCACAGACGTGCATACGACTACCCATGGACAGAATGGATGAGGGGCGAAAGATGCCACGTCATCGCAAACGACTTCGAGCCCTCGAGTACGCATGGAACTGGGTCAGAGACTTCAAGTCAGGCCTTCCTGAAACTCCACCAGAGAGTCTCCATCAGTATAGCGAGCGTTCACTATACGCTTGCTGGTATGCGGGGAAGTCACCTCCTTTACATGGTCCGGGCGGCTGCCCGCTGAATCGGGGAGTCCGTGGAAGAATTGCTGTCTCGCGAGCCAACTGAAGCGGATTCCCGTGTGAGAATACCGACTAGCCCTCACGCAGAGAGGCCATGGATGAGTGTGGATGTGACGGGACAGTTGAGTATGCCACGAAAATCTAAGAGGTAGGAAGCCAAGGGCATCGTGCCTTGATGGGGGTACGTCTGGAGCCTGCTAGCCAGCATGTCCGCATCACGAGAACTTAAAAGTCGGATTGAAGTATTATCATGCGTCTATTGCCCAACTATCTAGCCTCAATGTCTAGTCTATACCGCAAATGCAATCATCTACTCGCTATCTAATGTTAAGACCCTTCAACTTCGCCCATACACCCTAAAATACGAACAACACTCGATGCCCGCCATCCAAACCCCTCAGCTTCGCCCCTGTTTAGCACCAATCTCCCTCTCCCTCTTCACCATGAGCACCCTCACCATCCTAGAAACCACTCTGCGGGTTAGGATTAGCCCCCCTCCAACCACCTTGCACCTGCGCCTGCACCACCGAAGCCCCCTGCACCGCAGCAGCCTTGCTCCTAAACACAGCCAACGTCTTGTCACCATCAAACCTCTGATTCACAACGCCCACCATCCCACTCTGACAATGCCGCCCCGTGTTCTGGGCACAGTAGAACCAAATCGGCTTGTCATCGCGCACCTCAATCTGGAACACCTCGCCCGACTGCACGGCGCTGCCGTCCGCGGGGCGCGGGACGGGGAAGAAGCCCGAAAAGAACGAGGTCGCGTCCTTGGGCACGCAGGGCGAGTCGAACGCGGCCTCGACGACGGAATGGTTAAGGGGCGTGAAGTGGAACTCGACGATGGAGCCGACCTCGGCGACGATGTTCTCCGGGTCGAAGCGCAGGCCACCGCGGCCGGCGACGACGGAGTGGGTTGTGCGCGGCGAGGTGGATGTTTTAGTGGGCTCCCGGTATTGAAGGGCCGGGGCGGCGGTGACGGCCGGGAAGGCGGCGGCGGCTAGAAGGAGGATAGATTGGGCGAGCATTTTGATCGTTGGTGGTGGGACTTGGATGGCGTTCAAGTTTGTTTATCGTGATGCTGTGTTTGCTCTGAAGCAGGACTCGGGATGAGGTCGTGAGTGAGATCCGAGCAGCAAACCTGAACCGGATGTTGAAGTTGGTGATGAGATGTTGGGAATGAATGCATTGTTTCGTGGGTAAGCAACCGCGGTTAAGTACACAAAGAGCCATCGCAGCAACCATCATGGCTCTGCGTATCCAACATAACAACACGATGCCGCAGTCGCGCTCACCAGGAGCTGACACTTCGGCAAGCGCAGCCACAGGGTTTGACCAAACTGCAGGCTCACCAAAAGGGCCAACACCATCGCGGCCGGCGCACCAAGGGCGGTGCAGGCTTCTGTAGGCTTTGACTCGCCGATGAGAGTTGGAGCCGGGCTGATGTAAACGGGAAATCTGGTTTCCGGTCAGCAGCGAGGCTGAGCCCGATAATCCGTAGTGTCGTTGACAAATGGCGGCTATGAGCCGTTTTTAGAAATGAGGCTTCGGCGGCAGGGCGAGCTTTTGGTTGGCCGGTTCTGTCGCCGGAAGCGGTAAATGCCGTTGTGTCGCTTGACAGAAATATCCTTTTGATTTTTGAGCGCGCTAAGGACCACCAGGTTAGCTTATGATACCGCAAAGCCATCGGCAGTGGTGAGACCCGAGTGCTGTCAACACTAGCATTGCATTCACAAATCAATGAGTTCCTCAAAGTTCCTGCGGGAAGCACCGACAAGGGTATGAGCAGGCCCGCAGCTCGGATCGTCCAGATGGGAACTAGCCATTAACATCCTCAGAAAAGACTGGACGGCGTCAGGCAAAGCGGGACAGGCACTCGCGAACGACCAGAAACCGGGAGGCAATACGCCATGTATGTGCTCAAGATAAGGTATGTACGAAAATGTATCCGATGTACGGATTACAAGAACTGAAATGAGCATCCGCTCGATGCTGTGTAAAAAATTGATGTGTGCATGCTACTCCATCTCTTGTTCGACCGCCGCCCTTGTCCACGGCCATCTAAATGCACTGCGAGTACCACTGGTTCTGCGCCTGGCAGGTGGTGCCGGCCACGCAGGTCTTGCATCCAGAAAACCCACTGCCACCACACTGCGCCCACTTTTGAGCGACGCAGCCGGCCGGAGAAGATGTCTGGGCCCCGGAAGTGGAGGTCGAGGTCCTGGCGGAAGTGGTCGACGTGGGCCTGGCGCTGGAGGTGGCGCTCCCACTGCCAGGAGTAAACACCGGGAAGCTAGAATCGTCGTTGCGTCTGCAGCCGGTGCGGGCGACGAGCTCGGACGGGCACTGGACCTGACGGAATGAGAAGGTCGGGTTGTCGGCATTCTTGAACCAGTCGAAGCGCCAGTAGCAGCCGGGCTTGAGGGCCGCGGGGAACGAGTCGCATTGGCTGCGGGACGAGACACCGCCGTACTGCGCACCCGGAAGACCGCCAAACTGGGGCGTGCAGCCATCGAAGAGGCCAACGCCGCCGCCCGGGATGTTGAGATCGAAGTGGTTGGTGCCGAGATCGCCGCCGGTGCTGGTGGACTGAACCACCATCTTCTTGCCGGCAACGGGCCCGGAAGTGAAGGTAAGCCTGGGGAAGGTTAGCCAGAGCGGAAGTCTTCTGGAGTCAAGTTCACGGAACTCACTCGTAGCAAGCGCAGCACCACGACGCCTCAGAGCCGCCCGAAAGCGAGGTAGCGGCAAAACCGTAGGAGAGGTTGTCGTTTATCGCCCATGGAGATTGGTCGGCACAGGAGAAGGCCGAGCCACCGTCGCAGCCAGACTTGACGTTGGGATCGGTGAGGCGCTGGAAGTTGGCGCTGCAAGCGTAGACGGGCTGGTTCACGAGGGCCTTTCCGGGCCAAGCGCACGACGGCTTGCAGCAGTCCCAGTACCTGGGTGGTGTCAGCGAAATATGCGTCGAGTAGCAAGCTGACAGAGCTCATACCTGGTCGACTTGCCATCAGCGGCATAGGCCGCAAAGGGGAGGGCAGCAGCGAGAGCTGTGCGAAGAACGGGAGCCGAGCGCATCCTGTGCGTGTCAAGGAGAAGGGGACTTCAAGGAAGGTAAAGGAGCGTGGTTGACTTTGACTTTGAAGAGGAAAGATGGACGGTTGTAAACTGATGGGCGATGCCTTGAGCGTGGAGTTCCACGGGACCAACTTGACCAGGAGGAAGCTCCTTGTTGAAATATGTACCAATCCCCAAAACTCTCGCCCTGGACCCCCTACCCTACCAGCGAGCCATGTCAACGCTTGTTGACGGAGGCTAAGCCGATAGCCGAGATGGTGTTGCGGGATCAGGACCGCCGCAAACTCAGCTCGACCCACAAAACGCTCCCCGGAAACCGGGTTGTCGACAAACGATCCAACCCGCCACTGCCGCCAGCATGCTCGATGAAACGCACCGCTCCACATTCTCGGAATCTGGACCGGACGTGCCGTTTAATTGAGCCTGAAATAGCGCCTCCGATCAGGAAAAGCGCGCTCGATCACCATCAAGGATGCCATGCGCATCCATGATCTTGGAACACCAGAAGGAATCTCGAAGAAGTGATTTATGAAACGCGGCAGCCAGACAGAGTCCAGGACGCTGCCACGAAGGAATGAGGGACATGAGCAGGTTCCGTGGGATATTGGCATCAAGCGATAGAAGCCGAAACAGAGCTACGATGCTACCATAGGTAATGAGTGTAAGTGGTCTTGTGAAAGATTGTGCTGCCGAACTCCAAATGATCAAAGACTGGACGAGGAAGCTTGCCATGTCAACTCTGAGCAAACTTACGCGCCGCTCTATTGTGTGTCGGGGAATCACGCAGTGTCAATCAATGCGAAAGGTCGGTTCGAGTTGATGCTGAACCTTGGACCGTGTGAGGTCAACATGATGGATTGGGAACTGACGAATGAAAGTTTCGAATATAGAAGAAGATTGCTTTGAGTGAGCAGGGGCTAGTGAGTTTAGGAAGATTGCAGGTGGGGCCTTCTTTTAGTGAGCCACAACGCCACAACCTTCTGGGAGTGGGGTGAATGAGCGGCGCCTTTGTCACGTTAAACTGTGGCTGAGTCACATCCTCACCTCGGTCAGCGACGGACAACAACAACGGGAACCTTAGCTAGACAACGCTAAGACTAATACGGATTAGCGTCCTCTTGCCGCGTTCTTTCAGCCTTTGAGCAGGTCCAGAAATCAACGGCAAGCGTTTCTTGTTGCATTCCCAACACCACCGACGATCACTCGTCCACAGCGGTAATTGTCGAGTCGCGCTTCCACCGTTTCCTCGAAGACACTCACTCGTCGTAATCGAAACTCTCCAGTCACCGCTTGATGAATAGGCGGCCTGCGCAAGGCGAGTTGATGCGCGCGCTCGCCGCTGGTGGCGATTTCTAATCTGTTCGCCCCCAAACACGCCGTTCGCGGTCTCTTGCAGCAGCGCGCATCACTGCCGGCTTAAATTTGCGACTTCCCGCCGGCAATCATAGGCGCTGCCTCCTATTTCTTGAGGGGTTCTCGAGGATTCCTGCGTTGGATTCTCTCTTCAGTGCGCTGTGTCGAGATGGAGGAATATGCGACTAGCCAGTACGGCAATCTTTCTGATCCATACGAAAATGGCGCTGGTTTCGACGACGGTACCGGCCTGGATGATGGCGCGGGCTTGGGAAGCGAGGATAGTATTACGCCCGAGGACTGCTGGGAGGTTATTTCGTCCTATTTCGACATGAAGGGCCTCGTTTCCCAACAGATCGACTCGTTCGACGAGTTCACGTCCACCACCATCCAGTCCCTCGTCGATGAGTACGCCGACTTGACCCTCGACCACCCAAATCCCGGCGATGACAGCGGTAGAGACATTGCGATGCGCAGATACGACATCCATTTCGACAACGTGCTAATTTCTAAGCCGACTCTCACCGAAGCCACGGGCGAAACCACCAGTCTACTACCCTACGAATGCCGCGACCGTAACCTGACCTACTCCGCACCTATGTATTGCAGGGTCGTGAAGCGCGCGCGAGTGGCCATCAACGAGGAAGTTCCTCTGAAGGACATGGACGACGAACAGCGGGAATATCTGGCTCGGACTGGCGAGGCGCCCAAGACGATTCGCTGGGAAGAGGAAGACACCGGACCGCGCGAGGGACCCTCCAAGGGAGTCGAGGAAAAGGGCGATCTGATCTTTCTCGGCAAGCTGCCAGTCATGGTAAAGTCACAGGTCTGTCATTTGCACGGTGAGGACGACGACTCGTTGTTCCTGCTTAATGAGTGCCCGTATGACCAAGGCGGTTACTTCATCATCAACGGCAGCGAAAAGGTTCTTATCGCCCAGGAGCGCTCGGCCGCCAACATTGTGCAGGTGTTCAAGAAGCCAGCAGGAGGCAGTGTCTCATATCAGGCTGAAATTCGGTCCGCGCTGGAGAAAGGCTCGCGCCTCATTTCGTCCCTGCAGATGAAGCTACACACCAAGGGCTCACCGGAGAAAGGGAGGTTAGCAAGCACGGTCAGCGTCACGCTGCCCTATGTCCGAGAGGACATTTCGCTTGGCATCGTTTTCCGTGCCCTCGGTATCGTGTCAGATGAGGACATCCTCAACCACATCTGCTACGACCGGACAGACACCCAGATGCTTGAGGCGCTGCGGCCTTGCATCGAGGAAGCCTTCTGCATCCAGGACCGCGAAATCGCCCTCGATTTCATCGGCAAGCGTGGCAACGGCAACGCCGGTCAAAACCGCATGAACCGTGTCCGGGCTGCCAAGGACTTGCTCCAGAAGGAGATGCTGCCTCACATCTCACAGAGCGAAGGCTGCGAGACGAGAAAGGCCTTCTTCCTAGGCTACATGGTGCACAAGCTGCTCCAATGCGCCCTCGGTCGCCGGGATCCCGACGACCGTGACCATTTCGGCAAGAAGAGACTCGATCTTGCAGGTCCGCTGCTGGCCAAGCTGTTCCGTAACGTCATTCGCCGCATCACCCAGGACTTGATGTCGTACATGAAGCGGTGCATCGATACCAACAAGAACTTCTCCCTGGCCCTGGGTATCAAGCACTCGACCCTCACCAACGCGCTCAAGTACTCGCTGGCGACGGGCAACTGGGGCGATCAGAAGAAGGCCATGAGCTCCACCGCCGGTGTGTCTCAGGTGCTGAATCGCTACACATTCGCCTCGACGCTCTCGCACTTGCGGCGCACCAACACTCCCATTGGGCGCGACGGGAAGCTGGCCAAACCTCGCCAACTCCACAACACGCACTGGGGCCTTGTGTGTCCGGCCGAAACCCCTGAAGGTCAGGCTTGCGGTCTCGTCAAAAATTTGTCCTTGATGTGTTATGTCAGCGTGGGGACGCCCGCGGACCCCATCGTCGAGTTCATGATTGCCCGCGGCATGGAGGTGCTCGAGGAATACGAACCGCTGCGGTACCCCAACGCCACCAAAGTATTCGTGAATGGCACTTGGGTCGGTGTCCATCAAGATCCGAAACACCTGGTCAGTTTGGTCCAAGGATTGCGGCGAAAGAACGTAATCTCGTTTGAGGTCTCGCTTGTCAGGGACATCCGCGACCGCGAGTTCAAGATCTTTTCGGATGCTGGCCGTGTCATGAGGCCGCTGTTCACTGTCGAGCAAGAGCCGAACAGCGAGACCGGCGCCGAGGTGGGCCAGCTGATTCTCAACAAGGATCACATTAGCCGGTTGGAAGCGGACAAGGAGCTGGGCAAGTATCATCCCGATTACTGGGGTTGGCAGGGCCTCTTGAAGTCGGGTGCCATCGAGTACCTGGATGCGGAGGAGGAGGAGACAGTCATGATTTGCATGACGCCCGAGGACCTCGACAAGTTCCGTTACCGCAAGATGGGCTTTATCATCGAAGACAATTCTGGTCAGGGTAACAACAGGATTAAGACAAAGCCGAACCCGACGACTCACATGTACACCCACTGCGAGATCCATCCCAGCATGCTGCTCGGCGTTTGCGCGAGCATCATCCCGTTCCCAGACCACAACCAGTCCCCTAGAAACACATACCAATCGGCCATGGGGAAGCAGGCGATGGGTACCTTCCTCACGAATTATAACCGCCGCATGGACACCATGGCCAATGTCCTCTACTATCCCCAAAAGCCCCTAGCCACGACGCGCGCGATGGAGTTCCTGAAGTTCCGAGAGCTGCCGGCTGGGCAGAATGCCATTGTCGCCATCGCCTGCTATTCAGGATACAATCAGGAAGACTCTGTGATTATGAACCAGAGCAGCATCGACCGCGGTCTCTTCCGCAGTCTCTTCTTCCGGTCGTACACCGACTGCGAGAAGCGGGTCGGTATCAACATTGTCGAAAAGTTCGAGAAGCCCAACAGGAGCGACACGCTACGGCTGAAGCACAGCACGTACGACAAGCTCGACGCGGACGGCATCGTTGCCCCCGGCATCCGCGTTTCCGGCGAGGATATCATCATCGGCAAGACGTGCCCCATCAACCCTGATAATGCCGAGCTCGGTCAGCGATCCGCCCAGCATGTCAAGCGCGATGCGTCCACGCCGCTACGCAGCACAGAGAGCGGCATCGTGGACCAGGTGGTCGTCACGACCAATCAGGACGGCATGCGCTACGTCAAGGTGCGGGTGCGGACGACCAAGGTGCCGCAAATCGGCGACAAGTTTGCTTCGCGCCACGGACAAAAGGGCACGATCGGCGTCACGTACCGCCAGGAGGACATGCCCTTTACCTGCGAGGGCATCACGCCCGACATCATCATCAACCCGCACGCCATTCCGTCCCGCATGACCATCGCCCATTTGATCGAGTGCCTGCTGTCTAAGGTGTCGACGCTCAAGGGCATGGAGGGCGACGCGACGCCCTTCACCGAGGTGACCGTCGATAGTGTGTCGGACCTGCTGCGCGAACACGGCTACCAGAGCCGCGGGTTTGAGGTTTTGTATCACGGCCACACGGGGAAGAAGCTGCGGGCGCAGGTCTTCTTCGGGCCGACCTACTACCAGCGCCTGCGCCACATGGTCGACGACAAGATCCACGCGCGCGCCCGCGGGCCGCTGCAGATCATGACGCGTCAGCCTGTGGAGGGCCGGGCTAGGGACGGTGGCTTGCGGTTTGGCGAAATGGAGCGCGATTGCATGATTGCGCACGGCGCTGCTAGTTTCTTGAAGGAGAGGCTTTTTGAGGTGTCGGATGCGTTCCGGGTGCACATTTGCGAGATTTGCGGGTTGATGACACCTATTGCGTAGGTTCTCCCCCTTTCCCTTCTCGACCCATTAGTTTCGATGTGATGTGAGTTGCTGACTGAGTGGATATAGGAACCTCACCAAACAGTCGTTTGAGTGCCGGCCGTGCAAGAACAAGACCAAGATTGCGCAGGTCCATCTGCCGTATGCGGCCAAATTGCTCTTCCAGGAGCTCATGGCCATGAACATCGCCTCGCGCATGTTTACCAGCCGGTCCGGCATCTCGGTGCGCTGAGGTGGCGGGCTTGGATGATTTGGTTTGAGTGGATGTGGTGGTGGTCGGGGTTGGTTCGTGGTTCTGAATCCCGGCGAAACAGAGAGTGGAGGAGAAAAATGCATGCATCCAGGGTCGTTTGGCGTCATTACTTTTTCCACTTTTTACGTTATTTAACGTCGCCCTTGCTTTGGGCTTGGCCGTGGCTTTCGGCCCGGCTTTTGGTTTAAGAGTTGCATCAAGAAGGGGCCGTTCTCTGGGAGCCTTGATAGCTGCCAGAGGAAATGGAGAAACTGGAAGTGCGGCGGATGCACCATTGGTTTCGTTAATCCAGACGGCTGGCTGCCAGGATGTGTAATACTATAAAAGATAGAGCCGAGTCAGGCGAATGCAATGGCTTGGGGTTATTCTATTCCCAGTGGTACAGTATTACCCTACACGAACACTATCATACAAGCCTTCGAAGACGGGTATCAAGACAACACACCACCCTCGTTCCGTTCGGTCCTCCTTTCGCGTTCACAACTGGGTATCTTCCTCTCGCGTCCGGGACACCTCCCTCTCCTTCGCCCGTGTTGCTGCTCCATCGTCCTCTTTGGCTGTCCACTCCCTCCCTCGATCGGCCATGAAACAATACGCGTAAAAACCCATGAGTAGTTGACTAACAACTCTTTCAAATTCCTGCTCTTCGTTTCTCCGAGCCACCCCTTCTAGCCCACCCAACATCAGCAGCGCCAACATGATCACCGCACTGATACTGGAATCCCACAGATTTCGGGTATTTTAGGTCGGAGGAGCTGTCTGCGTGACTCTCCCCAAGCCGCTGCTGCTGCTGCTGCTGCTCCCGTCTCGCACCGTCTGCTCCCTCTTGTACTCGGCCTCGAGCGCCCGCTGCTGGTCGAAGTCGGCTTGGCGCTCCCGCTTGAGGCGCTGCTGTTCCATGTCGCGGATCACGCCCTGGTGCATTGCCTGCATCCAAGGGTTTCCCTCGCTTGTTAGTTTGGTGGTTGTAGCAGATGGCGATGGTGTAGAAGGAAGGTTGTCGCACGTGCGGGAAGATGTGGTTGTGGCTGGAAAATATACCACGGTTTCCATGGGGAAGGAAGGGGGCGACGGTTGGGAAGTTGAAGTGGACACTGGAGAGAGATGGGAAACCGAAGGACGGGAAGGTGGAGGGAATCGAACCTCTTGTTCCGCCTTTTGCTGATAATGCACAAATACCACTGTGCCGAGGGCAAAGAGGGAGGTGCCGAGCAGTGTCAGCTTGGAGGCGCGGGACATGGTGAAAGACCGACGTAGTTATCGCGAGGCGCATTGTCTCTTGCTTGATTGCTTGATGCTCTGGGGAAAATGGTCGAGCAGAAGTTTTGCCGGGTTACACCGCCCGAGATCAACACCCGGCAGGCAAGGAGCAAACCTCAGTGGGGCAGTGCCGTCAGCGGACAAGGGGAGCTCTGCCGCTTGTTGGCGGCAGCCGGATCATGCCCCACTTTTTCCGCGAATCCGCCTCGCGACTAGACCTGCATCACATCACCAACCAACAAGACGACGACTCTCCTGCGCAGCGGGAGAACCGACCTTACTACGGCTTACTACGTCTTCTTGAATCGTCTCAACAGTTAGTGCCGCCTGGCAATTGCAAACCTCGACTCGCAAGATGGTATACCTCGCCGACTTCGGTTGAAGCATCGCTCTGATGCGCCTTGTGCTCTAATGGCGACCAATGCTGACGGAGATGGCAGTCGGCGCAAAATTCCGCGGGTATTCAGACCCTGCTCGATGTACGGCCCCAGCTCATCCAGCCAGAGCGCGGCGCTGAATGACGGGAGAATTCAAGAGGCCGATGGCTGATAAGGGTTGACGCAGGCTGAGAGGGAGGCATCGAAGATTGTTCAGAAGGGTATGTTCAACTTTTCAGGGCCATCTTGATCTTGACACTGACAGATGTGTTACAGCTCGCGAGTGTGTGTCGGCTCCCCCTGGTGCGCTCCCAGCAGACGACTGACTTCAACAGACCGAACCAAGAGGGTGAGGGAAGCGCGAGATGAGGCCAAGAAGGAGATTGAGGCATACCGCGCAAAGAAAGAGGCCGAATACAAGGAATTCGAAGCACAGGTACTTATTCTGCAGGTTGGCCGAGTGGAAGAATCAAGCTGACGTCGACAGCACACACAAGGGAACAAGCAAGCCGAGGAGGAGGCCGACAGGGAAGCTGACGCCAAGATCAAGGAGATTCAGGAGGCAGGAAAGAAGCATCAAGACAAGGTCATCAACGATCTGCTTTCGGCCGTTTTTGACGTCCATCCTACGCCTGTTTCATGAGGATGTTAACGGGTGGGGAATGATGGATGTGCGACAAGTTGGACGGTCATGGCACCTACTGAACCAATCGCAGGCGGTGATACGGCCAGAGCGGTAGAAGAGTGCAGGTTCGGAATGGCTCAGAAAACAACATCGATGCGACTTCACAATCTCGTGCCTGCTCACGGTGTTCGACGTCTAACTTCTTACCTGCAGCAAGCAGCCTGAAAAGAGCCCCGGCGGGCTTCCTGGGATCGTGGTATCGTCTAGCTGTTGTACATCCTTTACCAATACACTCGGTGCCTCTGTCACTGCAGGAAGCGAACCAGCGTCGTCAACATCTCCTTGGTGTCCTTAGCCTCCTCCGACTCGGCATCAATTCCGTCGATCTGCTCCTGGATCGTGTCCCTAATGACGGTAAAGGTTTCGTCCCTGTCGGCCAACAGTGCCTGAATCTTCTTCCTGGCCCCGTCATCTTCGGCGATAAGCCACGCCAAGATCACGTCGATGGTCTGCAGACAGAACAGTCCTGCGTCAAGCCGCTGCGAGAACCATTCATCGGCCATCTCTTCCCTCTCGTCGTCGCCCATGCCCAGTTGCTCCTGCTTGATCCGCTCATCTGCCGCACCGATGCGCGCCGCATACTCTCGTCTAAGCTTGACCAGCTTCTCCGTTTTCTCGTAGTCCTTTTCAACAAACTTGGCCAGCGTGCGAATTCGCTCTGGCGTGTCGGCTGGCAGCAACCGTAGCATTGAGCCAAAGATGCCCAAAAGATGCTCCATCATTTGGTGATCGTGCTTCTTCATGAACATGGTAAATATCGTCTTGAGCCCGCCGTCCTCCACGACCTTTTGACAAACTCCTGCCGCGGCCGGGCCGCCCGCTGCGTGATCAAGCAGCCTAAGAGCCGCAGGTTTGCCGAGCTTCCCCCCTTCCTTGAGCATAATCAAGCACAGCTCGACGCCCTCGGCCTCGACAAACTTGGCTTTGCCCTCGGGCTCATCCGCGATACTCGTCAGCGCCTCAAACAAGTTCTCCATGTACTCCTCCTCATCCCCGCCTTTCTCCGGATCCCGTCTGCGATACGCCGACACAAGCTGCAGCATCGTGTCCACGGCATCCAACCCAGCCAGTACCCTCCTATTTTTCTCCGAGCCCGACACCAAGATTGCCAAAATCTCAGCCGCATACTGCTTGTTCTGCCCCACCGGCCTCTCCCCCCTCCCCGCCCGCTCCATCAACCACCTCACCAACGCCTCATCCGCCCCGACCGTCTCGGCCGTCTCGCGCTTCGAACACAGGTTCTCCACCACACCGAGCGCGCGATACACCCCTTCCCGATCCACCTCCTCCGTCTCATCCAGCCTCCCCAGATGACTAAGCAACAACCCCAACAAATCCGCCTCGAGCGCAGTGTCCACGAGCGCGCTCCACTGCTCCTCGCTCGCCGCGACGTCCTCGTCCGTCAGCTCCCCGAGAATTTCGACGGCGTCGAGCGCGATATCCGGGTTCTCGTGCGCCAGCAGCGAGACCAGACTCCCCGCGCAGCCGAGGCGGGCGAAGTCGGGGTACAGGGCCGGGTGCTCGGAGAGGATGGACAGCGCCTTGATGGCGGCGTCGAGGTCGGCCTCGGAGTCCATGAATTTCTGGGGATCCGACTCGTAGCGCGCGCGGAGCTCGGCGTTGCGCGTAATCTTTTTCTCAAAAGAGAGGGCGGTCTTTTTCAGCCAGGATAGGTCGATCGTTTCGTCGCCGGCCGCGTCGTTCGTGATTGTGGCGGTCGAGTTGTTGGCGGCGTCGGCGCTGTCGACAAAGTCGAGGATCTCGCGCTCGGTGCGCGTGATGCCGCCGCCGAAGAAGCGGCCTTCGGTGTCTTCGTCGCCTGCTTCATCTTCGTCGTCGGGTGGGGGGGCCGAGGGCCCGTAGTCGCCTTCGTCGTCGGAGGCCGGGGGTGGGAGAGGGTCTGCCTCGGTGTCGTCTTGAAAGTGGGCGTGGCGGGCGGTGGAGGAGGAGAGTTTGGCGGATTTGTAGATTTCGGCTGCAGGGTCGTGTTAGCATGAGGATGTCGGAACAAGGGATGCTGCTTTACTTGGATCGCGGACGGGGTCCAGCTTGCGTTTGCTGGAGATGCCGGATTTCTTATCATTGTTAGATTTTTCAACTGCAGATTGACGTTGCATGAATTCACATACTTGGAATATCTCGTCTATGCTCGTCATGGTGGGCGGCTGACGTGTGGATGGTTGTTGTTTTTGGAGATGCAGAGAAAGTTATTTTGTTTCGTTTGGAGCCGACAGCTGCATAATGTAAATTACGTTACACCCACCGCAGTCCAAGAATGCGGGGCCGGCTTGGCGCGGAACCAACCCTTGTACTCCGTGATTATCCACGACAACGAAAGCAAACTTGAAGAAAAAGAAACATTTAGATGAGGATTCATGACGGAAAGGCCTCACTGACACGATGCCACTCATGTATACAATATTGCTCTGTACCACAAATCAGCGAACCCGTATGGTGCTGATGTATTCCTCAACACTATGGGCATAGAGGCTACCAGAGGATTCATTAAACAACGCCGCCGACCCCTTCCCCCGAGATTACCTGATGATATGTACCTGCCCCACTTCGTTGCTTCCGCGTATCTGGGAGGCTGCATCTGGGGGTTCAGGGCGCTCCCAACATTGAAGTCTGGCTTCGCCGAGGGTTCGTCACCGCAGCTGGCATCTCCATCTTGGGTGTGACGGGCTGATGCCGCAGCGTAATTGTGCAATGGATAGAGGTGAAAGGAGCAACGCCAGCCTGGTTGGGGTTGTGACCGATAACTCGAAACTTTAGCAGGGTGCTCGAACTGGGAGATAAGGCGAGTCTGCACCAGCCGGGCCGGGGCCGAGGCACTGGTCCAGACAGCGACAAAACGAGCCAGGCCGACTCGGCCGACGCAACAAAGGGGTTCGTGCCCATCTGCGTCGGAAGGGCCCGTCCAAGGGTTGCAGCTTTTGCACCCACATCGCCAGGCCTCCTCTGGGCGGTTACAGCGCGGGCGACAGGCTGAACATCCAGGTCCTCGCTCAAGGCCTTCCTGAGCCCGTCGATCTCGACGTCAACGCCGAGTCGCGGACGCTGTGCTGGACGAACCGTGGGAAGCTGCCCCTTGGGTAAGAGGTTGGATGAAATTCAGCTGGGCAGCTGGGCGGCGGCGGAGGTTTCATACAGGAAAACGATACTCGTCAGGGGTCTGCATGAGCATGAGGCTATTGGGGTCAAGCTCGATGTCAAAGACAAGCATGTGCATTTGACGGATCTGGGCAGCTCGGTGCATCGCTGGGGTGCGGACGGCGGAAACCGCACGATAGTGTTTGAGAACTCGAGCATGGCGCTGATGGACTTTGAGCTTTGTGAGAACTGGTGGGGGTGTACCATCTAAAGATCTAAAGGATCAGACTCTCTATGGTTTTACATGGTGGAAGGAGTTCTTGCAGCATGTACCACGAGCGAGGCCTTCGGGAGGTGATCATGAGACGGGTCAGATCCGATGCTGCCGGATGTCTCACGCTAGGTTAAGCGCGTAGACTTCAAAAACGCTATCATCATACGAACAAGTCATGACCCGTTTCCCTGCTGCTCCTCATCACGCTGCTCCTGCCTATCCCTCTCGTAGTTTTTGAAGACGGCGAGCAGGCCAAGGTCATAGCAGGCCTTGAGGGAGCCAGCACACACGAAGCTGACCCAAAAGAGATCCCTGCCAGCGAGCACGCCCGTGATGAGCGGACCGAGGCTTTGCGCGGTGGTCTTGACGACGTTGATGGCGCCCATGACGGCGGTCCGCTCGCTTGGGAGGAGTACGGCCGCGAGGAAGGCGGAGCGCGGGGCGACGTCCATGGACTGCGTGCAGGCCCGAAGGATGAGGAAGAACAGCGACAATGGCAGGGATGAGGGAACAGGGATAACGGCGAGGAAGATGGATGAGGGAAGGTGGGTGAAGACCATAGTCTGGGGGGAGGTCAGCATCGTGTTGGACCTACGTTTAAGGGGCGGAGTTGCGCCATACCTTGACGTTTCCAAGACGCTTGGCTATGGCCGAGGCAACAATGACCGAGGTAGCAGAGATGATGCTAGTGGTGAAGAAGACGGAGCCCAATCGTCCCTCGTCCAGGTCGAAACGGGAGCGAAAGTAGTATGTAAGCCACGATCTACTCTAGGTCAATGCCCAGTATATTTAATGTGGTGGGATGCTGGACGTACAAGGGGGCCAGACCCGACGCAAACGAGTCGACGGCAAAGAGAAGGCAGAGGGCCACCGTGATCTCCTTGCTCTCTGGGCTGAGCTGCGGCAAGAGCGCTGCCCACCAGCGCCTGTTCCTGAATCCGGGCTGGGGCTCGGGATTCGTATTAAGCAGCGGCGTCGTATCCGTCGGCGCGGCTCCCGAATCACTTGAATCGGAAAGCTCTTCATCCGCTTCGACGTTGGACGACAGAGCCAAGACAAGCACCAGCTTGGTCAACCCCAGGGCCGCATACGCCAGGAAGACGGCGCGGTAGGCATCGAGAAGCGACCAACCCAGCGCGCTCCTCGCGCCCTCAACGGCCCAGCCGCAGGTCATCATGCCGAGCGCCGCGCCCGCGGTCCCGGCCAGACTGTACCAGGCATACACATCGGAACGGTCGGCCGTGGGCGTCAGACGAGCGACGATGCTCTCCTCAACGGCGCGAAACGGGCCAATCTCGTTTCCACTGGGGCTGATGACGCCGACGACGGCAGCAGCCAACAGGACCCAGAAAGACGGCGGAGCAGCGGCAAAAACGACACCCGACAGCGCCATGAGGGTGGCCCCGAGAGCTAGCACCGCGCGGCGGCCGAGAAGGCGGTCGGCGCTGAGGGAGAGCAGCAGCGAGATGAGCACATCGCCGACCAAGGTGAGCGTCATGAACAGCCCCGCGCGGGCGCGCGAGTGGCCGAGGGCGCGCAGGAACGAGACGAGAACGAGAGTCGAGGCGCCATAGGCGGCCAGGCGCACGAATCGTTGCAGAATGAGGAGCTTGACATCGGCCTTTGAACGGGCGAGGGCTGTCAGGCCCAGCTCGGAGAGGATGCGCTGGCCGAGGGCTGGTGATGAGGAGCCTTGTGGTGGTGGCGTCATGGTCTCAGTGTCTTGAACTTCCAGTTCTTGGCGTCGATTGTTACATAGTTCACCCTTTCAGCGCTAACAGTTCCTTTGTTGTAAGACGGGCTCAGGCCTCAGGGCTCTAAGACGTGCTGTGGGTGCATGAACTTATGAAGTTCTGTCAAGTGTCAATGTACCCCATACATCACTCGTATTGTACAGTGCCCTTCCTTCGCATTTCGCATGGACCCCACAGCCTCGCTTCCACCCGTACGCACTGCCCATTGTGTCATTATCGCCGTCGACTGCTGGCATCCACTTTGTTCCGAACGAGTACCTACGGAACCTGACATAATTCATCTCCTTTGTTGTTTTGTTGGCCAGGGCCCTCTAGTGCCTTGTCTCGTCTGTCTTACAATTTCCCTTGCCTCGACGGACTCTCGCTGTGCTCATCCATGGACCATGGAATACGCACGAGTCAGGCATTGATGGCAGCCGAAATGTCTACTTGGCTACAGCTGCGAGCACTGAAAATTACACCGAGCTTCCTCACTCTGGCGAAAGTGCCAAACAAAGCAGTTGCGCGGAAAGAATCTCGTTTGGATTTCTCCTGTTCCCGAGCCGAAGAATCGAACAAAGGCGAATCAGATGAAAGACGACACCAAAAACCGTTTGTCTGGGACTGGATCAAGGACCGGTTGTTTCCATTCAGAATCGGGAGATACTTTGCTCAGGGGCATTTCCAGATGCGTATATGCCAAAGACATTTAGCCTTTTGTTGCCCAGGAAGACTCTGCTCTTTTGTTTGGGTATTGATTTAACTCCAATGTTTGTCGAGGTCTGCTGAAGGCGTCCCGCCTTGCCCTTGAAGTCTCCGAAATTGTTCATATTTAAGTTCTCCGATCTGCATCACTCTTAGTGAAAGCATTTGTGTGTCATGGCCGACGCTACATTCCGGGAAGGACAGCAGAAATCATCCTACTGTACAAGTTTCACTTATACCGGACCCTCGGGCGGTTTTCAGAGCAATTCAACCCCGAAGCCAGTGCACATAAGCTGCTCAGGCGTCCCAAGCGAGGCTGGCTGCGACGCCCGGGAGTCTTCAGCGGCTTACGGCGGCTACCGCACGCGGTTAATCCGGGGCGGCCTTACGTCCTTAACGCGCACATAGGCTTTGCTCACAACCAGAATGAAGCAAAGTTCGCACGGCAATGGTACTCCTCGAAACTTGGATACGTACAAGCTCGACTCGAGCGCACCCTTGGATGGGGCGGCAACGGCATTGCCTCGCTCTTCTATGTCGATCCGGGGAACGGCGCGCCTCGTGACTATTTTGTTGCAAAGACGTGCATCAACCCGGCCTCGCGCGCAGCGGGTGCCTTGTGCGAAGAGAAGAACATGCAGAATGTGAGGCATGACCTCGACTTCTTCTTGTCACAACTAACCAGGCACCTTGTTATATCCAGTCATACCGAGGTGCTCTGCATATCGCTCAGACAAGAGAACCCCCGCCATTGTTTGCATGGACTCAGGGACGATTAGGAGAGGCCTTGCGGGATGAAATAATTTTCTCTGACTATCTCGGCCGCGGCAATCTCCACAAGATGATATGTCAGATACGGGCCAACGCAGCCAGATTCCCCAACCGCGTCCTCTGGCTATAGTACAATGCTGTAAGTGGCCTCTGATGTCACGCTGGGGGTATAAACTAACCAAGGTAATCACCAGTCGTCCAGAATTGTATCACCATGGAGTACCCGCCCGGCCAGGACCTCGCCCGCAGCCTCCCGAGAGACGCGCAGGGCCAGGTATTTGGAGTGTACGGCGAACGCGTCCCCCCGGCCTGTCAGGCGGCGTACGATCAGGCACTGGCGGACAGAAGTTGGAACCACGAGGGCAAGACACCTGGAGGAGCCGGGGTGGTTCACTTCGACATCGACCCTCAAAACAGTAAGTCTGCCTCACCTGAAGAATCCCTCTCCTGATAGTGGTACCCTCTCACCGGCGAGCAGTTCTCCTTGGAAACATAAACATTGGCCCCGCCAACGATAGGCATGCCCTTCTCCCCGTTTTCCAGTTGACCGACTGCGGGCTCGCGCGGGCCATCGATCTCACTTATGTGAGCAATGCGAGGAGACGGGGAACAGTGGGTTTCCTCAACGACAGGTAAGGGCATTGCCGCCATGGACGGGGTGAGGGACAATTTTGACCAGTTTGGCTTTAGGAAATCGATGTGGAACTATCGACACATGGCAAAGCCAGGTTACTTTGCGCCGGTCGGTCAACTACCGCCACTCTCTACCTTTCTGGGAAGCACTCTGAGTGACGAGTTCTCTCGGAACAATTCAGCGAAGAATGGGATTGGGTCGACGACCTTCCCAGACGAGAGAACCCTCGGCCCAAGACGGCAGGCAAGTACTGCTGGAAGACCAACCTCTACCAGTTCGCCGTCGTCCGTCACCCTATCACGCAGGGTCCATCCCAGATTCGTCATGAAGAAACACCATCACTAGCACCACCAACTTACAGGTCATGACGATTCTCATAACACTGACACCCCCGCGCTACCACCCTACCCAGAAGAAATCGAGATTTCGGACCCCAACAACCCAGGCCGATTGATTAAGGCCTGGTCCTACGGGGCCTATATTCTGAACGACAGGCATTGGGGCGCGGTCGACGGCGAGCTCCGGCGGCTCGTGGCCCAGTGCATGTGCGACGAGCCGGCGCACCGACCCGAGCTGCAGGAGCTCCAGGCCACCATCGCCAGCCGCCTGGCCAACACGGTCTGGGCGGGCACCGACAGCGATGCCAACGTGCAGGCGTGGATGCAGCAGAATATTGGGAATCCGGCGCCGCCTCAGAACCCACCGGGCCAACTGCCGCTGTGGTTTATGTGTGATCGGGGATGGACGGAGTAATTAGCCGCTGGATTAGACCGTGCCATGGTACGTTTGAGATCAATTATTATGTACCAACAGTGACAGGTCCTTTGGCTCTCAAAGAGCCTTAATCCTTGCAAAAGGGAAATTCGGCTCCCTGAAAACCTTCTCAGTAGCAGCCATCGACTTGTACTCCTCCGGCAGCGGCAAAAACTCAAAGCTCAAGACGAGCAGCACCACCATGATCTTGAGTTCCATCATGGCCAATTTGCGTCCTGTATAATGTATTTTACGTCAGCACTCTTTTACCCAACCCACCGACAAAAGAAATGCAAAAAGGAAATCAGAAACCTACCAAAACAACCCCTAAACCCCCCCCCAAACGCCAACGAAGGCAGCGCATAGCCATCAAACCTCTCCCTGCCCGTCCCGTCCTCATCCACCACAATCCACCTCCTCGGCTGAAAAGTCCCCAGATCCCTCCCTGCCGGCCCCTCAAGCCCAACCCCCCTGCCGTCACCCCTCCTCTTCTCTGCCGCCGCCGCCGCGGCGCTGGGGGTTGGCCTGTTGATATGATAGTTCATAAACACCTCAGCGCCCTTGGGGACAGGACAGCCCAGGATGTGTGTGTCGACCAGGGCCTGGCGGAGGTTGGCTTTTGCTGTGCCCGAGAGGCGGACGAGTTCTTCGATGGTGGCGTCGAGGTAGGGGATGGAGGCGGAGAGTATTTCTGAGGCGGAGGGGAGACACGGGAGGTGGATGGTGGGAAAAGAGGTCTGCAGGATGGAGCGCAGTTCGGATTGGACTGAGGGATGGGATTCCATGTACCGCACGAACCAGCTTAGGGTGTTGGCGGTTGAGTCGTGGCCCTGGGGAAGTTGGTTGGTCAGTGATCTATCAATACCTTACTAAATTGAACGCGGTGGACGGTGGAGAGGGGGTTGTTGTTAATATAAACGTACCCCAACCAGCATGACAAACATCTCGTCGAGTATGGCCTCGTCCTGGGTCGGATCCGAGGGGGCCACACCAGCCTTCTTGGCCTGCAGGATCTGCCGGCGTAGGACCAAGTCCATGGCGCACTTGTCGATGCCGGCGTCGTCCCCGAGGCGGCTGACCTCGAGGCTCTGATACCGGTCGACGGCCTTTTTCATGGCCCGGCGCATCTCGCCGCTGACGGTGCGCCGGAACCGGCGGTACCGCGGCGTGTACGTCTCCAGCTTCTGCGCCAGCCTGGGCGACGGGCTGTTGGAGTTGCGCGCGATCGTGTTGCTGAGGTAGGCCACCTGCTCCTTCAAGAACGAGCCGATGGGGCGGGCTGCATTGTCGTTGTTGTTGTTGTCCAGAGTAGTTCCGTTCCCGTCCAGCTGGCTCCGCAGCTTCTGGATCTCGTATCGCGTGGTGCCGGGCTCTTCGCCCACGACAGCAACCCAGATGGCGTCCAGCGCGGCGTTCTTGAAGTCGTCGAGCACGTTGAAGGCCCGGTCCTTGAAGACGGTCGAGGCCTTGAGCCGCCACAGCTCCAGCAGCTCGCAGGTGGACTTGTGAATGTTGGGAGCCGCGACCTTGCGCAGGAACTCGGTGTTCATGACATCGGCCCACAACCGCTTCTGGGCCTTCAGCTCGGGTGTCGTAAACTGGGCGAGCGAGGCGCGCGGGAACATGGGGCCGAAGATGTCGATGGCCATGGGCGCCCGGTCAAACTCCTTGCTGCGCCGGACGATGATGTCCTCAATCTCGCGCGCGTCTTCCAGGATAATCAGAGGCTTGCGGATGCCTGGGAACAGGAGCTGGGCGATGGGTGTGCCCAGCTTCTGGGTGGTGACGGTAAACAGCGCCTCGGAGAACTCGTTTGTCTCCTGGATGATGGGGGCCAGCTCGAGGATGTCGCCTGTGAGGCGCTTTGCGGACGCCTCATTATACGGGATGCCTGGGTAAGGTTTCGGGTAGAGTTTGCGTAGTACGAGGATGAATCCTACGACGGCCACGCCAAGTAGCGCAAAGCGCGCTGAAAGGGAGTTAAACATCGGGGCTGCTCTCGATTATTACTGTGGTCCGAGAGTCTATGTTGTCGAAACTGGAGATGAGCTGTTGAAAGCTGCCTGGCGGCCCCCACTTCCTAATATACTGCAGTCGCGAAATCGACAGTGGCGGGGTAGCGCCCGCAGACGCCAACGCAACTGTGCCGCAAGGCGACATGTTCTCATATCACAGCACTTATTACCTTGAGCCGGGCCGTTGGAACCAGGCGGTTCTATCTCGTTCATCGCATGCCCTTGGGTCATGAAATTGCCGTCACTGGATTGAGGACTCCGCGTTGTCGGAGGCAGGCATCGCTGCCACAGCCGCGGTCATGGCCGTAAAGAGAAGAAGTGTGTTCTTGATTGAGACCATAATGAGCGGGTCAAATGGTGAGTGATGGTCTTAAGGTAGGTAAGGCGCTGGTGGCACTGGTTGATGAGATTAAAGTAACCGGTATGCTTGCTGTTGTCAAACGGTGTGTGAGAAGGCCGAGAATCTGTGTTATATAATTGTGCGTATGAGTTGCCGTCGACGTCATGTCAGTCTTCGTCCCCGCTATCCACGGCCTGGACCGGTGCTAGTTGACTTCATGTTCCTTGTTGCCAGACTATTGACTCATAGGTGAGACATGAGGCGCCTGATGATGGCGATCTGCGTTCCTCTCCCCTGATACCTACCTTACCAACTACGAAGCCGTCCGTCAGCGCCAGCCACGGTCTGTTTGCTTGCTGCCAGGTTTTCTCACCTACCTAATTAATAGGACTCCATTGACACGTTGATGGCAGGCGGTGATACGTGCGTCTAATCAGTGCAGTTAGGCTGAGAGTGATGCTTGCACTACTCGTCAAAGATTCGCCGACCTGGTCAGATCGTCCTTTTTGCTCAAGTGCAATGGGCCGATCAATCGGATCATAAGGTATGGTTGGCGATCGTAACTCGGAAGCACTGACGAGTAAATTCAAGAGGTTGTTCTTATTGTTGTTGTTGTTAAGTTGCGTCCAAGGGAGCGGCAGAGTCACCTCAGGCTCAGTCAGGGTACGCACACGGGCCACGCCCCGAAGCTCTCGAACTGCAGCAGGGGGCAATCAGGTGGTCAGTTCATGCTGTCGTTCACTGAATTTTGCTTCGCTAAGAACTTCCTCTGCTTTGCTTTCCATTCGACGACTGAACCACTCCATTGTCCCTCCCACCTCAACATCGCCCACCAAAACCACCAAAGCCAAACTCCCCGATCTCACTTCGGCAAAGGCGACCCCTTCCCCGGCGTAAATACATTCACCACCCCAAACGACGACCCCCCCGCAGACCCCTGCCCAAGCCCAACCGCCTTACGAGCAGGCGTAGACGGGTCCGCGACGCCCCCCGCCGTCGCAACGCTCCCTTCCACCGCCATGACAGGCGGCGTATCCGTCCGCTGAATGACCTGGTCCTCCTTGCGCGGCGGCTTGAAGTTGGTCGTCCTACCGGCCTTGTAGATATCCTCCAGAATGGGCTCGAGGATGCCCGCGTCCTCAAACTCGAGGTACTTCCGGTACAGCTTGAGCGCCGTTCGCGCGTCCTCGATCGAGTCGTGCGTCTCGAGCTGGATATCCTCCTTGAGCAGGTACCACGCCAAAAACGCCAGCGACAGCTTCCGCAGCCGTGACTTGAGGTAAAACACCTCGATCGTGTCGATTACCTGCGCCCGCGGCACCTGGATGTTGATGACGCGAAAGTCCTGCCGCAGGCCGTGGCCGAGGAACTTGCAGCCCAAGTTGAGGAGAACCCAGAGTTTCTTGTAGGCCGTCTTGAGCGACACCAAGTTGTGCTTGGTCGTACGCGGGTCGAGGTCGCTGGCCGTGATGCCCGAGTACAGCGTCAGGTAGTCCACAACCGGTTCGCGGATGGCAATGTAGTCGTCGATAAAGGCCTCTCCTTCGTGCTCGCCCTGACCTCGAACTACCGATACTCGGGCGAGCGCGTGTGACATGGGTCGTATGGTTTCCCTTTCCCCGTCCGAGTTCATTTGGATCTCAGGCTGCTTGAGCGAGACAAACTCGGTGTCTAGCGCCACAATGGTGTCCAGGCCAGGCCGCTCGGTCTCTGGGTCGAGCACCTGGTACGTCTTTGCTTCCGAGTGCGCGCTCAAATCCCGGTACAGGATCGACGTGTCCAGCTTCGCTTTCCAGTCCATGTTGCTCTTGTTGTTTGCCGCTTTGATCTGGTATAGGAGGACCGCTGGCATCTTCCACGCCGCGTTGAACGTCAAGGCTTCTGCCGCCGAGACGGGCCGTACTGAGAAGTCGTTGAAGAGGTGCCACCTGCTCTCTCCAGGGGGTGTGGCCTCGGCATGCGCAACTATTGACTCGCCTCGTCAATATCTCAATACTCAAGGTCCGACAGAAGCGGAAACTCACCATTGATCATGCCCACCAGATGCGTCTTCTGTGGCGCGCTGCTCTCAATGTTGACTACCATGCCGATCAGTGAGTAGACCGTAATATTATGGATCCCCCGCTGGAGATGGAGCTTTAAGTCCTCCCCTTCGAAGCAAAAGAATTGCCCCTGATCCACTATGATGCCAATCTCCTCCGGTAGCCAGCCAGGCGTCGACCAAAGCCTCCGGTGTTCCGGCGTCGAAATCGCTGTGTTGACAACAAGCACTGCAGGGACGCTGTGTATCGTCTTGCGCATTTGCAAATTCTGGTATCGCTGGCACCGGTTGCACCACCCCTTGGACGTGGTCTCTCTCTCAACACCCATCTTGAGCACTTGAGAGAAAATCGTCTTTGGCGCCCTGCCGCCTCTGACGGCCGGCTTGGGCAGCGGATACATCAAATCGTTGACCTGTGCAGTGCCGGGACGCGTATTCTCGTTCCTACAGTTCATACACCTTATCATAATTACCGCAGACGTCGCCAAAACCCTGGACGCCAACTCGTCCGGGCTTGGAGGCTGCTGAAGGTGAAAGAGCGTCTGTTCAAGGGCCGTGGACACTGGGGCTATGCTCCGGTATTCGTGGTTGATCCTGTCAAACAGAAACCTGCTCAGGCCTTGAGACATTGTTAGGAGCGACGACACGTGGCTTTCCTCCTCGAGCAAGCCTAGAGGTGCGGCTTCGCAGTGTCAGCCATCTCAGCGCACGAGTCGGGGTGGGTAACCGAGACGAACCTTGAGGAGCGGCACTCAACGTCTTGAACATGTTCGTCGCTTGACATGTCGAGCCTTCGGCCTTTTGTAGCATGTCGAACACGAAACCCAACTCGCACAACAAACACAAATCGCCCACGCACGCCGTGGCTGCATGCTGAAGCGCCATATTCCGCAGAAGTGGGGTGTAGTGCATAAGCTGCAGAAGGGAGTTCGCGTATGAGTTCGGGATGTGGTTTTCTAGGCCGGCGTACCGTGTCTTATTGTAGTACCTTGAGAGTGGTGGTGGTTAGGCACCCTCGTAATCTCAACGGTTCGGAGAACATGGCTTACCCGAAGTCAAAGTCGTCCACCCCAAACTTGCTGTATTTAATCTCTAGATTTCGATACATTGGCGGCGCCTCGGGCTTCAAGCTCTCTAGCTCGCTGGAAGACGACGAAGTATCCGGTGCTTGCTCGGTCTTAGAATCAGGGGCGCCGCCAGCACTGGAAGCCATGGCCGATTCGCGCGCCTTCTCGCTCAAGAATTTCGGTGCCTGCATGGATGGCTTTATGGTTGTCCGGGTATTCTCAACCTGGTTTCGCCTTAGACCTCGTGTGTTCCTGCCATACAGACCCCACTCGGTCTGCTTGAGGGTCGCCAGGAAAGCAGGATCAAGCTGCACCGGTGGGGCGCCAACATCGGAGATGATATCAGGAGGCCAGGCCGAGAATAGCTGTTCTCGGTAGTACGGCATGCCTATAGAACTCAGAGGTCTGCGGGGGAGGTCAGCAGGGAAAGATAGGACTAGTCGGTGTGCTTAAGCCTACGTGTCAGAGGACCAGTCGAGCATGGGCAGGGGCTCTTCGGCCTTTGGTATGTCGATGGGGAGAGCCATGTCGGTGAAGTGAATCTTGGAAGGCGAGCCCCAGAGATGAATGTTGCACTCCGTATCTGCCATGGCCAAGGCTTCCCCGGATGGCGCAATCTCGAATAGGTTGATGAATGACATGACGTTCGCGTATCGTACATTGCTCGTATTAGGATTCATGATATCGACCACGTGCATCTGACCATGCTGGGACGTCACAATGCTGGTGGTGAGCATTCTCGGGTGCAGCCTGACGTGGGCGGCGAGGGGCGGAAACGGCATCGGCTTCATGGAGGTCATGTTCTTGAGATCGAAGACGTTGACATATGGATCGAGCATATATGTCTGGGCGGCCTGCTGTTTGAGAGAGCCACCGCAGGTAACAATGAAGTCGTTCTGGGCGTCCATGTCGTTGATGTACGAAGCATGGGCTTGCCAGCTTCGAACGATTTTGAAGGTGATGGGATCGAGGAGGTCGACGCAGCCGGTTCGGGTGGCGGCGCATATGTATTTGCTCTTCTTCATGGTGGTGTAGTGATGTTCTGTAGGGACCTTTCTTCCGGCGTAAGCAGCAGGCCCCAGAGCGAGAAGAAGGGGGAACCCACCTGCTTGATAATCTCCCCCTTGATCACATCGATGATGAACATGGTATCTTGCCATCCCGCAACTATAATCTCGGAGGCACCCTTGGAGGTGAAGCTCATGCATTGCAGGTCATTCATGTCTTTATGTCTGCAACCTGGCAGTCAGCGCCTCGGACGTCATTCCTTCTCCACCTCCAGGGCATCAAGACGCGGCCGTACCGAATGTTCCATAGAGCCGGCCCCCGGCGCATCGACATGTGCACGCTCCGAGTGCCGAGGCAGATGACGCCCCTGTCATGGAAAAGGAATTGGCGGACTGGACCTTCGGCTGGCGGGTGGATCTTGAAGGCAGTGTAGCGCTGGAGGTCGTGGCCGTAGAACGAGACCACGCGGCCCTAATATCGTCAGGATAAGGTCGAGAACGCCAGAATGTACGAAGGAGAGCATTTGCATGCCATACCCGGTCGTTGCCCGCCCATAGCAGCTCAGCGATTGTGTCGAAGGCTAGGGCGGTAGCCGGTCGGGGGTAGTCATTGGTACCGGGCGCCGGGAAGGCGATGCGGGTGACCTGCTCCAAAGCATCGCACCGTTAGTTACTGTACACCATGCTGACAGAGTGTGATTGCCGATGGACAACGAGAAGAGTCGAGGGAAGGGGAGCGTGTTTCGTGTGGCCTCTGAACCCGAAGTGCACCACCGCGCGGTAGTACACCACTTCACCCCTTCAATCTTGGCTCTCACTGAGATTGTTCGCTTCTCTTGGTCAAGTTAATGAACATAACGTACCTCGTCCCAGTCCGCTTCCATGGCCGGGCCCCAAGCACATCTTTGAAAGGCTGGGAGGAAGAGAAGGTCGTCCAACGTTCTGCGGGTTCTTGCAGTTGGGTCCAAGATCGATGGTATGCTGCGGTTTGTCTCCACTCTCAGGTGCAGTGAACTCTCGAGCAAGTTCAGCCTTGCAGCTTGTGGGGCAGCCACCAGGAACTGCCACACCTTCACAGATTGTGAGAAATCGGAATAATCATTGTCCCAAGCATTCAATCCAGCAGCACGGTCCCATTCTGCTACCAGATTATGAGCCCGTCCAGTCCTCAGCTCTACGTCAAGGGCAACCGCACGCAAAATATGACGGGAGCGACTCGTTCTCCAAGCCATCAGAACTAACAGATTATGCATTGTTTGTATGTATCATCAGGCCCGTGGTATGCTGAACAGTCAAACTTCCAAATCCAACAACAAGAGCAAAACCCAGGTCAAAAACGGTTCCGAACACCATCAACAGGGTAACATGGAGAACCGAAAGCACTCTCATACGACGAGTCGGATGTTCGACTCAAGTCAATAAAACGAAAAATTACTTGGTGATCCATCCAAGGTAGTCGGCCACGATCAGGGTCACCATCCTGCAGAGAGAGCTGTCAGCAATTCTTCGTCACATCGAGGGACCAAAACTCACGCATGTGGCGCGATGCGCACATAATACGTGCCGAAGCCGCGGTAGAACCTCATCAAGCCCTCATGCCTGGCCACCTTGGCAAAGCAATCGGCCATGCCGCTGTAGGGCAGCTTCCCATCCGGGCCGCGGGACTGCTTCTGCAGCCGCGTCTTGACAAAGTCGAACGGCAGCGAGAAGAAGGACGCAAAGAAGCCGGCAATGGCGCTGGCGCTCAACGTCTGTGCGTTGGACGACCAGCTGGTCCGCGCCTTGAGCTGGGCTTTCGCCTCGCTGAAGAAGGCCAGCTGGCCAAAGTTGAGCGCCATGGCGCGCACCACCGTCGGCGCCGCACCGGCCCACAGCGCTCCGACGCCCTCGGACTTGGCGATGGAGCTCAGCGCGTCAATGACGGATTTGTAGTTCTTGCGCTCGGCCACTGGCTTGAGCCCGTCACTCTGCATCCGGATCAGTGCCAGGTCGGCCGGGTTGCCGACCATGGCTGCCAGACCGCCCGCCGAGAGGCCCGCCGTTGCGCGCTCCGCGAACCCGACGCTCTGCCCCTTGGCCTTGGCGCGGGCGGTCAGGCGGGCCATGAAGGTGTCGAAGAATCCGAGTCGGGCTGTCGTGTATACTGCTTGCCGGAGCAGGCCTGCGGAGAGGCCGGTGTACAGGTCGAGGGCCTTGCCGCTGGCAAGAATCTTGCGAGTGACGGATAGTGGGGTCGCTTTCGGCCCGCCCGCCTTGCCCTCGCCAGCGAGCTGGATGCGGACTTTGATCATGTCGACGGGTTGGATGACGGTGGTGGCCACCATGCCGCTGATACCGCCGTTGATGAAGGGCAGAGCGGCCCGCATGAAGGGCGTGTGGAGGAAGTCATTGGCGACGGCGACGCTGTCGTTCTTGACGCTCTTGGCCGTACCCATCACTTCTGATCCCCTGGATCGTGCTGCTTCAGCCGCCTGCTTGACCGTGTTGGACATGACAAACCGGTTTGCGCTTTTGTTGCGTCAACGATGCGAAAAGGGAACTGCTGACCACTTCGGTCCGTCACGACAACCCCAGAACACTTTATAGTTCAACACACGGTCCTGCACAGGGCCGAATTTCGCACCTGCAACTTCGCAGTGAACACTGTTAGCTCGCTCTTCGCTTCTAACACCGGCCTGCAAGCCTCAAGGCGAGTGCCCTCCAGCGGAAAATTATCCAATAAAACCAGCACATCTCTGGTCCTCAGACCGAAGGAGCCAACCGATATCGATGCCGTCAAAACTCGGCAGGGGCCTCAGACGCCAGGGGTTTGTGGCGTTGCTGATGTCGCCAAGCTGATATTCCCGGCCTGAGTCGGCAAACCGACAACATCGCGGTCGGCTGGAGCCGGCGTGCCTGGACAGTTGGGGCAATGTCATCGGAAAACGCAGGAGCACCGGCTGTAAGGCGCGGGATGGTGGCCCTGACTGGTGGAAACTGAGAGCCCAACAAACGCAAGCTCTCTCGCTTCGGCAGCCGGGCGCCCACAAGTGGAGCTCCCCAGCGCAACTGGGCTTGCGGGACCGGGGGAACCCCAAGCAATCCGAACCTCTGGGGTCCCGTAGTCCAGATCTTGGTCAAGATTCGGAAATAAAGCACAGGAACCAGCCTACCTTGCTCAAAATTAAAAGTGAGGCAGCCGTGTAAGTGTGCGCGATCGCTGGTAGCGTTTCGTCGAGGTGTGAGCTGTTCGGCGGCTTGAAGCTCGGCTAGGTGGGGTCGCGTGCTTGAAGGTCAGGGTCGGTCGGTCGTCTGCCAGGCGGACTCTGGTAAGTCGAGATAACAGGGGATGTAATTGATAGGACGCGGTGCAAGGAGGATGGAGTCTAATAAGGGGATGAAATTATGTATGTTTCTGGCTTTTCCTAGGAGCGCTGGATCGGGAGGAAGCGGAGGATGGATCTCTTGCTTTGAGATAAACGTGGGGCGGTTGTTGGAAGGAGAGAAGGGACCGTGAACAAATGCAGGTTTTGGTGTACCTCCTGTACAAGTAAGTAAAGTATTCGTCACACATGGCGAGAGATTCCCTGCTGGCGTATTTTATGGCAGGTGCCCAGTTACTTACACCACCACAGGTTCGTCTCGTGTGAGAGGGTGTGTGAGGGGTCGACTCCTCCCCTCGGGTGCATCGTGATACCATGTTATTAGCCTGTCAAGACCAGCAGGGCGGTAGCGGAAGTCAAATACATGCTGAAATGCAGCACATTTTGAGCTTTTTCCTAGCGTCTTCTCACTTGTAGTACTGCGGTCTTTCCCTCCACTGGCAAGCCGACACAAAGACCCGAGTATATCTTCTCTCCCGCACCGCACCTCGGATATCAACATGCATCATCCACGGCAGGTTAAATGCAGATGCAGACACATGTGTCTTGGGAGCGGGGTCTAAATGATTATCGGTATTTACAACCTCTCGATGTCACCACAGATGTTGACATGGTCAACTCCGACGACCTAGCAACGACAGGTTCTTTTCCAAGCGCGATCACTTGGGCTACAATCCCATGGTGTGCATGTCCATGTTACTCAAATGGAAGCATAATGGCACAGAAAACAATACGTCGCACGCATCACTTGGACTGGGCTGCCGGGAAGAGTAGGACAGCGTGGGCCGTGAGGGGAACTTGAGGAGCTGGAGGGGGAGAACTAGGAGCTGTTCCTGTTCTTGCCGATCTACCCCTCTCCTTTGTCACAAGGCCAACCCAGAGCAGCTGGTCCCGAATCTGAATTCGAATTGCCAATCGCACGGCAGAGAGGGCCCTCTGAGCAATATCCCGTCGTGTATTGAGACGCTTTCCTGGATGGTGGCTACCCCGCCATCTCCAGCGTTTAAGTCCATTGTTGCCCAGAGCCCAGCCCATTCATTAGCCTCACTAGTGTCTTGCTATGGTCATTTGCCGTCGCGTTGTCCCCCCAGAAGCATCATATATCAGAGTCAAGCCATACTTGAGATCTGGTCATGCCTGTCGCTCTCAGCTTACACGGTCCAGTGGACGACTTACAACATGTCGTCGCTTGGGTGGGTCTGACTCCATTCCCACTGCACCGTTGCGGGTTCGATACGTTTGCTCTTCGTTATCGATAAGTCATCGGGATGAGGCCCTCACGGGTTGGGAGCGGTTAAGGTGTTTATTGTGATGAATCACACAAGACAAATAAGTACCCCAAGTAAGATAGCTTCCGCATCACCTTCACAAGTTCCCTTCTTGAGAGAACTGAAAGCGGTCGTTGCAAACAGCCAAAGCTGATCAAGCGTTCGGGTCGCCAGTCCAAGCTGACGTCATGAGACGACAAGTCCGTGCCCCACATCGCCTATTCGGCAGGGTTGAATAATGTACACCCTCTGGATACTCCTTACGGCGAGACGAAGCAAACATCAGGACGACCTGAGGTGGTTAGGACTCAATCTAGATAGACTCTTTCTTACCCAACAACTTTCTTTTCACTTCAACCCTGCCTTGGTGGGCCTCAGCCGTCCCGTCCTTGCTCTAAGATCCGCCCGTGATCCTCAGGGAAGATGGATGACTGTGGCACACCCTACCGCCCGAGAATGCTCATTCAAGTCATGGTCAATGGCCCCTATTCTGCCAATCAATATCCGGCACTTGGGAATGTTTCCAACCGCCCGCCGACCACAAGAATGGCGTTCCCGTTCAGGTAGGCACCTGCCCGAGACGCAAGATACAGAATCTGGCCCGCCATGTCTGCCTCGGTACCCACGCGACCCAGGGGGAAGACACTCTTGTTCATCGAGATGATGCTTCGCCCTCCATGGAACCCCCTGAAGCCTGGACGATAGGGGTTGCCATCTCGCTCGGGAGCACTGCTCCCAATCAGTGACGGACTCTCCTACATCCAGCCACCAGAAAACTCACAATCGGGACAGATGCGATTCGCCCTGCACGTTACAAAGCCCTGGTCAGTAGCCAGTCCTCACACAAAAGAGACAGGTAACCAAGAGGAGAAAACTTACCGAATCCCCCATTGAGGCAACGCAAGGCTCAACATCTTGGCAATATGCGTCGCCGCCGCTTGCTCGTTCCATACACATAACCCCTCGGCGCAGTCTTATTAAACCCGGCAATACTGCTTGTCACTACCACCTAGCGGCTCACCTCCCCGCCCAGCACCACCACCACCACCAATCATCCCCATATTATTTACCTTATCCAACGTCAGAAACGCCATAGCCGTAAACCACACGCCCGTCGCATCAACGGCAACGTCCCGTTATACTCCTCACACCTCACCCCCATCTGCATCCCTCCACTCCTCGAGCGTCACCTCCTTCCCAGCAGCCTTTTTCTCAGAAAACGCGGCCCTCACCTGCGACCCACTCGTGCCGGCGTTGCAGACCAACAGATTCAGATATCTGACGTCCTTCTCGGCGACAGACACGACGCTCTCGAGACAGACCTTGGAGGCCACGTGGAGGTCACGTCGCAGTAGAGCGGGACGAGCACGGCCGAATAGGGCTGGGGTTTCACCGTGACGGCGTCCTGGAGCACGTCGAGCCGGTGCCCGCCGAGGCGAAGGCGCGCGCCATGATGAGGCCGATGCCTGTCCTTTTTTAAGGAAGGGGGAAGGGTTAGTTAGGTCGGACACCCGCAGTGTGTAGATGAAGTGGTGAAGTAGGAGGGCGTTAAAGGAAGCAGGGTTGGTTGAGGGTGCTTACCTGTGCCGCCTTCTGTGATGCCTAGGACTGAGAAGAGGTCATTCACGTTGAGGGCTGCTTGTACTGCGGGCTTGTCTGCCATGTTGGGCGTCGGTAGCCAGGAGTTGCGGGAGGGTGCTAGCTTTGGATGTTTGGATATATGTGAGAAAATAGGCAGGCAAGTACATTAAGTGAGAACCTGAGCGAGTCAGTCAGATTCGAGGCTCAAGCGAGGGCTAGAGTAGCAGCTGTTGTTTGAGTCTGGTCCAGTTGTTTAGCTTGGGATGGTGTGTGTGTGCGTGTGAATGTGGTTTATCGGAGCTCCTTAGGGCACACAGCAGCTAACGAAATGTAAAACCAACAGTTGAAAATTTGGATGGATTTCACCTCAGTTTATACAATGATCATTAGTTCAACACCAACTGTGAACTTCAATGGTAGACATTTGCGGGTGATTTAAGGCGTCGTGCCCCAAGTCAAGATGGAGCTGCCCCACCCTCGAAGATTGGCCCGCTTGTTGACGTCTGTCATGTAGACTTCGGCGTTGAAAAAAACGAAAGCAAAGAGCTTCTGCCTGACCTGCCTTCTCCATAGTCGTAAACAGAGGAATCGTCTCGTGTACGGTGCTACCGTGGACGGGGAGCGGAGATGGACCATGTCAAATCCATCATCCAGGCATGTGCAGTACAGAAGGGGCAAAAACAGGCTTCAAGATAAAGGGGAGGGGGTTGGCTTCCTGCTCCAAGCCAGACCACCCGAAACCATAATGAGGAGACGGTGCCCTAGACACCACGTGAAACTGGCCTCCGGCAAACAAGTCGAATTCACCAACAGGCGCAACGTCTATAATCGGACTATTTCGTGCTAGATGTCATCCCAATCTCTTCCGCACATTTAAGCAGCATTGCCGTCCTGGATGAGCCTGGTAATCTTGCCAATGGCAATAGTTTGTCCCTTCGAGTTCGTTAGCGAAACCAAGCATACAAAGCACACCCCATGGTACAAGACTTACTTGGTCACGCAGCGTAAAGCGACCCATCTGGGGATAATCCTCGAACCTCTCAACGCACACCGACCCGGCGCCACCCGTCACCTGCAGAATGGCAATGATGCTGTCGCCTTTCTTGGCGTGGGACGGGGGAACCTTGCTCTTCCTGCCAGTGCCCTTCTGCAGCTTGTGGAGCAGCGCGGCAAAGGTGACCTCCTCGATGGCGGCGTGGACGTGCAGGACGCAGTTGAAGCCGGCCGTGAGGATGGTCTTCAGGTCCAGAATGCGGATCTGCGCCTCAAATTGGGACACGTTGTGGACCAAACGCTTGGGCGAGCAGAGGACGAAGCCCGGCAAGATTTCCTCCTCTTCGATACCGCGGAGCCTGAGACGAACCTGGTCACCGCATTGGGCGATAGGGACTTCGTCCTCGGTCTCGCCGTACGCAGCCGCCACTTCGACGTTCTGCTTGTTGGGCATCATGACCAAGCTCATGCCCTTCTTGACCACACCAGCCTCGATCTTGCCCTCAATCATGGTGCCCATGTCGCGGTACTTGCCCGCTACAGCCATCATGAAGGGCGCGTTGACTTTGCGCTCTAGTGCCTGCATGCTGTCGAGGTACTCGAGCAGCGACGGCCCGTCATACCAGGGACACTTGTCCTTGGGCACGCGATCCTTGATACCCATCGTCTGCTGAGCCGCAATGGGCATGAAGAAGACGTCTGTCTTGAGATTGTACCCAGTACCCTTCAAGAACTGCTGGAGCTTGGTTGTGCATTCAATGTAGCGCTCCTGGGACCAGTTGACGGTCGGGTCGTCCATCTTGTTAATGACCACCACCAGCTTGTTCACACCTTGAGTCTTGGCCAACATGGCGTGCTCGCGGGTCTGGCCCCCCTTCTCAAATCCCGTCTCGTACTCGCCCTTTCGCGCGCTGATGACCAGGATACCAACATCGGCCTGGGAAGCGCCGCCGATCATGTTCGGCACATATGTCTTGTGGCCGGGTGCGTCGAGGATGCTGTATCGCCTCTTCTCAGTCTCAAAGAAACCACGGCCGACTTCGACTGTCTTGCCCTTGGCACGTTCCTCGTTGGTCAAGTCGAGGGCCCACGACAGATACCACGTCTCACGACCCATCTCTTTGGCCTCCCTCTTGTACTTGTCCAGAGTTCGCTGGTCTACCATGCCCGTGACGTACAGGATAGCACCGCCGAGAGTACTCTTGCCGGCATCGACGTGGCCAATAAAGATTATATTCACGTGCTCCTTGCCGTATATTTCCTTAAGCGTCTCGTCGTCGACATCGGCTGCTTGCTCCTTTTCCACAGCATTGACATCGCGTTTCTCGCCTTTCGAGGCCCCGCGGGATGGGCTAGAGCGGCCAGATGACGGAGTGGGTGAGGTCTTGCCGCTAGCCGCGGTGGGGTCGGTCTTCTCGATGGCCTTTGCCGCTGTAACCTTGGCGGCGGCTTCGGCAGTACCCTCCTTCTTCGCCTCGGCCTTTTTGGCTTCTTCCTTTGTTGGTTCCTCCTTCTTCGCCTCCTCCTTGGCAGGGGCAGTTGCGCCAATAGACAGGACCTTAGCCTTGGGTTTGGCGTCGCCGCCGATGCTCAGGACCTTTGCGCCGCCCTCCTTGGCAACGGTCGGCTTTGGCGCGGGCGCAGCCGCCACCGGAGCGGCAGGGGCATCGGTCGGGCGCTTTGCGATGGTGGGAGCCGGCTTAGAGGCCTGCTGCTGAGTCTGCCCTTGCTGGTGCTGTGGGAGCTGTTGCTGCTGCTGGTAGCCCTGCCACTGACCTATCGCAACTATGAGTCCTGTCCCAGAACCACGGGCCGGGATAGAAAGTCCTACCGTATTGCTGTTGATTGTAACCCCCCTGGCCGTAGACGCCGCCATAGCCCTGCTGGCCGTATTGCCCAAAGTTCTGTTGGCCCCCATACTGCGGGTAATACCCTTGCCCGCCGTAGTACGGTTGCTGGTACTGCCCGAAACCGCCGCCACCGAACGCCTGGCCCGGCTGGAAGGTTTGCGCGGTGGGCTGGAATGAAGCGGCGCCGGGCCGGAACCCCCCCTGAACCTGCTGGCCGCCCAGGTTCATCTGCTGCTGGGCCTGCCGGGCCAGGTTCTCGTCCTGGGCAGCGGGGTCATCCTCCCATGAGTCTTGGATGTTGTTGGACATCTTCTCAAAAGATTGTTGCGGCAGGCGCTCTTCGATGTGTCTTGGGTGGGAAGCACGGTCAGTCGAAGGGCTCGAAATGCGAGTGGTGATGGACGAACTTGGGAAGATGAGTCTGTTGGGCGGCTAGCGGATCGAGAGTTCACTGTCTTGCGATTCTAAGGTCAGACAAATGGTTGCACATGCGAAAATATCGAAGCAGCTCTTACCGATGGGTAACTCTGTGACTCAATCACACGCCTCTTTCAGCGACAGTAAGGAATGAAGCCGCAAGGGAAGATTTGCTGGCACTGCCCCACCATCGATCGTGGCGGGGAAGAGGGTTTCCAACTGTACAGTAGGGACACAAGTATCGCACTGTTCTTCCCCCACTCCTCCCGGCCATTCTCTTGGCGCGCCGCAGGGGCCCTATAACTGCCCTACACACAGTGCGTGGATTGTTAGCAATGATGCACTTGCCACACAAGGGCCAAATCGGGCCGCGAACGCGCTGAAAGTGGTTTCAGGCAGCCTCTGGTGCAAACAGACTAAAGTCACCGCCGCCAAACGAACTCATTTCCATCGCTCTGGGAAACATGAACGTCAGTCCAGATACCTCAGAATGGACAATTTGAGAGAATATGGATGCATTCTTGGAGTACCTTGGACACCACGCCATCAGAAGTGCCACCAACTACGGGTTCAACCTCACATTCGGATATGCGCTGCAGCAGTGCTCCCGATTACTGAAATCGGTCAATGACAAGGCGGTCCGCACTGAGCTCAAGGCGTTGCAGAAATTGCTGGACGGCAAAGTCAAGGTTGGTTCTGTGCCTCACGGCATGACCTTATGATTCATTGTATCGGCTAAACTGACACCTACAGATCATCTCTCCCGCCCTTGACCTCATCGAGTTCAAGTACGCCCATTACCAACCAAAAATGAGTCAACACTCAGGCAGCGAGCTGACACTTCGTTACTCAGGTCTGGCAGAGGAAATACGTTTCTAGAATCAGCAGTGCCCCTCGCCAAAACTCTTCGCCGAGACATTGTGCGCCTTGGGAAGCGGCTTGACAATGCAGCGAGTGCGGAGGAACACGCTCCCAATGCCGCTCAGCGGGACTTGGTGTCGGAGGCTCGTCATACTGAGCTGCTGCTTATCATGAAGGACATCAGGACCCTTCTCGAGCGAATCGACCGAGACATCCCCCTCCTACAGTTCGCCATCACTGTCTCGGGCGAGAAGATGTCCACAGCCATGACACCGGGTATCTCCCCATCAAGGATGATGCAGGCTAGTGCCCTGCTCTCCTTTGCCGATGCGCACTTTGTCCTGGATCCCAATCGAACCATGCAGGTTGGCCCCTCTTTTACACTTTCCCTGTACATGCTGTTTCTTGGGCATTCTCAGACTGGGCCCGATCCTGGCGCAGGGGAAGCCTCACCGTTGACTCCCTCTGTGTCAGAGGCTCAATTTCCCAAGGAAGCCCCATATGGCCTCGGGGCAGGTGATAGGAAACCCATCTGGCAGGAGGTCATGCACAAAGCTCGTGTGCGGCTATGTCGCACTCCTGCAAACCGTGCTTTTGATCCTACTCAAGGGCATCGGCCAATTGGCGCTGACGGCACACACTTTTCTGCAGCGTTTTCCGACGCAACAGCTCTGCCATGCCTCGGGCTTGTAGACGGGTACTCATATCATTTGGAGATCATTGAAGATTTGGACGACGGGAGGCTCCATGACGGGGACGGACCAAAGCCTCGGCCGTACGATGGACTGCAAATGGCTGGCATCCGCGAGTCTATCCCAATACACCAGGTATCCAAGATCTTCTACACCGATACCGGAAGAATACTCAACATCGGAAACAATGATGATGGGGACAATAACCCTGTTCTGCTTCTGAAGAGGGATCCTACAGCCAAATCTCCAATCAAAGTGCGGCAGGAGTGGCTTGACGTGCCAGAGCCAGAGATGGATATGGACGAGTCACAATCTGACACTGCATTGGAGTCTTTTGACTCAGACGACCAAGAAAAAGTAGACCGGCAGCTGTTGGAAGAGACAGCGCACTCAGCAGAGTCACCGTCAAGCCAGGACAGCCCTCAGAATACGAATCTGCCGCAGCACCTGGACCCCGAGTGGCTGGCGCTCGAGGTATACAGAGAGCAAGAGGATGGCGGAGACGAGGAGCGCGATGATGATGATGAGGAGGAGGAGGAGGAGGAGGAGGAAGAAGGGGATGGTGCTGGCAGCGACGGTGAAGCCGCCCGACGAGCATTGACCGCTAACCATCATGCTCCGCGAAACAGAGTTGCGACCGACTCCAAGCTTATGTCCCTAATCGGGCACCTTTCTCTTCGTGCCGGCTCGCCTCCCCAGTATACTGGACAACCCTCTGCCGAGCTCCGGAAACTCCAAGAGGACGCCTATGCCACAAGATCCCCGTTCGGCTCGATCGCGTCGTCTCTCTCCCTGTTGGAGATGCTGATTCGGCTCACAAGCCTGCAAGAGTTCCAGCAGACATCTCACTTGGCGATCCCAGATCATATCCTCACGTTTTTCTTGGAGGAGACGTCCACAACGGGGCGACAAGGGGAGGAACACTGGCGGATGAGGAGCGAGGCAAAATGGCGCATGGGTTTTGATCCTTACACTAATGCCCTTCCAAGGTAGAACGAGGAGTCGAGGTGTTGGAACAGAGAAGGTCAAGAGGCATGGGTTGACTGCATGTTGATATGCATCGATGGATTGGAGGGAGCTAAGACATCCGAACATTCCTTCCCCTGACACAGACATCAAGGACAACCATCTCGCCGACTTTCTTACTTCAGCCGGTGATGCGTCAAAAATTGTTCATTCAGGCAAGCAAAATTTTCCAGGGATTTGGTCTGTGAAAACCTTGGATGGTCCAGAACCATCCAACCCCCCACGGGAAAAAGCGCGGGATGACCGTTAGCGCGCCCAATGCGATACCGGAGCTGGGGCGAATACCTTCAAGTTCTCTCAACTAAACAATCTCAAGCTTCATAAAGTGTCGAGAAGCAATACACAGAGCTGGGTCCATCTCGTTCTCATTCAACCGGATCGACATGACCAACGAGAAAAACAACCCGGTCCTGGATAGGGACGCTGAATCGGCTGTTCCCGCGGCACCCACCATCGACCAAACCAATGACAGCGGCTCCTCAGCAAAAGATGAAGCCATCGCAATGGTGGGCGAGCAGAAACACGCCCTCGACCCGGTCATAGTTGCGCGAGCAGTCCGCAAGATCGATTGGTTTCTCATCCCGGCCATGATTTTTGGCTGTGAGCGGCGGCCCCCTCTCGTCCCCACCACACCTCAACCCAACTAACTCTCTTTCCCTGGCAGACGGCATCGTCTACTATGACAAAGCCATCCTTGGCTCGGCCGCCCTCTTCGGCATGACGGCAGACCTGCAGCTCTCCCTGACGGACCGCACCACCTCGCCGCCCACCGTCGACACGTCCCGCCTGTCCTGGGCCACCTCCCTCTTCTACTTCGGCATGCTCGCAGGCCTGTACCCCATGTCGTTTGCCCTGCAGCGCTTCGACATTGGCCGCGTGCTCGGCGGCATCGTCGTCCTCTGGGGCGGCATCTGCATGCTCACGGCCGCCGTCACGACGCATCAGGGTCTGTATGCGCAGAGGTTTTTTCTGGGATTCGTCGAGAGCATCGTGCCCACTGGGTTCATGTGCATCGTCAGTGGTTTTTACACGCAGCAGGAGCAGAGTTTGAGGCAGAGCTGGTGGTTTAGTAGCACGGGGTTATTTACGATTATTGGGGGCGCGTTGAATTATGGGTTTGCACAAATTCAGGGCGGGGGGCTGAAGAGTTGGCAGTATATTTATTTGTTGGCGGGGGTGTTGACGGTGCTGTTTGGCGTGTTTTGTTTTTTCATGCCCAACTCGCCCGTCACGGCATGGTTTTTGACGGCCGAGGAGCGGTTTGCGGCCGTCGAGAGGTTGCGGTTCAGCCAGACCGGGGTGCGGTGTACCAAGATTAAGATGGGCCAGGTCAAGGAGTCGTTGCTGGACGTCAAGACGTATCTGATATTTGTCATGATGGCCTCGGCGTAAGTTCCACATTGTCCTCCATTGGGTCGTGGTTGGCTGTTGACTAACGTGGTGTGAAAGTTACACGATGAATGGCGCCGTCAGCGGATTCGGCCCGCTTATTGTGTCGACATTTGGCTGGAATACGCTTCATTCAATTGTGTTTCAGTTCCCCCTCGGGGGGCTGTGCTTCATCGTTATCCTTTTGACGGGCTACCTGGGATCCAAGATCCCCAACATCCGCCTCATCATGCTCATCCTGACGTGCCTGCCCGTCATTGCTGGCTGCGCCATCATCTGGAAGAGTGAATGGACGTACCGCGCTGCGGCCCCAGTTATCGGCTACAGTATCACGGGCTTCTTTGGAGGGACTGTCAGTCTCATCATCACGGTGGGCATGTCCAACGTGGCGGGGCACACCAAGAAGAGCTTCATGGCGGCCACCATCTTTGCTGCCTACTGCGTGGGCAACATTGTTGGGCCACAGCTTGTCAAGTCGCAGACTCGGGCAGAGCATTACCCCGAGCTGTGGCTGGGGTTGATCATCTGGTATGCACTGACATCTACACTGTTGTGCTTCTCTGCTGACATAGACGACAGCTACATCATCTGCATTGCTGCGTCGGCAATCCTCTATGTGGTTCTGCTGACAGCCAACAGAAAGAAGGCCGCCGTCCGTGAGGACGAGGCGGAGCGGGCCAAGCTGGCTTTCCAAGATCTGACGGACATGGAGAATCCTTACTTTAGATATGTCCTTTGATGAAGCTGCACTGGCTGCCAAGGTAGTCCTCCGAAACATGTTCTGCGTCGTGTTAGACGGCAATAATAAGTAATTGACCGTTGCATTGTGCTCCCACAAGCTAAGCTTCACCCTGCATCACCAGTTCTCAGTTTCACCTCGCAAACAGGAATCACCCAACTTCACAGACGAGATTTACCCAACAATAACAGGTGAAAGTAACTGTTTACAACTAGCTTTTGCAACCTCTCATTACCTTATCACCTCAGATACTTTCATGCTGCCAAATCAAGGTTGTGAATTCTCCGCCCTATCCACCATTCTACCTTAGCCAGCACCTAGCCAACGCTCACCGTTAGTTAGGGCTTCTTGCGCTATGCTCCTTTTACATACGACCATACGCGGTAGAAAACTCGGGATCCCGTCCGCTCTCCCCTAGATAAGCTGCCGACGGCCGAACTAGTACTCAGGTCGGTGACGACTGGGGAATCCTTGGTGTTGTATGTTTTTTGATCTTCTGTTTTTACCCCTTTCTACCCCTGGAGCCGCACCCGCATTGAGTGTTCACTGGCAAAATTACCCTGCCTGTGTTCACCCCAGTAACTGAGAAGCCAAGCCTCTGAACAGTGTAGGGGCCACGCCAAGCAACGTGGCATTCTTGTGGCGACCAATCCCTTCTCGGGATTTTGGAGGATTGACAGTAAATGAAGCTCTCACTCCTTCCTCACCCATCCTATGTGTAAACACGATGTCAGAGTTTGTCATTGGAGCTTCGCCTCAACTAGACCACAAAATCAAGGGACGATGAGGAGGATAATGGACGAGAGTGAATCCGGTGGCACGGGCAGGACAGGAACGAGCGCATCGAACGACTGGGGATAACGAGCATGCCCCTGAGTTTTTCTCAACCTACCATTGACGTTGGTATACCAAATTCCCAAACAGATGTTGTTGTTGTGCTAATGCTTGCTTTGACGATCATTGTATGCCAGTGTGGCATGTTAGAACAATCGACATCTCAGCTGCTGCAAGACACAGACTAGAAGAAGGCGGATTTCTGTGTTGGCTCTCTAATATGCTGCGATGTGTATGAGGGTTGCATGCTTGGCACAGTCGATTGGTTACATGCCTGGCAGTGTCCTTGAAAAGAGGGTCTCATGTGAGACAAAAGGTGCATGACGATGATCATGTGAGAGAGGAACTTCATATGCCCGCAGCGGACTAAGAAAACAAACGATCTTTCAGAGATGCATGTTTGCGGGACCAGGAGTCAACAAGACAAAACGCAGGTCCTGAGATCGGCTGCCCAATACATGTGCCCTAGGCATGGATATCCCCATCTTCGTCGTACCAAACAGTCCACATTCAGCTTCCGGGAGCCATTACTTCAACTCCTTCACTTTGAGGCTTTGAGCCTCCCATACTCCCCATCGGCCTGGAGCACCAGTGTTCCAGGTTCCAGTCCTGGATCACTAAACTCCGTTCAAAGCAGCAGCCACTCAAGCTGATTGATGGGCTTCTCAAAATCCTCCATCTGGCGTACCAGCGGTTCCTTGACGTATTTCTCCACGGTGTTCATGAACATCCACTTGCTATCTTGGAAACCGGCCGCCACGATGGTGGTGTTAGGCGAGATGATTTTGGCGAGGGCTCGGTAGTATGAATTATCTGGCACTCCCGCCACGTGCGTCATGGTGCGCTGGTCATCATTGCCGTGATCAAAGGTCGCAATGGCCATGCAGGCCGACATGGATCTCGTGTAGAGCGTTTTGCTGCCGTCAACAAATGTTGGCTCCAGGTCGCTGGGCATAGACATCTCGACTCTGGTGCCCTCCTCGGGCAGGCCGCTGGGTTCGTACGTGACTTTGGGCATGGTGACTGGGATATGAGAGACAAGATTGAGATCTCTGTGGAGATAGTACTAGTAGCCGCATGGTATAATGGGGACGACTTGCGAGGGAGAAATAAAGCTCAATCCAACGGATGATGGAGGGAACAATATATACTAGGAGTCAGTTAGCTAAAAGGTACGGAAGGCTTGTGATAAGGTACCTTACCTAGGAACCTCCAGGATCCGATTCTTTTCACCACCAGTCATTGCATCCATCCAGCCCGGCGATGGCACGGCGCCGAGCTCTGCGGCGTGCCAGATGCGCGTCCACTGGACGGCTGAAATGTAGCGTCAGCAATAACTGACCAGGACGCTGGGCTTTCGGCACTGCTTTCATTCGTCACCACATGGAGACGGACGCCGTACCTACTCAGTTCTACCACTCCAAGCGTTACACCGTCTTACTTCTTGTTGATGCGTTATCCAAGAGCAGACGGTTGTGCCACCATGAACAAGCAGTCTGAAGACATCTCAGCTGCACCAAGAGCCAAACTATCAATACTCGGAGTCGGAGTCTCTCTGGTTGGTCCCCATATGCTGTTGAAATGCGCGCGAGTTCACATGGCGCATGTCATCTTACACCCCCAGACCGGAACACTTCCTTCGCATCAGGACGGGGCCATACTCGTCGTACTCCTTGTATTGGATGCACATATCGTGAAACGTACTCAGGCCGGTCAACATCGACCCGCCCAGCCAGGCCGAGAGCTTCGGATCCGGAGGAGTCACAAGGTTGGGCGGCTTCATGCCATACGGAATAATAGCGTTGAGGCCTTGCTGGAGCCGGTCCCTGAACCCGGGAAACAATGTATTGCCCCCGACCTGCAACATGTCAGGTACATTGATTGCCGGGGGATAACACAGAGAGAAGGTTGGGTTTACTCACCAACAGAATGTCTCTCCACAGCTCTTCCCTGAGCGTGACATCTGATTTCGTCGTGGCTCGGAGGATGGTGGCCGGCAATCCGATCATGGGCGTGAACATTGGCTCCGGCGCCCGGAACCGCTCCGTGCCAATGTGGATTGTCTTGCCGTCCGGGAGGGTATACGCCTGCTCCTCCCACGTCTTGTTGACGATGACAGGGTAGGGGTCGTCGGCAATGTAGCAACAATACTCCTTGATGTCCCGGGCAGTAAGCTCGTCTGTCCTGTCCGTAATGGCCGAGTGACTCTCGGACAGCAACGAACGGAGATACTTGGTAATGTCCCGGCCGGCAATGTCAAAGGTCTGCGCGGCGTTGGCCAGCGGGAATCCCTCGTAGACGGGAACTGCGGCGGTCCTGCGGTGGCCCGAGTCGACAACGAGGCCGGTTGTCCGGCCGGTCGAGTATAACGACAGCGGCGCACTGTCGGATGCGAAGAATGCCGGGCACATGAACTGCTCAAAGACCAGAATGGCCATCCGCTCGCTGCGGAGTGCTTTGCCTTAGCTTCTGGGAGGCACATGGACGGGCCCATGGGGGCTCACTCACCGGTCCTTTGGCGTTAGACTGAAAGGTGCCGTCATAAGCAGCGGATGCTCCTCCGGCTCAACCTTGAGTTCGTTGTAAAAGACATGGTGCCATAGCAGTTCGACGTCGTCCCAGTCCGCGACTCGGGGTCCCTCTATCGGCCACGTAATACGGAGGAGTGTTTGATATCGCAGTGCCTCTGCCCCGGTAAACGTTTCTCTGGGCGAGCGTGCAAAGGAACAACACCCGCTGTACACCAACAGGTCAGCCTTGCATGGCCGGCGTGAGTGAAGCGCGGCGGGAGGCAGTACGAGGGGTATCTTGTTCTCCCCGCAACCGAGACTGGTTGGTTGCTACTGTGTGAGTTTGCCGTCTAGGTGTCTTGAGTTGACTGTAAACAATGCCGACTGGAGCGGGTCACAAACGTAGCTCAGAAGTCGGCGTTGAGTCTCCGCCGTAGCCAAATTTGATGGCTTGAGACCTAAGGTAGAGCATGTTAGTCTGTCTGTTATGAGCTCCTGCAAGTCGGGATCGCTTCTGTACTCGCCCATTGTCAAGGACCAAGGCGCGGGACAGCGGTGAGCGAGTGTCATCGACGCTATTCGGAGCTGGAGACCCCTTCTCTTGCTGCTGTTCCTCGGCCATTTGTTCTGCAGTCGCCATGGACGTGTGGGATCGGATGACCTGGAGTGGAGGAACCCTCTACGGCTGCTGTCGAGGTATACGCTGAGCTCTGGGCTGTGAAAACTGCCAGGTAGCTTGACCTGGGGACAGATGAAGGTTTACGTCGGAGAGCTACGATCAGAGGTAGTGGTCGAGAACCTGGTGCCTGTAGCGGGGGTTCCATAACTCAGCCACAATGGGCTTAAGCCTCTGAAGATAGGGTGGCAGCCTGCCTGCTTCAGCTCAAATGAAAACACTGCAGTCGGAAAAGGAGATTCCCCAGAACAACCCGACGGTCGATAGGATGAGTTTCTCGGTCTCATAGAGAGGTCAACAGTCCGGCCCAAGCCCGGTCGCCTCGCTGAGTCAAACGCCGAGGGTTTCGTAGCCAGCTACTCTCTTCGACCGGCGAAGAACGGTAAGTAGCCCGTAGGATTCTGTTTTCTTTCCCTTCGCTCAAGATTGGGCACCCCTAAGTACTGCAGAAATCCTTGGGAACTCCGAGTTTCTGGTCCAAATCCGGAAGTCCGAGATCGGGCGGGGGAACCTGGGTTGGTTAAATGCAGATTGTTTGAAGTCAAGAGAATACAACAAATCGCTGTGTCGCCGGTTCCTGAGATCGATTGCCAATAGCCGCTCTCGGTCTATGGCTGTCGCAGTTTTGTGTCGTGGTTTTATTCGACTTTTGGTCGCCATGGATTTGTACCTTTATTATGAAGCCATTGCACCGTTTGAATCCCATGGCTCGAGGGTTAGGGTCTGAACCACACCCGAGCTAAATGCGGGGTGGCATTGGTTGCCTTGGCGCCCAGGATTCCTTTCGTCACTTTGTAAACAGAGCGGGATCCATCATCACCAGATCGGCCGGCCACTCTTTGTAGTCGTCAACGACGGAAACCGGCAGCACTATGATCTGGAGTGCCATAGCTGAGGTACGCACAATGATTACTGCCCCAGCAAGCGATTTGACAACTCGAGGGTACCTACAACAACAATGTTTGAGCTGACGATCTTGGACAACAAACAGAAAACCAGGCTGCAGCTTCGCAATCTAACCGCAAAACAACCTGCATCGGAAAACAAGCCCGAGTTTGACGAATCGAACCAATCAATATATGAAGCAAATTAGAGAAAGCCCCCAAGTCGCGAGTGGAACCACGGCAGAGCTTCAACGACCTGATCCAGACAACAACCATCAGCTAGGCGCTATCATCCATTCCATTCAGTCCAAACTGCCGGCTCACTGTCGGCTTAGACAAACGAGATGGCTCGGCTACGCAAAGAATCCTTTAGCGATGACGACCTCGAGATTTTGAGCTCGCAGGCAGCTAGCATGTCACTTGGCCCCGCCTCCCAAGCGACGCCTTTGAGGCCAACCAGCAAACCAAACAAGTCAGTTGTTGACCTGACGGATAGCCCTATTCCGGTCATCAGGACGCCGGGAGCCGCTACGCCGACGCCCAGCTTCGGCCACCCAACACAATTGGCCCCGCGGTTTGGCCAGCGAGCAAACGACCCTAACCACATGTTTATCCAGCGCAAGACCCGTCCAGAGTTTCACAGCGACATGTATAGGAGTTCAGGTCCCCTGAAACCCAAGACCGAGTCGAGGAAAGCGCCAGCCCTGCCCATGTTCAGTTCCATCAGCGGTGACGCTCAGCCAGCCTACCAGTACACCCAGCCCCCGGCATCGTCGTATGGGGATAAGGTTTTCTACACGGATCCTGCCAAGGCTTCGGCCGATTTGAAAGCCCTCCTCGAGGGCAGTATGGAGGATGAGGAAGACAACGAGGAACCCAGAGTTGGAGGAGACAAGCTAAAGAAGGGGACAATCGAGGACGGCACGCTGGAGGGCATCAAAGTGAAGCTCCTGCCTCACCAAGTGGAAGGTGTGAAGTGGATGCGCGGGAGAGAAGTTGGGCCGCACAAGAAAGGGAAAGTCACCAAAGGAGGCATCCTGGCCGATGACATGGGCCTTGGAAAGACGCTGCAGAGTATCTCCCTGATCGTCAGCAATCCGATGCCTAGTCCGGAAGACGAGGGGTGGAAGCCGCACTTCGACCACGTCAAGAAAGCGACACTGGTGGTCGCACCACTGGCTCTCATCCGGCAGTGGGAAGCTGAGATCAAGGAGAAGGTGGATAAGAGCCACGAGCTCCGAGTCTGCGTCCACCACGGCCCTCAGCGGACAAAAGACCCCAAAGTACTGGCCAAATATGACGTGGTCATCACTACCTACCAGATCTTGGTATCTGAGCACGGGAACAGCGATCCAGATCCGTCAAGGGCGCCTCAGGCGGGCTGTTTCGGCATCCACTGGTTCCGCGTCATTTTGGACGAGGCACACAGCATCAAGAACCGCAACGCCAAAGCCACCAAGGCTTGCTGCGCTCTTCGTTCCGAGTATCGTTGGTGTCTGACCGGTACGCCAATGCAGAACCACCTCGACGAGCTTCAGTCACTCGTCCACTTCCTCCGAATACCCCCCTACGACGACCTAGCCGAATGGCGGGCAAATATCGACGGTCCAATGAAGAGTGGCAAGGGTCACATTGCCATCCGGCGCCTACACACTCTCCTCCGGTGCTTCATGAAGCGGCGGACCAAGGACATCCTCAAAGAAGAGGGCGCCCTGGTAGCAGGCGGCAAGAAGGCGCTCGATGCTGCCACCGCCAAGGCCAAGGAAGAAGGCCGGGAGGAAGCTGACGTGCCGAAGCCGGCATTCCGGGTCACGCAGCGCAAGGTGGTCACGGTCGAGACGCAGTTCTCCGAGGCCGAGCGCGAGTTCTACGACAAGCTGGAGGAGCGCGCCGACAAGAGCCTCGAGAAGATGATGAAGGGCAAGTCGGTCAACTACGCCAACGCCCTGGTGCTGCTGCTGCGTCTGCGCCAGGCGTGTAACCACCCGCGCCTTTCCGAGACCAAGATCGACAAGGACAGCGAGGCGTTGGTCGCGGAGACTGTGGCCCAGCCGAAGAAGGCAAGCGCCGCGGATGATATCGATGACCTGGCCGATGCCTTTGGGGGGATGGGCATCCAGGCGAAGCAGTGCGACATGTGCCTGAACGACCTGAGCAAGCAAGAGGTTGCCGATGGGCTCATGCGCTGCACCGAGTGTGTCCAGAGCGTGCAAAAGGTGACCAGCGAGAGCCCTCGGAAGAAGCCAAAGAGGAAGAAGAAAGTTAGTGTCGTAGAGGAGGAGATCAAGATCGAGAAGACGACCAAGCGGAATCCCAGAAACCGCAAGATCATCACTGACAGCGATGATGAGGAAGAAGTGAACGGAAGCTGGTTGGTGCCTGAGGACCAACGTGGCTCGCTGCATCTTGGCAAGGCCGGGGGTGAGGAAGACGAGAATGCGGAGGGCGGCGGAGAGGATATCGCGTCTGAGGATTCTGATTGCCCTTCCGAAGACGACGGGGATGAGAGCCAACTCGACAGTTTCATCGTCAAGGACGACGGCGCATCACAAGGGGAACAACCAGAATCCGGTTCCGACTCTGGCTCGGACGACGCCACGTTTGTGTCTGTATCTAAGCTCCACTCACAGGTCGTCTCCGAGCCGAGAGTCGACAGCGGAGCCGACTCTCCCGGCGAAGCAGACGAAGGCATCTCCGAGTCCGAGCTCCTCTCCGATTCCACCTCAGACGACGACTTACCAATCCGACGCCGCCGCCAAGGTGTCACCAAGCCCAGACCGTCCAACACCATCATGACCTCGGCCAAAATCCGCGAACTCCTCTCCATCCTCCGCAAAGAAACCCCGTCCCACAAATTCATCGTCTTCTCCCAATTCACCTCGATGCTCGACCTGATCGAGCCCTTCCTGCGCTCCCAACCGGGCCTCAAAGCAGTCCGCTACGACGGCAAGATGGCCAACGACGCGCGCGAGGCCGCCCTCCACGCCCTGCGCACGGACCCGCACACGCGCATCCTGCTCTGCTCCCTCAAGTGCGGCTCTCTGGGCCTCAACCTGACTGCCGCCACGCGCGTCGTCATCGTCGAGCCCTTCTGGAACCCCTTTGTCGAGGAGCAGGCGATTGACCGGGTGCACCGGCTGACGCAGACGGTGGATGTGGTGGTGTACAAGCTGACGGTGGCGGATACGGTGGAGGCGAGGATCTTGGAGCTGCAGGAGAAAAAGAGGAAGTTGGCTGAGGCAACGATTGAGGGGGGAATGAGGACTGGCGGGAAGGGTAAGAAGGGGCAGCTTGGGTTGGGATTGCAGGAGATTTTGGAGTTGTTCAAGCATGACGCGAGGAGGTCACTTGGTGGATCCGCGGATGGTGATGGTGAGGATGACGGTGGGGATCTGAATGCGGATGTGGTGGTCAGGGATGTTAGGGCTATGATTGGGAGGGGGAGGAAGGGGGCTGGGAGGAGAGGGCGGGAGCATGAGGTTTATGGACGGCGGTGGTAAGTAAGTACTAGGGAAAAAGGGATGGGATGGGATGGGCAAGGTTGGGATACATCGGGGACTGGGTTCAGTTGGGTTGGGTCTAGACTGGGTTGAGTTAATTTGGGTTGCGTTGGGTTTTCAGAATGGATGGTGTCTGTCTTGTTCATGGCAAGGATTCAATGTGTTGTCCAACGTATGTCAAGCGCTCATTGCTTGCCATCAGCTGAACTTGAAGTGTTATTGCATTGGGATAACTGGCGAGCGACATACGATCTTGGTACTTGTACCGTACCTACCTGAGTTTTAGAGAGCGGACTTCTGGGTCAAGGGCCGTTGAAAGGAAACACGTCAGTTAGATTCTGTCTGGTTGCCTCTATCTTATTGTCCAATTGTTCTTGTCGCTCTCGTAAAACTCCAGTGAAATCGTGTATGGTGTCCCCCCCAGACTTGAGGATTAGGAATACCAAGCATGCCTGAGGTCGCTGCTACATAACCACACCATATTGACGATGATGGATCTAAAATCCCAGACCACCCAAATCCCCATGCCCATTACCGAAGCATAGCTCCTGACCAGGTTCCCACCCCCAAGAAAACATGAACAAAGTGGTATCATAACGCCATACCCGAAACCCGAAACCCATCCCATCCCACCTTTCACCCAACCATCAAAACTCTCTATTCAACCCCCCACCATATTGTTCTAAAACGGCGAGGCCGATCCTCCCTGCCCGGTAACCGACACCAAAAACCCGCATAGGCCAAGCCGCCAGCATCAATACCTCCCCGAATCCTTCATATCCTGTGCTCTGGTCTGTCCCTTGACATAGCCGCTCAAGCGCATCTCGTTGTCTTCCCCGGCATGGCCCGACATGCGCCTGTTACCCGGGTGGTAGGCCGGGAGCGTGGGTTCCGCGGGCCGCATGCCGTCCGAGACGAGCGCCAAGTCGGCGGATTGCTCTTCCTCCGAGAGCATGGGTAATATTCGTGGTGTGACTGATGGAGGATACTGGTCTCGCGATGGGTGGCGCTGGTGGTGAGGGTGGTGGTAGTGGGGAAGGGATTGGGGAGGTTGTTGGTGAAGGTGACGGTTTTGGTGGGGTTGGTGCCGCATGCCGTCTGATACTAGGGCGGCTTCAGCGGTGTTGTCCTCTTCGAGGGGGATGGAGTTGAAGTTTAGGCCTGGGTTGGGAGAGTGAGACGAGGTTGGGGAGGATGCCGGTAAGGATCTCTGCGGGAGCGGTGGTGGCTGGTTGAGGCCGACTGGGCGGCGGGGGATAGAGCTGGGTCCGTAAGCGCCCGTGTGGGAAGCTGCGACTGATGTTGCGGTCGTAAAGTTGCTACGGAGCGACGTGGTGCGCGTAATGATGCCTTCGCTCGGGGGCGGTGGTAGGTTCATGTCCGGCGACTCGTCGCGTGGTGACGGAGAATCCATGGCTTTGAGGCGGATGTCCTCGGCCCGCCCGAGTGACTCTAGCAGTTCATTGACCTTGCTTTTGCTGGTGTAGTTCTTCTCGAGTATCCGGAGTACGGTTATGGTGATGGTGAAAATGTATGTGAACCTGGAAGAGGTCAGTTGGTGATGGTGTGGAGGGATGGCTGGGAGAAACAGACACTAGAGCATTCGCAATGCCATAGTAGGAGCGGTCAAGACCACAGAGACCATCGAGTTCGCCTCGCTCACCGACGCTTTCATCACCGAAGCGAATGGTAGTGAAGCCGGGCTTGGGTTTGTTTTGTTCTTCGTCTTCCTTGTCTAAACATATCGTAAGTACCCTAGCTGTCAGGAGGAATTTATCCAGACCGAAGGGTACTGACAGTCTTTCCGTGTCATGCCAGCACAATGTACCGGAAGACCGGCACGGGCAAGCGTCGTGATAGCGCCGAGCAGCACACCGCACATGATCACATCGAAGACGACAAAGCACGTTAACCAGGACGTCCTCCTGGAACGTTGGCCGCTATGCCCGATGCTGAGCGCCAGTATCGAGTAGCCAAGCACGAAACAAGCCTACATGGCGTCAACACCCTGTCGTGGGACAAAAGGAGGTGATTCGCTAAGGAGGTGAGGTGAGCGTACCAGCAATTCGAGAGCTACCATTTCCTTTGATAGCCCAAGCTTCGCAGCGAAGACCTTGATGGTCAAGTAGCCGTGCATGCCGACGGCGAGGGCAGAACCCAGCAACTGGGACGCGCGTCCGAGTGCCAGCCATGTTGACAATTCCCACCCCATTGCTGAAAGTGATCTCGCTGGAGGGGGTGGAGGGTTGTTGCGGGCCCGACTTCCACTTGGAAGATCAAGGCAAAAAGGAGGTATCCTCGTCAACAATCGACAAACAACCGGCAATTGTCAATCACAGGCCGTAGTCAAAGAAGGCCAAAAACTATTATGGATCAAGGAGAAAACAGAGCAACAAGCAAACGGGCCATCGTGGTCAAGCAGCTCCATCGGATAGCCGAATCATTTTTGCAGCTAAACCAAACCGACTGATTGAGGGGGGATGGAGGCTGTGTCCCTGTGCTGTGCCCTGCCGTTTGGAGCGGGTTGACCGCCAGGCTCGCCTCGGCTACCGCCCCGATGGAACCAGCCCGGAGATAAGTGCAGCAGTCACGGCGTGCTTTGCTCGTGTCGAAGTTAACATTATTGTCAGGAGGAAGACGCCCGACCTTGAAAGGAGCGGTTTCACACACGGCCCACAATTTACTCGGAAGGTGAGCAAAGCTTGTTGTTGACCAGGTTGCACTTGCTGGTTCTGCCTCCACCTTCCTGCATGGAAGACAGTCGAGTCCCTGGCTTGACCACTGGAGCGATACTTGACTTACAAGTTAAGGTACATACAGTACCTACCTGATCCCTCCTGTCTTCGTTCAATATCTTATTCTTCGTTTTCTCTGGACCTGACGATGTTCCCCGATAACAATCAAGTCGGGCTTCTGGGTGTGCACGAGGGCCGCGTCATCGGCACTTCCCGGGCTAATAAGGGCGGAATGTTAGCGGGTGCAGGGGGGCACAGCCCCAGATCAATCAACCACAAGTCCCGACGTGATTTGCCCATCACCGATGGCCAGGACGGCAGAGCCGGGCGAAGCGGCTGACAGAAAAGCTTAATCCTGGCCAATTTGCTTGCTCCGTGTTGCACAACTCTGGCAACTTTGAACCCGATTGCTGACTGACCAGCTCGAAACGTGGTGTTTCTCATTACGCAGTTTTCAGTCCTCATCGTTAAAAGGATTTTATCGCGTAATACACCAGCGCTCGCCGTGTTTGCCAGGCAAACATCGCACCTGGTTCAAGATGCATAGATGCCTCTTCGGACGCTCGTCGAGGGAAGCTGAGGAGGACATCACCGATATCAACGAGAAAGCTGTCTGGACCCCGCGAGACTGGTCTGCCATCTCCTTGACAGCCATCAGGCTTCTTCAGTTCGCCTATTTCGCCTTCGTGCACGCCTCGCTCCGCAGCTTCGAGAGGTCGAGTTACTTTCGAGAAGATGGCCCTTGGCATCACTCGCCAGACGGGATGCGTCACTCGACGCGGATGATGCGCTGGGCTCGGATGCAGGTACGGTCCGACCGTGAGGTGTGACGAGAGAGCCACCATGCCTAACTCGCGCCGCCAGGCTTCTATAAACTTGATCTACCACGCCGCCGTCCTCGTCGTTCCCTGGCTGCTTCGGCTGGTGAGGGCGACCAGACGGCCATACGCCGGCTTCGCGGCCGTCTTTGGTGACGGGTGTGCCATGTTGGCCCTCCTTAATACTCTGGCCATGCTCGACACCGCCCACGAGGACTACTGTCACGGTCCCCCTCCGAGAGATGGTGCGTGCTGCCACACAGGCCGGGTTTGATTGCGCCGTGTTACTGACTCCCATCAGACTTTGATCTGCGCGCCATGTTCGGCAAGGGCAGCCGCCATCACGACATGAGCGGCCACCGTTCCGTCTGTCATTCGCTCGATGTGGTGTTTGGCCTGGGCAGTCTCGTCATGTGCGTATTCCCGCAGCTACTCTGGATCTGAACTAATGTCGCTCACTGTCTACAGCTTGTCACATGTCCTTAGCGCTGCTGTCACCGCCCTGCGGGCAAAGAGGCCAACCCCAACAGTGCATGCAAAGGTGGAAGCCGCCAGCGATGTAGAGCAGGCTATCCCTCGTCCACCCGCCCACGTCGAGACGAGTGTCCCCACAACGCCGAGGAGACAACACTCGCCGCCACCGCCTTATCTCCCCGTCGTCGCTGGGCTGGTTCAGGGGCATGCAAGCTACCCCGACCGCTCTGAGCCGATTACAGCCCCAAGAGGCCGGTCCTCTGTCGAGACCACTTCGTCTCTTGGCTTTGAGAACTACCTGGTATCTGATGGATGGCGTGCACCGGAGGTGCCTCCAGAATACTCGAGTAGGCCACCGAGCCTGCATCAAGTTCTGCCGTGAAGTAATGCTGTCGTTGGAGTTGGACTAGTCGCCATTTTGTCTGTTCGGGAAACATAGTGGGAGCGTAGCGTGATACCCCGTAATCGTGATAATACATGCAGTTTCTGTCACAGCTGCCGTCACAGCTCTTCTCTGTCTTTGTCATTATCACGTCTCACCTCGCAAGCCTCCTCTGGCCACGACAATACCCAACCCGTCACCGTCTTGAGCACCTCCACATCCCCCGGATCTCGCTCAAATAGCGGCCGATCCATCTTCTTCTCCAGCACCTTCTCCACCACAAACCCTCGCTCCCGCGCCAGATCAAAAAACGCCAAATCCTTGTGCTGCAACCACGGCCGATAGCTGGTAAACACAACAAACGCCTTGCTCGCCCGGCTCTTTTTGAGCGTCTGCTCGATCGTGCGCAGCATATTCCCGTGCTCCGAGTGCCGAAACAACAGATCCGCCAACACCAGCACATCAAAACCCCTTCCCCTTTCCTCTGCTGGTAAATAACCCAACAGTCTCCCCGGATCAGCCCCCCACACGAACCCATCCACCACGATATTCAACCCCTCCTCATGGTCATTCTCTTTCCCCTCATCTTTGACCCCCGGAATGAGCTCACACCCCCTCACATTCCGCCACATGTTTTCCACCAAATCATTATCCGGATAATCCGTCACGACCACCTTCCTCGCCCCCAGCGTCGCGGCCACGATGCTCGGCAGGCCCGCGCCGGCGCCCAGTTCCAGGACCGTGCGGTGCTGGACCAGGTGCGGTTGCGCCTCGAAGTGCGACGCGACCACGCGCGCGCCGTTCCAGAGGTGGTGGGCCTCCAGCGGGGAGTGACCGACCAGGTGCAGCGTGATGGTGGCGCCGGCGAGTGTCGTGTAGGATTGCGTTGTCGGGGGTGGGGTCGGCGGGTAGAAATCGGCGGGGTCTTGGAAGAGGGAGGCGTCGATGTCTGCTTCGGGTTCTCCGTCTGGGTTTGCCATTGTTGCCTGGTTTTTTGTGTGGTGAGGTGGTTCGTGCAGATTGTGTGGTGTGATATTTTCAATGTATGTGAGGCGAGAGATGAGGATTGGATGTGAGCGAGCGAGGTGTGTGAGAGAATTGGGGAGGTGAATCTGGAGCCTGATGTGGGGTGGGAAATTGTGCAGGGGATTTTACAGACCTGGTTGACCATCTCCAAACAGCATGTGATTAAATCGCGAACAGGGCTTGGGCTCAAAACGGAGGATAAAACAGAAACTCAGAGTGCCAATGTGTCGATGGAGATTGAAGGGCACATTATTGGCATGCTCTATGGCCGTACTCTATATAGATAGCAGTCCTTGGTTGTCTTTTTTCTGACGGGTTTATGTATTAATGAAGTACTCAACCCCCTTACGACACAGTGCAATCGACTCCAGGCACAAAATGACTCCTCTCCTACATTCTCCTCAAACCCACCCATCTTGAACTACCCCTTCCTTACCTCCCACCACCCCCAAACCTCATCCTCGCCAACTCTTTCAACCCCTCCACAACCCTCTCCTCCCGCTCCCGATACGCCCTGACCCTCTCCTCCCGCTCCGCCTGTCTCGCCCGTTCCGCCTCCTCCCGTCTACTCACCTTCTCCTTCCTCCTCTCCTCCCTCGCCCTTAACAAGGCCCTGTACTCCTCCACCGCATCCACGCCGCCCAGCAGCTCCCCCTCCCCAACCACCTCCTCGCCGGGCGACTTCTCCCGAAACCCCTTCAATTTCTCGTTCAGCTCCCGGCGCTTCTCGAGCCGCCGCTCGCGCGTTCCCACCTCGGCACGCGGGAGGACTTCGTCGAGGAGGGCTTTTTCTTGGGCGCGGTGCGCGCGGCGGGCGAGGCGGTGCGCTGCCAGGGAGGACGACTGTTCTGCCGCGAGGGCTTCGTCGCGGAGGGAGAGGTCGGTTTGGGTGGGGATCGAGGGGCCAGGGGCGCGGGCGGATGTTGATGGTGCGGTGGGAGGGTAGTCGCGCTGGTAATGTGTCTGTGGTTGGCCTGGAGGTGGGGGTGGTGGCGGGCCGTAGGCGTCTTCGTCGTCGTCGTCGTCGTCGTCGTTGTCGCCATCGGCATCGTCTGGGTTAACGGTGGGGTAGGGGGAGAGGGAACGGGAAGGTGGCAGTTTTGCGCTGTGCAAGGTTCGTTGTACGGACCGCGAGGGTGATGGCAGACGATACCGATCGCCCCCGTTGGCATCAAGGTTCCCCCCATAATCTCGGGCGGCGCTAGCAAAGACGACCGGGTCATACCAGCCCTCTGCGAGCTCCCCTCGGTTCCATTTGCCCATAAAACTCTTCCAGCGACCACGTAGTTCCGTCTCGTCGAGCGACCCAATGTCCAACCTCTTCTGCAGGTCCAGGTAGTGCGCAAACAGGGGCCTGAAGGCGGCCAAGTCGCTGCGCGAGAGCTGGCGAGCCCTAAGGGGAAGCTCTTTGCGTGATAACGTACACTCTGCCGAATATCGCCTTGCTGAATGATGGCGGTGACGGTGAGTATCCTCACGTCGGCGTTGGTGATGTCGGTAAGATAACCCACCACTTTCCCGATTCCCGCTGGGCGTACGTTCATCGTCCGGCTCCCTTGCTTCCTGATAGTCGAAGCGGCGCCGCTTTGCAGACCTCTCACTCTCCCCAATACCATCGTCTCTCATCCGCTCCCGTCCCAAGTTCCGATCCGCATCATAATCCCGCCAACGGGAGCTGTAGCCCTCCTCAACCAGGTGCCTCTCCCGAGCCCTTCTTTCCGTACGCGGGGACCTGGGCCTGGATCTGGACCCGGGACGTAACCTCGAGCTCGGCATACCTCTGCCAGCGTCTCGACTGCTGGTCCAATTCCCGACTGGTGATGCCGGCATTGCCGCCCACCCGCCAAACGTCCCTCAATCCTCAGTCACCTACTTTGTCGCGTTGAAACCTCGAGCTGACTGTCCCATACAAACAAATACCTCTCTCGAAGTGGAATTCCTCACGTAACAGTAGAACTCGGCGGCATTTGTCTCTGGTCTCGCCTGCTGTCTGGAGTTGGCTGTCAATTGCGTGACGTTTGAGTTTGATGTTGAAGTGCGTTAAGAGAGCGGATGAGTGGTGAGACGGGACTTTTGTTAGCGTCAAAACGTAGCGGTCTCCGTTACGCTCCGTTTTAGATACAGCTATGGCCCCACCTCCCAGTGCACTAACTAACCACCACGACGAACCGGCGTCAGGACAGGGTAAGGGTTCGATGCTCGCTGCAAACACGGTCTTATTCTTCAACAGAAGGAAATGAGAGATACAAGGAATTAATGAACAAATCAAATGAGAGTAAGGGGGTCGAGGTTTATGGAAACAATAGACATCAAACGGCGGGGAAAGAGATCAAGAACGAAGAAGAAAAAAAAAGGCCTGGACTTAGTTTGAAGACGACAACTATGCTCACCAGTTCAATGCCACAGGAACACACAGTTTCTTCTGGTCAACAAGTGTACCTGCAAAGCATGGCACACCAGAGGAGTACAGTATGTATCGACAAAACAGGAATAAGATAGGCGTGCGCAGACTTCGGCACACCTCTTCCATTCCACATCCGCCATACATCCGGTGACCAGCCTCTCCCTGCAATACTGGCCACCCAACATCCCTCAAGCTACACAACATCCCCCTAATTAAGGGGAATGTGATGAACCAAGCACCCGGGACAATCACAGCTGTCCCCGCACGGACAAGATTCCAGCTCCCCGCCACAGAGACCCGAGATGGGCAGGTTCACAAAGAAGTAGTCCATCGTCGACAGCGACTGCTCTTCGCCCTTTGGCGACCCCTCATTGCTCGCCGCCGGGGTGGGTGCCTCGGATCCGGCCAAGTCTTCTCCCGCCGCCAGTGTCGTCTGCGTGTGCCCTCCACCTCCTCCTGCTCCCGGGGTTGCATCCGCTCCCGCGCCGCCGGGACTGCTGCCGTTGCTGCCGCTGTATGCATTATTGACGTACTGGAACATCTGCGCGTTGAAAGGGTGGGCCAAGCAGCCGATACATTGACAGCCCTCGCCGCAGCTGCATTGGTGGCTCGTGCCGACGTCGACCGCATCTCCATTGGTGGCGGTGGGTGACATGGGCGTCGTCCCCAAAGACATGCTGGTTTGGGACGCTACCTGCTGCCAAATGAAGGGGTCGATCGGATGTTGCCAGGAACCGTAATCGCCCGGGTACCTAAAGACGGTCGGATACGGGAACTGCGGTATGTATGACTGTCCGTATGGTTGATGCGACGACGGCATGTTGTTTGGGGGGCAAGGTTTCTGTGCCTTGCTGGAACAGCAACTGCCGCTAGCTGACGGTGGCGGCATGTAGGACTGCCCATATCCCTGCTGAGGTAGCTGGGATGGTTGTGTATTGTTTTGAGCAGGAGCGGGAGCAGGTTCTTGTTTCTTTCTGGAACAGCAGCTGCCGCTGCCTGACGGCGGTGGCATGTAGGACTGCCCATATTCCTGCTGAAGTGGTTGGGGTAGTTGGGCATTGCTTTGAGGTGGAGGTGGAGCCGGAGCCGGAGTAGGCTCTTGTGGTTTGCTGCCACAACAACAGCTGCTCGAAGGTGCTACGACGTTCGCCTCGGGCGCCGGGGCGGCTGGTTGCACTGGACCGGTGGCCGGCGCATGTGCGTGGTTGCCGTTGACGAAAGGTGGTGACGCCATTGCCGCGCCAAAGCTGCCATTTGAAATTGAATAAAGCCGGCTCTCCTCCAACTTGACGGCGTGGTGAAGCTGGTTCGATTGGGGATACCCAAACCCCATGTTGTATGGCAATGGCGACGTAAGATTCGAGTTCTGCGGAGAGGCATACGTACTGCCCGGCCTAGCCGATAACACTCCCAGGCCCGCTCCAAACCCAGTCAAGTTCGGTCGTGAACTCTGAAGAATCGCGCTGCCTGTCATGGGCATCCCATTCGTAATACCGTTGCTGCCCGGGCCGGCTATCACGTTGATCGACCTCGGATCCATCCTCTCCAAGTTGGTGAGGTCGAAAGATTGCTTCCGGCCGTTGACTTTGGATCCGCTATTGGTCTTTGCTACTCGGAATGATGGCCGTGATGGGGATGTCGGAGGCTCGACCGGAGAGCGCTTATTCTCATCATCCTGCGCGATCTTCTCGTCTTCGGTAGGGCATCCACACTTCTGCTTCTTTGGAATGGCAACTCGAAGACCGCCGCAGGCACAGGGTCTCCCGGGAGGGCAGGGGCAGGTGCTGAGTGGCCGCCCAGGCTTCCGGACGGGAAGCATCACTCGTTCATGGAAGTGATTGCATTTTGTAGAACGGTGGCCACGTATACACGGTGCGCTGTGATGTCGGCAAAGTCAGCAACGGCGCATGATGGTTATACGCATTGGTGCCCGGTTCATTTGGGAGGGATAGAGAATGGAACAATTCGAATGAATGCCCATGAGATTCACAAGAGCACAAAAAATGGGGAGAGGTTCGGGGGAAAGAGGAGCGGAAGCAAGACATACCAGGCCACCTTTTGGCCATTGATGATAGGCATGCTGAAGGTTAGAGGGGTAGCGCCTCACCCAGCATCGGCCCGCTGACGGAGGTCGACGGAGGTTGAGACTGTGCTGGGACCGGAGGTAGCCGGGTGTTTGAACAATGCCGCGCTCGCCGGCCGGAAGGAACGGACACCGGTGACCCTGAAACTCGGACAAGCGAGCGAGCAGCGAGTTTGCACTCGGTTGAGGCGAGTCAGTGCAGACTGTGATGAGGCGTGATCGGCAGCTCTTCGAGCTTCCAGGCGAGGAGGATCCGGAGATCAGTTTGAGCAAATTGCGCAAGTTTCAGGGCTATATCGTGCATTCGCCTCCCCAACAGCCTTGAAAGACTCGATGTCTTAGCGCGGAAGACAACAAACAGAGCTGGTCAAGCGCGCGGAAACGACGGCCGAGTTACAAAGCGGTCCGTTATCCCAGATGATGGCGCGTTCAGCGGTCAAAACGACCTTGATTCTCGGAGGACCAGACCATGGATTCCAGTCCGGAGGGCGTCTGCGGGAGCCAACTTGGCGGCTGGATGTTGCAAGGCGAGCGTTGAGGTGGCCCGTGAACAACCGCGGTCCGGCCGATGTTTCACGCACGAGGTATCGAATTGGACAATCGCCCGAGAACCGCGACGACGATGAGTTGTGCTGCAACAATGATGTTGACTGCCTTTAATGAAAGGCACAGGTGGAGAAGTGAGATTCCTGGGCCGCTGTCAGACCTGGACTCGGAAAGCTCTGCTGACCGCAGCCTCCTTCCTGCAATCGCCGCGGGTGAAAGGACCTTCGCACCTGCCTCCCGTCGTCGTTGAGCTCTTCAAGGTTGCCGTCTGCGTGTGAGCAAGAGCTTCAATCAGCCCATGGTCATAAGCTCTTTTCTGGTTCGATCTCTACAAGTCACAGCTCGGCGCTCGCATGCAAGAGTGGGCAAGTGGGGCCAGGGCTTTTGGCAGTCGGAGAGATGAGCAAGTTTCCATTGGCTGAAAATGGGGCGTTAAAAGGCCAGCCTTGGCCTCTTCTGTTAGGATGGCACAAGGCAGGTCAAGGGGATGAGGAAATCAGTAAAGGGACTTCTCAAGAGAGAACTCGAAAGGGAAGGAGGAAAGAAAACAGAGAGTTAATCAGGAGAAAGGCCAGAAAAGATGTGAGCGAAGAAAAGAGAATGGACAACGAGCAAAAGGAGAACGTTGACTTGCTCTTGTCAGACCTGGTATAGTGCTTAGGTCACACCATAACGTTAGCTGGCAAACTGGAGGAGCTGTGCCGATGCTTGCGGCGTGGGATGTTGTGCCATCACCAACTTGACTAAGCAAGTCCCCGATGTCACCACAAAATACTCAGGAGCATTCCAATCTTCTGCTTGTTACGGAGGTGGCAGAGTATGTACAGCAATTCACACCTCAATGATGACTTGACGCTGGCACATCTGACGCCTTTAAGAAGCGTGGTGGGAGATGCCCCGTTCATCCCGCTGAGATCAAGGTATACCTCCGTAGTGTGTTTCTCTCACGACGCTTACCCCCCAGCTGGCCAGGTGCTCTTCACAACGGCGTTTGGGGACCACCACTACTCGTGGACTCACGGATTTAGGTGTGTCATTGAAACATGGCATCGGCAGCTGAGCCGAGCCACGGTGGGATGTCTGGCTGCTAAAAAACAACGGCAAGGCCCAAGCCTGCTTCTCCGTACCGGTGGTTAGCACCAACCCCTCTTGCAGCAAAGTTCTTTGGCGAGGTCCCGGCCCCGTGGATGGAGCGATGCAGCCGGGGCACTTCCCGGAAGCCCTGCAGCGAGTTGGCATGGCAAAGCGACACGAGGGGTGGGTGGGTAACACCCAACCTGCCAACCTCTTTTCTTTTCCCGGCTCGCTTTACAAAGCTCGGACGACGGCTGGGCAGTTGTGGGTTTGCCAATTTTGACGGCTTCATGTCACCACAACCGTTCAAATGGCCCCATCCGAATCAGAATCCGCAAACATGTCCATGGCCCGCATCCGTTTTCGAGCAGGCGCCTGCGCCGGCTCCGACGTAGACATCTGAAAGCTGCCGATAGATGTGTTGGTCTCTGTTCCGGCTGGCACAGGCACCGCCGGTGTCTGTTTCGACTTCGCTGTAACATCACCTTTGGTCGACGCATCTGCAGAACCGTCATACGGCTCGCCGTCAAGGTCCAGGTCGGAGAATGCATCGTCCAGGCCAGCCAGGTACTGCAGACGAACCGAATCCAACTCTTCTTCGTCGCCGCCATCAGCGTACAGTAAGTTCTCGACGTTGTCATCCACAGTATCCTGGTCCACGGCCTCCTTCGTCGACACCGGCAGGAAGCCGCCGCTCTTCCCGCCATCGTCAACGGGGACCGCTTCGACGGTCTTCCACCGCCCGGCGGCCTTCCTCTCTGTTTCAGCCCCGTTGGTCTCTTTCCTGGCGATAGGTGGGTTCTCAAAGGTGCGGACAAACGACTCGTGGGTCTCAACCGGAAACACGCACCACCCTTCCCACAGGTTCAGGACGAGCCCGACGCTGCGCTTCCACTTGTCGGCGCGCAGACGGCCCCAGCTCAGCTTGTCGGCCATCATGCCCAGCATCTCAAATGTCTTGCGCTTCCGGAGTGCCGCTTCGAACAATTGCCGATAGCGCCAGGCGTGACGGATCCCACTACTGGAGGAGGAGGACAGAATATCGCTGATTACGTAGAGACCCAGGAGACGTGCCACACTGAGATCAGGGGCATCGGAAGTGGCTTTGTCCCCGGGCGCGGGTGACGGGTCACGGGAGTCGTCCTCGCCGCCGTCTCTGTACTTGGCTCCTGGTTTATAGTCCGGGTTGGCTGATGTATACGCGAATGGCTGCTCGACATTCGAGACGATCATGTCTACGACCTCGTCTGCACCCCTGCTGGCGTGGGTGATGGCAAATGCCGTTACACTCGCAATGTCGCCCTTTCGGAGTTTGGACAGTGTCGTCGGTAACCGAGCCAGCAGATGGGCCAGCTTGAATTTCTCGAATGGGTTCAGGAATGTGTCGTCCTGGTCCGGCCCGTCGTAATGTCGAGTTTGCTCGTCTTCAAATTCATCGTCATCTGAAGAGTTGTAGTCCGAGTCGGAAATGAACTCGGCGACGTCCGTGGTGAACTCATATGGAAGCCGCCGTTCGGGCTTTCTCCAGGCGTGGCTACCCTCGAATATTGCAAGATACTCGAGCTTCCCTTTCGTAAACTGCAAACCTGTCACAATCTCCCACAGTCTCCAGCGATACCAGACTCCGCCTTCACTGCGGGAATCCCAAATCCAAGCCCATTTCTCATCGCGCTGAACGTCTGGTCGGGACATGAGGAGGGCTTCGAATTCTGGACCGTGCTCCAGAACAGATTCAACGACTTTGTGAATCATGCGTAGTTGCTTAATGTCTCGCGGCGCGCGAACCGGGACATGAAGAATACCGGCCCTGTTGAGCGAACCGCCCATCGGGGGGCCATATGATGTCGGAGGCGCATATGCCCGACCGTGGCCCATCGGCACGTGTGCCGGCCTTGTAGGGCCCTCGTCGACCTTCCTCGCGCCAAATGGATACGAGACAGTCGCCGAGGAAGTGACAGCCGCCAGGCCAGATGACATGGCGGCAGAAGAAAGATGCCGGTGCAGGGAGAGGAAGAAGCCGAAACCTAGGTAGCGGTTTTGCAGAGCGCTCACGGCATTGTCAATCTCGGTAGCAGGCGTCTCTTTGGACAAGGTGACGACAGCAGCAATAGACTTCCGCTCCGTACCGCTGGGACCAGCGGGCGGCACAATCTTGACGTTCTCAACGGTCAGGTTGGCCGGAATCAGGGACTTGATGAAGGCGGGCGATGTGCCCGGGGGTATGTTCGCGAGGCGGAGTGTCGGTTTGGATATCGCCTTTTCCTCGGCCCTGTCGGCGGTTGTGCTATCTCCCTCGTCGTCGCTGGCTTCGAATGCCTTGGAGACGGGCAGCGTGCCCAAGTCCCTGTCCCTGTCCCGGTTTTCAAACGCTAGTCTCCCGCGTCCCTCGTCCGAGTCTCGGTGGAAGCCATCGTATGATCTCTTCTTCCCAAACGATGACGGCGGGGGCCCCAAGCTTCCCGGACCGCTCTTCAGCGACGCGCCAGAGGGGACGCCGAAGTGTCTCTTTCCTGTCCCTCCTCCAAACGTGGTACCACTGCCGAACGTTGGTCTGTCGGGCCCTCCCCAGCCCAACCTTGACGGGCCATGACGCGATCCACGGAAGGAATCGTCTTCATCGTCGTGGGCAAAGCTCTTGACGAAGTCCTCGTAAACGGCGGCTGTCTCTTCGGCCTCTCTTCGACGCTTTGCTTCGGCTTCGGCCTTTTGTCTCTCGAAAGCGGATTGCTTGCCCGGCTTCTGGAGTTTCGCTTCGACGTCAGGAAATTCGGCAATCTTCTTGGCAGATGACATTTTCGGCGGCTCACGTGTATTGGACACGCATATTCAAGTTGGTTGATGGTTGTGGTGACCTTTGCTGGCGCACAGCGTTATGCTCACGCTGACCGCCAGCTCCCGACAACTGGACAGGCTTGATTGGTCTGTGCGCCACCGGCAAGCACATAGGATCATGGGATGGTCTCGATCTTCGCGAAATGCCCTGGTATACAAAGCTTACGGCAACCTGAGTTTTAAATTCGTGAAAGCTTAGGTACTTGGAAAGAACCCGTCGCAGTAAGGGCGCGTGAGCTCAGAATGGAAACAACTGTTATGTACCTAAGGTAAGTTGCATACAGAGCACCATCATTGCACCATCACTGCAACGCTCACATGCCAGAGGCGAGTTGGTGAACTGCCGGCTGAAGCCAGCTGCAAATCCTCTGCCCATTCTTGGGGAGTAGGCCCAATCAATCACCAGATCACAGCCGTGGATGACGGTTGAGAAAGCATGCCTCCTCCATCAATGCATGAAGAACTGATCTCTTTCTTCAAACACCTCCGACCGGTGTTTGACGGACCAGCTTGTTCGACCAACGTGATATGGTCCCGGTGGATACAACATGACTATGGGTACGACTTCTTTGTTGGCCCTTTCTTATTTTCCATTCTCGCCGTCTCTGTCATTCGACCATCTCACTGCGCCCTTCCCCGCTCCGAACTGCCCCAGAATCCCAAAGCCGAGCCCGGAGACTGGAGATGGCCTTATCGTGCCATTCTCGTACACGATGGCTGCTCCACAACCCGCTTACTTTAAACCCCTTAGGTGCTTCTTGGTCCACGGTGCTCGTGGCCTGTTGATTTCGACTCGGACAAAGCGACGGGTTGTAGCAGGACTCCTAAGTTGGGGGAACACAGTGACTATTTTTCTCATCACGAGAGCCATGACACACGGGCTATCTTTCTCAACCCCCGACCTGGTTAGACGGCCTTTTGTGATCCGTGTTTGAGACCCTGTTTGAATTCCGGAATTTGTGCTGCCGTTCCGTTCCCCAGATGGCTCGAGCTGCGTCATCCTCCCCTTCCTCCTCACCCCTTCCCTTCTCGCCTCCTTCCTCAATTCTCATCATCGGCTCTGGCGTCTTCGGGCTCAGCACCGCCTTGGCCCTCGCCCGTCGTGATGACTTCGCCCATTGCTCGATAACGGTCGTCGATAGGTCTGACACCGCCCAACCAGGGGTCTTCCCCTCTCCGGACGCCGCCAGCATCGACACGAGCCGCATCATCAGAGCCGACTACGCTGATCCAGCCTACGCTGCACTGGGTGACGAGGCCCAGGTGCAATGGCGCAAGCAGGACGAGCCCGCCGATCTGGGTGGCCAGGGGCGCTACAGTGAGACTGGACTGATCCTTGTTGGCGACTTCACGCCGCCTGCGCCCTCAGCAGCCCCGTCAGCGGATGGGGGGTTGAAACAGAAACCCAAGCTGACGGGCATGGATTATGCTCGCCTGAGCTGGGCCAACGTCTTGTCCTTGGCGGCTAAAGACCCTGAACTCGCCGCCCGTGTCCGCGAGCTGCCCGACTCGGAGGCCATCCGTGAGGCTCTGGGCACTGGCGGGAGCTCTGGTTTCTGGGGTTATATCAATCATAACAGCGGTTGGGCCAACGCCGCTGCCACAATGGCCTGGTTTCTCGACGAGGTCCAGCAGACGGGCCGTGTCAACTTCATCGCCGGCACCGTTGTCTCCCTGGAGCACGACGAAACCACCGTCACCGGCACCAAGCTCTCCGACGGCCGGGTCCTGTCCGCTGATCTCATCGTCGTCGCAGCAGGTGCTTGGACCGGCGGCCTAGTTGATTTGGGCGGGCAAGCGGTCGCCACGGGCCAGGTGATGGCCTACGTGGAGCTCACCCAAGCCGAACAAGACGAACTCGCAAATACGCCGGTCATCCTGAACCTCTCATCAGGCCACTTCATCATCCCGCCAACCAACCGCGTCCTCAAAATCGCCCGGCATGCCTACGGCTACCTCAACCCGACCACTCTGCTCACCAACCCACCCCTCCCGCTCAACCCAGCAATCACCCCGCCCACCACCGTCTCCCTCCCCCGAACGGCCCTAACCGACCCATCCCTCTCCATCCCCCGTGACGCCGAACTCGACCTCCGCTATGCCCTCCAGGAGATGATACCCTGGTCGACGCTCCGCAACCGCCCGTTCTCCAAGACCCGCCTGTGCTGGTACTCGGACACGGCCACGGGCGATTTCTTGATCGACTACCACCCCTACTGGCGCGGCTTGTTCGTCGCGACGGGCGACAGCGGGCACGCATTCAAATTCCTGCCCGTTATTGGCGACAAGATCGCCGACTGCATCGTGCGCGAACCGCCGGCTGAGTTCCGAGGGAAGTGGGACTGGAAGGTGACGGAAGGGTCCAGGAGGGATGTGTTTACTGAGGATGGGACCAGGGGAGGCACGCCTGGGCTGGTGCTCGCTGATGTCCTACCTGAAGAACACGGAAGGGCATAGTGTGTGGGTGTGATCTTCATTGAAGAAGCGCGGAGGGGGAATCAGGACAGGTAAGCTCACAAACACCACCCGTCTCACGGGCCCAGGATTTAATCAATGATGGTAGTATTTGACGGCAGCAAGAACCACGGCTGAAAACCATAACAGTCCTTCTCTTCAACATGCGCCGCCATAACGGGTAAATTCGAGCCGGCGGCGAGAGGAAAGAAGCTCAGCGAAAGAGCACTCAGCGGCTGATGCCATCCATCGTCTCTGTCAGGGGAGTTAAAATCTCCCCTGCAAGCCAGGTTCCGGCTTTCCTTGGTAGTCCAGACAAATACTCTCCTTGCGAATGACCTGCTGCCGCGCGCCAACCCAGTTGTGTGAGTGCCGAATGATGTTTCAAACCAGACTGAAATGTTACATCATCCCAATCCATCCCAACAACCCCTCCAAGAGGAGCGAGCGAAACGAGCAGGCAAGCCGTCGCATATCACAAATCCACAACCACCCCAGAGTCATGCTCTGCCTCCCATTCTTCGTTCGCCATCCCATCATCCCCCCAAACCTCTCTCTTTTTGGGGCTACCCAATAAACGGGTATTCGCCGCAAGCTCATTAAGGGACGGGGCAGGAACCGGTGCCTGCTTTTCTTGGTGCCGCAACCAGTGCCCTGTCATGTGCGCAATCATTCTATGGGTAAACTATACCCCCGAGCGGGAGCGCTTCCGCAAACTCGAGGATTCCGCGAGAAAAGTTGCGGAAAAGAGCGAGAAATCCCTACTGTAATATTCCGTCCGCCCCGTCCGAAACGCCTGTGCAATGCTGTGCTGTGGGAAAAGAGGAAGAAGGAAACGACAATCGCAATGATACAAGTGTCCCGAGGTCCTGGCTTCTTTTGCCAGCCAGCCGGATTTCTTTTTTCGGGTGGTTATGATCTTGTCGTGAAATCATGACCGTGGACTGGCGGGTGTAGTGTACAAGTCGTTGGCAAATTGTGATGATGTGGTTTTCTTGTGGCAGCGAGTACCTGATAGCCACAACTTCCACGTTGACAAGTCGAGAAAATTAAACCTTGCGGAAATCTGCCAATAACGATTAGTATCGATGCAGAGATGTTAAGGATTGACACAAACTAACCTTGCAGCACGGGGTAAATCATCTCGAACGCCTGGTAAATTTCCTCGCGCACCTTGGCACCGGTGAGGACTATCTTGCCGCTGACGAAAATGAGTAAAACGATCTTTGGCTTGATCATGCGGTAGATGAGACCCGGGAAGAGCTCGGGCTCGTACGAGCTAAAGTTGTGATGCTTCGACGCAAGACCCTCCAGACGGATGGGAAACTTAATGTCACACGAGCCAACGATGTTCTGGATCTTGAAGTCGGTGAACTTGGCGTTGAAGCCAAGCTTTTGAATGATACGAGCGTACTTGCGCGAGGCGAGCTTCGAATCATCCTCTGACTTAGCGCCGGTCACTACCATCTTGCCGCTGGCGAAGATGAGCGCAGTCGTCTTCGGCTCGCGAATACGCATGATGACAGCAGCGAAACGCTTGGGGTTGTACTGCTTCTGGTCAGAACTGCGCGGCAAAGAACGGTTGACGACAGAAACCATGTGCAAACGCTTTTTCTCACTCGAGCAAAGCGCGCCAGGTTTCTGGCTCAACACGTACCTCCGCATTGCGAGCATGCAGCGCGATCGTCTTCAGGTCCAGACGGCAATCCAAGTTGACCGTTGCCACAATGTTCCTGAGCGGGTTAGCCCACAGCCTCGTCAGCGCAGTGCTACAGAGGATTCCCTACTGGAGCGTGGGCGTGATGCCACTCGGGCCCGCAGGACCAGCTCCCGGCGTCGCAGCGGGGGTCGCGGGAGTCACCCCAGTACCGTTGGCGGCTTGAACGCCCTGCTGCTGAACGCCGTTGGTGACCGCGATGTTGCTCTGCACCGCAGGAGTCGCGAGCTCGTTGGCGCCGCCAGGAAACGACAGCGAGCCAGGCGCAGTGAAGGCCTTGGCCTGCGCAGCGTTCGAAGGATGAGTCTGAATACCCTCCATTTCGCTTGGCGATGTAAACCAAGCAAATTGATCGAGGATCTTTTTGCTGGCGCGAACAAATCTACAGGTGGAGGACGGTTAGAAAAGGTATCAGAATGATGCGCAGAAACGCGGACTCTGATAATTGAGAGAAGGTGATGCAAAATCGCGTCGCCGACCGTAAGGTTATATGTATGAAGGGAAGATAAATTGGCAAAAGCGATTTTAATTTTATTGAGGCCGGGTGTAAAGAGTGCGCGTTTCCGACAATCACTGGATTGCCCAACGCGGTGAAGGTATAAACACGCATGGGTGGCTGGGAGCGAGAGCGGTGATAGAGTTAAAGATGGGACGAAAGGGTTCATTGGGAAATCATACCAGAGGTGGGAGATGAACAAATTAATGTGTCCCCCGAGCCTGTTGTCCGCCTGCAAACACCTTTCGAGGATTGGTCGAGATTTTTCAATCAACGACCCGGCCGAAGACCTCAAACAATTGTTGCCGGTGATACTGTCGTGCGCTTAAGTGCGACTGACGGGTGCTCCGAGCCAGAAGACGCCTCGATGGAGAGAAACCGGGGCGGGTTGCGGCACAAGGAGCGGAGAGCTGGATTCCCCACACTGCAACTCACGGCGAGATGGTCTTCCGCGGGAAGAGAATATGCAAGGCGCACTGTGATTTGTGCAAACGTATCTTCTATTACCCTCGACGATTAAAGGGTCGACCGTGAACAGGCGTCGGGTTCCTTGGAGGTCAAAGGGCGCCAAGAGTGACGACTGAATGGCGGGCCCTAGTCCAGAAACGAGAGGACGATCGCCTGTTTAGAGTCTCGACAGATTAATCTTCAGCTCTAAATGAATGAGAAATTGCGCCCACACAACGCAAATGTATCGGAAGAAGAACCGTTGATGTCGAAAAGACAAGGCAACGGCCGACGTCAATGTCGTAGTGGAAAGTGGAGTTTCGGAGACGGTAGGAGGTGTGGGGTCAATTTCTGTGGCCGGAGGCAGGTAGCAACGGCCGGTTGGAGACATCCGCGTGCGGGCGCAAAAAATTTGGGGGGAGCTGCACCTACTTATAATTTTTCCTGGAACCCTCGGTGGCGCCTCAGGCAGCAACGCTATCTTGTGGCGGCGGGGCTCCTGCTTCTTTTCATGTTTTGGGAACCTAATGCGGCGAATCAAAGCGCAGCACATGAAATTTTTATCTCTTCTGCAGCCAATAAAATCGGCTGTCCTTGCTCGCCTCCTGGAAACGCTCCTGCACACAGTCTCAAGGTACCGGTACCCAGGCTTGGCCTTGAAATGCAAACAGCCATCTCGGCCGCCTTCGCTTCCAGCTTGTGAGCTCCAGCATCACCCAACCATTCCCGACCATTCGCATCGCAACCAGAAACCCGTCACACACACCATACCACCCCCTGAAACGGTTGCTCCCCCCTTCCCTCTTTTCTTGGCTTTGCTATGTATGTACTCCGTATTTTCGAATACCTCCCTCCCTCTCTCCCTCTCCCCTTCTCTTTCGTTTTCGTTCTCTTCTTGTTTTTTTTTTTTTTTTTTTGAGGCTGCGTCTCTGCTCAATAGAAGACTGCAGCTTCATTCCTGCGACGTCGACAGATAAGTTTCGAGTTGGTTTATGCGTTGACGCGTTTTAGGTTTTTCACTCCACCTGTACGCAGTCTCGCCGGATGATGATCGCCACCCGCCAAACGCCATCAGCTTGACCTGGACCGACTATCTCAAGACACAACTGACCACTGCAGAAGCCTTGCTTAAGCAACGGTAAGCAACTACGAGACCGGTTGTCCCCATGCTGCCGGCGAATCTAGGCGCGGTTTTCGGCTCTCGAGCGCCAAAACCTCAGGACGCAACCTCACAGCAAATGCTTCCAAGGACGATTCGGCGACGAATACTTTGATGGCGATCCCGTTTCCGCCGGAAAGACGCGTGGCTCGAGGTTGTTGGCGGGCTCAGGCACCCTTCAGCCACACCGCATTCCGACGCCTCATGACGAGAGAAAGCGAAGATGAATCATTGATCCATATTTCACACTTTCCGGAATTCTTGCTTGAACCACACTGATTTTCAGCGCGATTCGGCTGTCAGTTTGAGTGAACAGCACACTGCGACGTCGGCAGCCGAGGCCTTGCTCGCGAGCGATGCGGCAAGCGGCGCAGAAAGCGTTGGAAATCGCAAAGCATTTTCAGGCAACTAAAACCCGCTTTTCCTCAACCTCTCCATCGGCAACGGTCCCTTGATGGTCTCGTTTTTCAATTACCAAATCTCACCATGGAGCAGCATTTGCATTGGCATACGGATACAAAGTCCGTTCATTCCCGCTCACCTGGCGCGGAAGCTGAACATCAACAGGCCATTTCAGATCTGGCTCTAGCATATTGCTTTGCCTCCTTGGCCGGGCGCATGGCAACCGTGCCCTGCGTGTCAGGGGGGCAGAAGCGGCATCGAGCGTCACCTCCGGGAAGTACTGGTACATGGGGGGGGGGGGGGGGGGCGGCCGGGGCGGAGAATGCGAAGATGCCCTGTGCAGCGCTATGGCCCGTGTGGCTTCAGCTTTTTCCAACCGCGGCAACGCACTTCTTCCCGCCCTCCGCTCCAGCCTCGCCTGTGAGTCATTCTTTGCCCTTCTTTTCAAGTGCGAAGGGAGAGAAAAACAAACCACCACCGCCACTAGTCGCTGGCAGTGATGGTTGAGTTCTCTGAGTCTGCTTGGACATGTGTCGCTGCCCGCCGTTGCAAGGAAATACCGTACAGGAAAACGGGTATCACGCCATTTTCGGCTGTCTTTTGCTCGACCGGTTATTGAGTCCGGTTGCGTCTGTCCCAACTCCCAACCGCTCACATGGAAACACGGGAACCAACAGCCTGCAACAGGCCAAACAAAAGCCGGCGGGTCGCATAAATCGCCGATTGCCGCGACGCACATTGAGCGTAGGAATCCCGGCGCTTTAAGATTAACAACTAACGTTACGTCTGCCTGATATAGCAGGAGCTCTCTATACCAGTGTAGCCTTGCGCAAAGATCTCCTGGATCTTGAGGGTTGGGAACATTGGCTGTTTGTCTCGTCTTCTGGTCCCATCGGCTGCAAGCCTGCAACCTTACGGGGAGTATCGGTCACCAACCATTGCTGTCCGTTTTCAAGACGCCAACTGCCGTGTTTTTCGAGCATAGTGTAAGCTGATTGGTCTCTCCGCCATTTCTTGTCAAACTTGAATCCACAAGCGCGTGGAATGACGCGGTTGCGGCGGGTACATTTCGTGTCCCTGCCAAGAGCGTTCCAATAATGTCTGCCTCGAGAGCCACAAGCTGCCGTTCGACTGTAGCGATTCACCATACGACCATAGTAGGCTAAGGTATGCAGTGCTCTCTTGGCTCAGCAGTTTCATGCCTATAGACATTGATTTGTCGCTATATACAGCATACTAATTTGGGAGCTCAATACATTTCTTTGCCATGCCCCTTCTCATGTTTTTAGACAAACACCGCTAACACTTGACGTTGTGTTCTCGCCCCCATAAACTTCTGACACGTTTTCCTTCGACGAGAAAGGGTTTCGAAAGATCGAACACTTCCCGCTATCGTCAAAAAACGAGGTTAAGGGAAAACGGCACATCCATAAACCCCTAGAGCTTGTGTCCAGTCACCGTATCCCTCAAAGCAGAATCATGCCACCCTCTGCATTGATGCTGCAGCACCATCCGCCTCTATCCAGGATCATGTCATGTAATACTTGGGACCCTCGCCGCCCTGGGGCACCTGCCAGTTGATGTCCTGATGGGGCGCCTTGATGTCGCACGTCTTGCAGTGGATGCAACTAGGAACGACAACGGGTCAGCACATCCGGCCTCCCGTCCCGGCTAAGAGAAAAGAAGACATAACTGGGTAAACTTACTTTTGCGCATTGATTTGGAACCGCACGCCCTCCGGCTTTGACGCATCTTCAACGTACTCGTACACGCCCGCCGGGCAGAAACGGTTCTCGAGCCCTTGGAAGGCCGGGTACGTTTCGGCCGTGTGCTTGTCCCAGTCCTTGACCTGCAAATGCACCGGCTGGTCCTCTTCGTGGTTGGTCCCCGTGCGCGAGACGCTCGTGAGGATGTCGAACGTGAGCTTGCCGTCGGGCTTGGGGTACTCGAGCTTGGTGCACTGGTCGGCGGGCTTGGTGGCCACGTGGTCGGGCGGCCCGTGCCGCAGCGTCCAGGGCGCCCGTCCCTTGAGCACGAAGGCCTCGAGCCCGGAATATAGCATGCCGCCGTAGAGGCCTAGGGGAGTGTGGAACGAGGGCCGCATGTTGCGCACTTCCTTGAGCTCCTTCCAGATGAACGACTTGCGCAGCGAGTCCTCGTACTCATATAGGAAGACGGAGCCCTCGTTGCTGCTCTCCTTGAGCGCGTTCCAGGCCGCCTCAGCCGCCAGCATGCCCGATTTCATGGCGTTGTGCGTACCCTTGATCTTGGGCACGTTGACCAGACCGGCCGAGTCGCCGATCAACGCACCGCCGGGGAAGGCGACCTTGGGAATGGACTGAAACCCGCCCTCGACGAGGGCGCGCGCGCCGTACGAAATACATTTGCCGCCTTCGAGCACTTCGCGGTATAGCGGGTGTTGCTTGAGCTTTTGGAACTCGCCGTAGGGGGATAACCACGGGTTAGAGTAGTCCAACGCGACGACCTGGCCGATGCTCACTAGGTTGTCACCAAAATGATACATCCAGGCGCCGCCATACGTGTCGTAGGGCAGCGGCCAGCCCATCGAGTGCGTAATCTCGCCCTTCTTGAACTTCTCAGGCTGCACCTCCCACACCTCCTTGATGCCTAGCGCGTACGTCTGCGGCTGGCTGTCTCGGCGCAGGTCAAACTTCTTGATGACCTGCTTGCTCAAGCTGCCGTGGCAGCCCTCGCCAAAGAGCGTAACGCGCGCGTGGAACTCCATGCCCCGCTCAAATGTATTCTTGGGCTTTCCGTTCCGTCCAATGCCCAAGTCGTTGGTCGCCACACCCTTGACGCTGCCGTCGGGCGCGAAGAGCACCTCGCTGGCGGCGAACCCGGGGTACACCTCAACGCCGACCTCCTCGGCGCGCTCGCCGAGCCATTTTGTAAACTCGTTTAGACTGATGATGTAGTTTCCGTGGTTGTTCATCTGCGGGGGTGCCGGCACGGGAATCGACATAGTCTTGGTCAGGAAGCGCATCTTGTCGCTGCCCGCGGGCGTCGCGCCGGTGAAGCGACTGTCGTTGTCCTCGGCGAGCCAGTCGGGGATGAGCTCGTCGATGGCCGTGGGCTCGATCACCGCGCCCGAGAGGATATGCGCGCCAAGCTCACCGGCCTTCTCAAGCAGCAGCACCCTGAAGTCGTCATTGCCCGCCTCGTTGGCCAGCTGTTTGAACCGGATGGCGGCTGACAGGCCCGCGGGCCCGCCGCCGATGATGCACACGTCGACTTGGTCGCTCTCGCGCTCGATGGTCGCCGGGTCGAAGGAGTCATCGGCGTCGGCATAGCGCTGGGCGGGCGTGGTGGACAGGCACCTCTGGGGTGTTCGCACAGGAGGGCAGGAATTGGCGCACGTCGGTCGGACTGATTCAGGACGCCGTAACCGGCCGACGGGCGCCGAAGACAGACATCTTATGCCGCGTGCGTGTTGGAATCGTACTATTGTTGGAGTTGGCGCGGGGGCTGCCGCTGCCCTCCGGCAGAGGCCGGTTGTGAGGCGTGCAGAGGCCGGCGGCATCTTTGCTGCACGCCGAAGGCGGAGAGTGACCGGAAAGAAAAGAATTGATGCACCCTGGCGAGAGAAGGCAGAGAGTAGCAGAACCTATACGCAGACCCTCTGGCTGTTTCCCTCGCAGTCCATGGGACATACAAAGCACAATGCCCTCTTCGCAGGAAATGAATTGGACGGTGATGACTCCCTACCTCGATCTTTGCATGTGTCACAGGTTTCTTTGAGTTGTAGAATGCAGTGACGTTTTGCCGAAGGTCCCCCCCGCCAATTGACTCTCTCGCAGTTGAAAGGCGTCTGTGCGCCCTCCGAAGCGGAGCGTAGGGGCTTGAGATTTAGCCGAGGCAAGCCGACCTGATAACCGTTCTTCTTGTCGGCCTCCGCAGTTTTACGCCTCCAGATGAAAGCTGGGTCCAATTTCAGCCAGCCATGCGGAGATGGCACTGCCCAGAGCAGTCTTAATGTGAAATGCCAGGCTGGCTATGATTGAAGGGGACATCAACGAGGAAGCGTTTTGAAAAGTTACCCAAAGCCCAACTTGGGGCGAGAGGTTCTGTTCGGATCTTCAGTACAGTTCAAGGCGTACTGCTACAAAAGCTCAAGAGGGTAAGGGAGCGAAACTGGGCTGTATCCATGGAGGAATTCCTATATCGCCGTTGACATACTTGCTGTCATGGCCCGCCCTACCTCAGGCCCGCTTCCGCCTCGACATGATATCCGCCGACGGAGGAACGGTGACGTTCTGTACCGGGATCTTGTACCCATACGGCAGCTCTCGCTGCTGCCATTTGACCATGGCCCAAAAATCATACGCCTTGTCATCATGCGCCATCTTGGCCTCCATCGCCCGTCTCTTCTTTTCCTCTCTCCGCCTGCGCTTCGCCTCCTTCCGCGACTCGGGCTCCATCCGGTCGGCATATAGACGCTTGACCGCCCTCCACGACGTCCTGATGCCTCGGTACGTCCCTTTGAAGGCTTTTTGCACGCGCCAGCTGAAGGCGGCCATCAGTGAGGCCGCAATTAGAAGGACTGAGGCAGGGAGCGAGATGGCGCCAATCTCTTTGAGGCTCGGCACGTTCTCCTCCTGCCACTCAATCGTATTCATGCCAAACAGGCCCGTGAAGAAGGTCAATGGGAGAAAGATGACGGTGAAGGTCGTGAAGATGATGACAGAGAGGTTCTGGCTCGACGCCAGCTCTGCCTGCAGCCGCGACCAGCGGACCTCGTCGACTTGGGCCTGCCGCTGCACCATTTCCAGCATCTTCTCGTACTGTAAAGAAGGTTCAAGTCAGTCGACGTGCTACGCGGATAGAAGAAAGGACTAGGCAACCTACATCGTTCCTGGTCGTGTCTACCCTCTTTAGCATCTCGGCGGTGGTTTGTTTGTACTCGTCTAGGTACTCGAGCGCCTCGTCTAGATACTCCTGACCATTTTTGGTGATATCTTTGAAATCCTTGCTCGTATAGATCTTCTTCAAATCGCTTATGGTTGAGTATTGCATGTCGAAGAGTTTGAGCAAGGTGTTCAGCTCGTCCTCCAGGTCGCGCAACTCGAGCAGCGCCGACGTGTTTTCCCTATTCTCGCGTTCCGACCGCTCCAGCTCGCGTCGGTGACGCTTCTTGATTGCGGCGGGGCTTTCTCCCTCAATGTCCTCGTCGTCGGAATCGTCCTCGTCATCGTCAGCTTCCAAGTCGAGGGCATTGATACGGAAATGTTTCATGTTCAAGGTCATCCTTTCAGCCTGCCACTCGGGTTAGGTCTTGTCTCGAACATAACGCGCGGAACGGGAACCAACACCCACCAGCATCCCAATGGCCTCATCAAAGATACGGAATATTTCGAGGTCCGGGTGCGAGGATCGGTCAAGAAGAACAGTAACAGCATGCCACACGATCAAAGCGGCTAAGTCCAAAGTGTTCTCCGTCCTACCCGTCAAGTCGCCGTTGAGCTCGTTGTAGACGCTGTTTCGGAGGTCCGCCTGCTGAAAGAGTGTTCCCTCCGTAGGTGACGACTCCCGCTTGGGGAAGAACGTCGCCAGAGTGGCTAAGATAGTTACCAGAGTCAGCGCCTCTGTCGAGAGAATGGTCACAAGAAAAAACTTAGGCCACTTACTCATGTCTATCGACCATAGCCATAACTGATCAACCATCAAGACATAGCCGTCCTTCAGCTCCGATATGACGTCGGGACCGCTATCGATGCTAGTGACGGAGCCCATGGCCGCCGACGACAAGGAACGCTGACTCCTGTCAAAGCTATTCCTCGAGCTCTTGCTCCAGGGCATGGCCGGATCCTTCTTGGTCAGTTTGTACAGCATCTGGTCGTCGTCCCGTGAATTGGTATCCCTCAGAGAGTGATGGCCAAACTGGTCGAGCGTCCTTCGGCAATTCAGCGGCGGGTCAAAGCCGATGTACTCCCAAATCACCTTCAGCTCGAGGGACTCTTGCAGGGCCACCCACTCCGGCACAGGTTTAGCTCGCCCATGATAACGGCGGCTCGAGATCAGTTTGCGGCGTTGAATCATGCTGCGGTACGTGTCGAAGTGAAGGTAGGGGATGTAAAGCAAGAGACAGTTGGGCATGATGCCCAACGTGGTGGGGACCAACAAAGGCGACATGGTCCGCGGAGAACCCAGGTTATCGGCAGCCGAGAGGTATTTGCACATTGCCTTGAGGTATGCCGGCTGGGATTCGGAATTGCGGTTCTGGATCTGTTTGGACACCCAGTTATCATAGTCAAATAGACGCGAGAAATCCCGGCCCTGGGTCCTGGCGAAAGTTGCAAAGATCTCCTGGCAGAAAAGTCAGCATCTTTAAGAAAACAAGAAAAGGAAAGAAAGAGCAAAGAGATAGAGGAAAAGGGAGAGGGGGAAACATCCCGCACCTTGACCCAGACGGGATTATTGAAGGGCACGTGGACCCACACGAACTTTCTCTGTGAGGGTTTGGGTCTCGAGAAGCCTGCGGTGCCCGCGAGGTCGTGTTCCTTCATCATCATCTTATGGTGATGAGTCAACAAGGCGATCGTGTGAGCTTCGTCCGCGGCGAAGTCGCTGCTCAACGGCACGGCGGACTCTGATGCAGTTGTGCTGACACTGGCATTGCTTTCGGGGCTTGGGGGGCGAAAGCTTGGCTCCGATTGAGCTGGCACCCTCAGCAGTGGTGGCCGCTCCAGTGGGCTGGTGATGACGATCTCCGGCGAGACAGCCGATGTACTTGTTTGCGACGCAACGTTCGTGGAACTGGGAAGGTCGAGACCAGCGTCTTGCCCTCGTGTTTCTCCGGCGGAAGGGTCTTCTTCAGGAACGTCACCAACGGCGCGCTGGTTGGACCGTGGCTTGGGGCCTCTATGGAGCCGTTCCGCTAGGCAACGCTCGGGTCCCTTTTTGAGGAAATCCCTGTAAGCATATTTTGTAGAATAGAGTCGAATGATGGAGCCAGCCTCTGCCCCGGGTTGCTGTCGAGGTGATCCCACCAAGGCCTCCGGGTCCTCGTAAAAGCCAGTGACCTCAACCTTCACGTGGGATCCCAGGTTCAGCGGAGTGTGAGGGTAAGAGAGTGTAAGCGCCGCCTTGGATATGGCGGTGGCCAAATCTGAGAGGTATGAGTCAAGAATGCCTGCGCTGTTTGGCATAAAGGAGGCGAGATGAGCGTGGTCGCTGTCGACTGCGTAGACATCTTCATCCCAAACGTCCAGGAGTGCCGACTTGACTGACACCAGTGGGACACCGAACTGAATCTCGGTGGGAAAGTCAGCGACGGAGCCCGACAGCATCGACTCTTGGGTCTCATAGAAAGACCAAAGGCGAAGCTCGCTAGCCATGTCTATAAACTGCTCCTGCAGGTTAAGCAATTCGGTGTTGTTGACACGGATCTGCTTGGCTAAGGACCGAGGGAGTGCCACCTGCAGGTGGAGGAGCGCTTGAATGCTGTCTCTCAGGTTCGGCATGGACATGTAGCTGGATCCCCGATGAGGAGTGCCTTGGCCTGTCAGTAATTCGGTCTTCGAGAGGCGCAGGGAAGTGTCTCACCAAGAAACGTCACTCCATGGCAGTTGTCTACAATTCCCTGGTACCTGGCTGAACGACTAGCCGTTACCAGCGCGCTTTTGACCACCAACCCCCCGATGCTATGGGCAATGAAGAATAGGGGACGAGTCTGCTGCTAAGCTGTCAGCATAGCATGTGTGGCAGTAACGAGAAGGTACACCTACGGCCCCAGCGCGCATCTTCTCCACCAGATGCAACAGGTCTTCGGACAAGTCCTGCAGCGTCATGCCCTCCTCTAAGGCACGATGCTTGTAAAGAAAGACTCGCGCCATGTTGGCCGACATCCGCAAGTCTCTAACAATCCATGGGCTATGTTTGGGGCAATCTGCGGGATTGGCATCGCCGCAAAGCTCATGGCCAAAGGTCCAGGTTCGTATGGGTTCGGCACCGGGGCACGGCACAGCGATGACATCCACAAACGTCTCGTTATGACCTGGGCCACCCACGTCGCCGTTGACATGCACAAACCCCGGCCATGGGCCAGCGGCGGTCAAAGAGGCCGAGGAAGAAGACTGAAGAGCCTGGCTTTCATGAGCCGGACCCTCCGTTTCCCCTTGCTCAGCATCATCTGGGGAGGTCTTCGCCTGAGAGAAGTCTTTGACATGGATCTGCGAAGCGGCGGCAACGGCGTCTATTGGCTCAGCGTCGTCCGCAGAGACAGGACTGGGACTGTTTTGATTCGCGTCGCTCTCCATCGCAGTGGCCGCCAAGGCAGAACCTGTGTGGTCCCAGTTGGCCTAGAACAAACGAAGAAGGTAACGAGTAACGAGAGAAGCAGGACCGGTCAACTTGCAGCCCATATTCCTATCAGGCTTCGTCCCGCGGAGACCAGTTCCAAGAGCCGGGCGTGTCGGGTTGCACGCGGCCGTCCCCGTGCCGCAAGACCAAGCCATGCTTGACCCCCAGATTCGGCGGATTGATCATGGGTCCTCGGGGCTTGGGCTTGGGTGCGAGCTCTCGATTGGTTGTGGTGCCGACCCTGCTTGGAGCTGGGGGCTGGGTGCGCGAAAAGTAAAAGCAGCGAATTGGCTGTCTGCACAGTGATCCGTCAATGACTGCTCTCTTCCGCCTGCCGGAACAGCCGTTGATAAACGATGCCATGATGGTTGACGCATGGTTAGGTGACGGTATCTGAACTAAGATTGGGGTAGAGTCGTGGAAGACACTGTTTGTTAAAGCATGAGCCACGTTGGACATCAGAATGAGAAGATACTTGACAACAACTGAACAAATAAATGGAACAAGTTGATCATCTAAAGGCGAAGGGCAGGAGCAATCGTGTTGAGATAGCGTTCGAGTGTAACAATCCGTAGGTCATGAGGAAGTCTGGGTAGACGTGCAATGAAATATTGATATTATTCCTTTAGAGGTCCATAGTCCCGGGCAGCTTTAGGAACCCTGGTTCTGTCCAAAGTCTAGAAAACGGAGCAGAGGATGTTTTCAACATGCAACTGCATTCGAGTGTCTGCCCGAGCAAAGAACCAAACCTGAGAGGGTGAAGCTGTTCACTTGCCCGTGTGCCCGACATTGATGCACCATTCTGAAAGCGCAGCGAAACCTCTGTATTCATGGTTATCGATAACGTCAAGCCCAAGCCATCATCCCCACCACACGCCACAGCACGAGCCTCCCAGCCCACGGCGCCCTGGCGCTCTGCAGCTCCAGCGACCCATTTCTTTCCGCCGACCTCAGACGCCGAAAAACGCACATTCCGGACTGCCACTCAAACAGCCAATCCATCAAAGACTCGCGACCTCCCGACTGCTGCGTCGTGTACGGATCGCCCGCAGCTCTGCCAGTCCGTCCTGCATCTCTACGTCCTGCACTTCCCGCTGCGCGCTGCCTGCCGAACCGACCGCTGCATCGATCGGCCACCGTCGTCTCTTCCTTCCCCGTCTCCCGTCCCGCGCCTTGTGTGTGCACATTCCCGCCTACCTTAACCAGCCCCGCAACAAAGGAACGAGAGAGGAAGTTGCTCTGTCCGGCAAGGGGAAGCAGTGTCGCCCTTCTTCCCCCCTCCGCATTCTTGGTAATCCATGGTGCCTCAACCCCGACCGGGAACCTTCTCGCCGAGCCCAGCCCAGCCCATCATCACTGGCATCGCCCACTCTCCCCATCCCTCTCACGCCGGCGCGCTGAGTGCGGGTGCTAGCCCCAGTACCAGCAGCCCAACCGGGTCAAATTCCCTGACCAAGATTGCAGTCGCCCAGGTCTACCTCCTTCTGAGCACCATCAAGGAGGACAAGGACGATCCCCGCAAGTGGGAATCACAAATCGAGTCCTTGCGCAAGGTAATGTGCTCCTCAGTCCTACCTGTTACGTCGCAGCCCCAGCTGACTCTTCGGCCTTGCGTCGTCCCAGCTGCTCGATGAACACGGCATGGAGGTGTTTACGAGATACTTTGCGCGCCTCGTGGTCGCAAATGCGTCCCAGATATTTCCGGGCCCCAACAGGCCTGTAGTAAACCCAGGGAACCACCATCTCCTCGTCGCCGAGATGCGGAAGCTGTCCCACGATTTTGCCCAGGCCAGGAAGATCGCCGAGTCTATCGAAACCGGCACCGAAGATATCTTCCGCGACTTCGACCTGTCCACCTTCATGGAACATTTTCAATTGGATGCTCTTGAAAAGACCCTTTTGGCCCTCGCCTTTAAGCTTGGCTCTCGGACCGACTTGAAAACCAGAGGTGAGCTGGCATACACCTTCCATACAGTGCTCGCCCGGCGCTGTTGCTGACACGTCCCTCGCTTACAGCTGATGCCATCCTCTCCACGAACTTCCCGACATTTGTCAACATCTTGAGCCAGCCAAATGGAGAGCATGCTGATCTCGAGCCTGATTTCGTCGCCGAGCTTCTCGACCGCTTCATTCAAGTCCACCCGCCAAACTTCAATGCCGCCGCGAAGCGAGAATTGGAGCACAAGGTGCAACTCCGATACGCTCAGTCTCAGGATGCCAAGCCGGCCCCGTCCCAGGTCCTGGCCGCCCTGGATCTAGTGCGAATGCTTGCCGACAAACCGCCCAATGCCCTTGCGCTGTTCATCCACCGGACCGGATCTGTGTTGACACAGGACGAGGAGATCTGCACCGGTTACCTCCAAAATCGGCCCGCCAACATCCACCTCAGCGAAGAGCAAGTGTCGGTAGCCTTGATGTACACGACCATCAGCCAAACCCCGTGTTATAACCCTTCGGTTCTAGTTGCTTCGCTCAGGCGTATCCTGCCCGACGGCTTCAGGTGGCAGGACGTGGTGTCGTACTTTGACCACAGCGGGGCTCGGGTCACGTCGGCCCAGTTTCTGCGCCTGTACAACGCGCTGTTGCCGATAGCACGGGAGGACAGCGACAGGTTCGACATCCAGCGCTTATGGGGCGGGGAGTGGGAGAATCCGGAAACCCAGCTCTCCTTCATCTGCGCCTTCGCATCCCTCAAGCCGGAACAGCTGGATGCCACGACGATTCCGGGGCTCAAGCCCACTTTCACGGTACAGGAGTACGCGCAGTCTCCTCCGCCAGTTCGAGAAACGGCAGCATATGCTGTAAAGCACCCCCTCGTCTCAGAAGCCGCGCTTTCTGCCGTCTTCAACGTTGCGCTCCACTCAATGCACGCCTCGCAAAGCATCGAAGCCAAGCGCCTCTTCCAAAACGTGGTCATTCATAACCTGGCCATCTTTGTCGTCTCGGCATTCGGAGTGCCAAAGCCCTGGCCCAGCATGGCCGAAGATACGCTCGTGTCTCTGTTTGATAACTTTCTCCCAAGATCGCCCGAGGCCGACTTCGTCATGGACAGCCTTTGGAGGAGGGACAAGGAGTGGGTGAAGCAGCGGCTCATAGATGCACACGCCCTGAAGCCCATTAGTCTGCCGCTCATCTTTGACCACGCGGTGCGCCAGAATTGGCTCGACGAGCTTGTCTACCTCCCCAACGGATTTGGGCTCGACCTGACCGCCCTGGCGCATGCCGAAGGATACCTGGATCTACAGCAGTGGGCTCGGAGAAACGCCGACAGGAGTCCCGAGATGGCCAGGGCGCTTCTGCAGTTCTTGTTAATAAAGGCAAACTTCGAGCTCCAATACCAGCGCCCTCCAGATGGCCAACCACCCGTCAAGGCGAGCACGACCCTGCAGGTCAGGACCGTTCACGCGCTGCTCCAGATATTGGAAGAGTTCCTCCCCAAGTCGCCCATGCAAGACTTGATCTTGGTTCAGCGAACCTGCATCACCGTGTATCCAAGGCTCATCAACTATGGGGAAGGCTTCGACGACATCATCGACGCCAACGGCCGTGACGGCAATGCGCTGCCATTGGCCGCTAATGCCAAGATGGAGGAGCATTACAAGAAGATGTATGGCGACGAAATACAAGTCCGCCATGTGGTCGACATTCTGGAGCGGTACAAGCGCTCTCGCGACCCCTTGGATCAAGACATTTTTGCGTGCATGATACACGGCCTGTTCGACGAGTACGCACACTACGTCGATTACCCTCTTGAAGCACTGGCGACGACAGCAGTCTTGTTTGGTGGAATAATTTCCCACAAGCTGGTCTCCGATCTCCCGCTCCAGGTTGGGCTAGGCATGGTCCTCGAAGCCGTCCGAGACCATCGCCCCGACGAGTCGATGTACAAATTTGGATTGCAGGCTCTTATGCAGCTCTTTGGTCGCCTCCGTGAGTGGCCAGGTTTCTGCGCTCAGCTCCTTCAAATTCCCGGCTTGCAAGGAACCGAGGCCTGGAAGAAGGCTGAAGAGGTGGTTCGGGAACACGACGAAGAGCTTGCCCGCTCGCGTAACGGCGCCGGCATCGCCACTCCGGGCATGCTTGGCCACGACAAGCTGACCAACGGCAGTGTCGAAGACGGCCTGGTCTCGGAGCAGCACCCGCCACCCTTCGCCTCTGTGAACGTGGATCCGCCTCCACCGGGCGCCGTGTATGAGGACCCGAGCGAAGAAGCTCAAGGCAAAATTCAATTCGTGCTCAACAACCTCACGGATACGACGCTGCAGTCCATGTTCAAAGAACTCCGGGACATGCTGGAGGCGAAGCACCAGCAGTGGTTCGCCAGCCATCTGGTTGAAGAGCGTGCGAAAATGCAGCCGAACTACCACCACGTGTACCTCGAGCTGGTCAAGCAATTCGAGAATAAATTGCTGTTGGCGGAGGTCCAGCGAGAGACGTACATCAGCGTATCGCGCATGCTCAACTCAGAGCTGACGATGCAAAACTCGACCGAACGCACACACCTCAAGAACCTCGGGGGCTGGCTCGGTCTCCTGACTCTCGCGCGTGACAAACCGATCAAGCACAAGAATATCGCTTTCAAGCAGCTTCTCATCGAGGCTCACGATACCAAGCGGCTCATTGTTGTCATCCCCTTTGTCTGCAAGGTTCTGATCCAAGGAGCCAACTCGAATGTCTTCAGACCGCCCAATCCTTGGCTGATGGATATTATCCATCTCCTGATTGAGCTCTATCACAATGCAGAGTTGAAGCTAAACCTCAAGTTCGAGATTGAGGTGCTGTGCAAGGGCCTCAACCTGGACCACAAAGCCATTGAGCCCTCTGGAGAAATCCTCAATCGAGCCCCGGTTGAGGAGATGGGCGACATGCTCGGGCCCGAGCTTCTGGATAATTTCGAAAGCCTCTCTCTCAATGGCATGACCGGCGTCAACAGCACGCTCTCCTCTCACCCAGCCTTCGCCATTCCAGATCTTGGTCCGAACCTGTCGATCCCTCAGACAGAGGTCGTCAGCGCTGCCAAGTTGCACGAGATTGTCCGCCAAGCCTTGACTCGAGCGTTGCAGGACATTATCCAACCCGTGGTGGATCGTTCTGTGACCATCGCTGCCATATCGACGCACCAAATGGTCCGCAAGGACTTTGCCACCGAACCCGACGAGAATCGGGTGCGGACAGCGGCTATCAACATGGTCAAGAGAACGGCCGGCAGCCTGGCACTCGTCACGTCCAAAGAGCCGCTGCGCGCAAACCTCGCCAATTACCTGCGCAACCTCTCGGCCGACTTGCCTCAAGGGTTGCCCGAGGGCATCATCATGCTGTGTGTTAACTCCAACCTTGATCTGGCCTCTAGCGTAATTGAGAAGTGTGCCGAGGAGCGCGCGGTACCCGAGATTGAAGAGATGATGGAGCCAGAGTTGGAGGCGCGCCGTCGCCATAGACTCCAACGGCCTTCGGACCCCTATATCGACCATGGACTGAGTCGCTGGGCGATGACCATTCCTCACCCGTACAAGCTCCAGCCTAACCTCGGTGGTCTCAATGCTGAGCAGATGGCTATCTACGATGACTTTGCCCACCAGTCGAGGGCAAACTCTGCGGCGGCAGCCCCTTCGCACGTGCCAACGACGTCGGCTACCAGATCCCTGGCCAACGAGGCTCTCGGTGATCAGTTCAGCGGTGTCAGCAACATGCCCACCCCAACCGAGACGCCGTCCATGTCCCACCTTGGGGTGCAGCTTCAACATTACCCTCAAGCTCACGTTGGTCTAGCGAATGGCCGGCAGGTGGCCATCAATCAGATTGACTCTCGAAGCGTCGCCGAGAGGATCAACAAGCTGCTGGAGCAGCTGACATCGGCCGCGTCCAACACGTCCGAGGGTCATTTCAGCGACCTGCCCCGGTCTCACCCGGTCCTGGATCTCGTTGACGCCCTGGTCCAACTGGTTATCAAGACTCAGCAAACATCGGAGGAGTTTGCAGCCTACGCCGCGAACCAGATCGCCCAATTGCTTTTCCGCCAACCGGAGGGAGAGCTGCTGCTGGAATGCCTGGTCCACGTTCTCGAGACCCTCAGGAAGATTGCGGGGCCTATGACAAGCGAGCAGATCCGCCAGCTCTTCCATCAGCAACCTGGCCAATTGTTCCTCAACCTCCCATTAATTACTGCGCTGCTGCCTACGGACCTCCTCGATTGGAGAAGCATCGACGCGGCGACGGCTAAGCTTCTTCAGCAGCGGAAAGAAGGGTCAATAACATTCCTCGAGCAGCTTATGGACCTGACGCTCCTCAATGATAGCCCACTCGCTCTCTATGCCGATTTCGTGCGCAGCTTAGAGGAGGCTTGGTCGTGGATCATGGAGGATCCAGATGTGCCGGGCGGAGCGCGCTTCAAGTCCAAGGTGCTGGCTCCGGCACCTGAGCGGCCCGCCAATCTGAGCAACGAGGAACTGGCTGCCATGCACTCCGAACAGATGGACTATGTCTTCGAAGAATGGATAAATCTCTGCAACAATCGCTCTGCTACCGACAGGTCATCCATGATCTTTGTCCAGCAAATGCACACTCGCAGCGTCGTCAGCAACAAGGAAGATTTCCTGCTTTTCACTCGCCAAGCCTTGGACAGGTCTGTCGAACGGTTTGAGCAGTGCATCCAATCCGGCGGCGGCTTAACAGAAGCCTACCAGGCCATTGAGGCGCTGGTTAAGATGGTCATGATCTTCGTCAAAGCGCATCTGGACGACGAGAATAAAAATCAATCAGATGGTGTGGCTTTCTTCGACTCGATTCTGTCTCTTGGCGTGTTGGTTCTGAGCAATCATCACGTCAAGCGGGAGGAGAGCTTCAATCAGCGAGTCTTCTTTCGGTTCTTCTCGCTCATCCTGCACGAGGTGGCAGATCTGACGGGGCATCTTACCGAGAGCGACCATCAGCGGATTGTGTTGAAGTTCGCGGCCCGTCTTTATGATCTGCGATTAACCTTGTACCCAGGATTCATCTTTGGGTGGATCGACCTTTTGACACACCGCAGCTTCTTGCCCATGATTCTCCGGCTGCCGGAGGAGGCAGGATGGGAACCCTTCACCAGATTGCTCACCCAGTTCTTCTCGTACGTGGGAGACCTCCTGAAGCCCTTCGACGTCTCGACCCTTGCCAAAGGCCTGTATCACGGCGTTTTGAGGCTGTTGGTTGTCCTCCATCACGATTTCCCCGAATACCTGGCTGCGAATCACGTCGAGCTGTGTCTGAGCCTGCCGCCCCATGTGACGCAGCTCATCAGCTTCATCCTCGCGGCGACTCCGCCTGCATTCAACCAGCTGGCCGATCCGTATCAGCCGGGGCTCAAGGTGGATAGGATCCCCGAGATGAAAGACGCGCCGCCCTCGACGTTCGATTCGGCCGGCGTACTGCGGAGGATCGGCCTGCTGGATATTCTGGAGCACGCATTGCAGCACGGTCCGTCGGAGGACGCGATCGCGCAAATTAGCCATGCCATCAGCAGGGTCGAAGGAGACGATTATACCTTTGGTCACGTTCCCATGGCGGTAAACCGCCGGGTCATCGATGCGGTGATTGCGCAGTTCCCCCGTTTCGCCGTCGCCCGCGCCGCCTCCAAGAGCGATACCCCAATTTTTGTCCTCGGCGCCTCGGACATCAAGACACTGCACATGCTCGTCGCCGAGGTGTCGGCCGAGGCGAGGTACTACCTTGTTAGGAGCATGGTCAACCAGCTCCGGTTCCCGAACGCGTCGACCAACTACTTCAGTCACGCGCTCCTTGACATCTTTGGCCAGGGGGACATGTCGGACCCGGAGGAGATGGACATTCGCCAGCAGGTCGTGCGCGTCTTGTTGGAGAGGCTGGTGGGGTACTGGCCGCAGCCGTGGGGGCTGATGATCATGACGCTGGAGCTGATCAAGAATGAGAGGTATCACTTCTTTGAGCTGCCGTTTATCAAGGCGACGCCAGAGGTATGTTTTCCCCTTTGTTTCTGTTTGTAACTGGGCAAATCGCTGACTGTGAGCGAAACAGGTCGCCCAACGGTTTGCTGAGCTGCTACGCCCTGCTGCATAGGTGGGAGATTGCTAAGGGCATGGCTGAGTGCCTGGACGACGATGCTCGACGCGAGGTCAGCGAGTTACATGCCTCGGACTAGAGAGATCGTGTCGCCGGAAGGAGCACTTTGGTCCCAGCAACGGGAAGAATTGGTTGGGCAGGAACTACTCAGTAACGATTTGTCATTGCCCCCGTGGGGAAGGGAATTAGGGCGCCGGCTATGGGTATAAGTCCGGCTTCAGCAGGACTATTGTATTGTTGTATGAGGCGCCCTATCCTTTTTGTCTTGGCGTGAGCCGGGGCCTGAGCTCAGATGATAGCATCATGGGATGGCGTTTGGCTTGGTAGAGAAATATGGTTATTACTTGGGGCATGGGCCAGGCGATGCAATTTATTGATGCTTTGACTTTGACAAGGGTTTTTGTTTGTGTGGTGGAAGATTGGCTCAAGGGTTGCACGTGGTCAAGTTTGAGGATTGCGGTAATTGCCTTGCCTCAATCCTCTACGCTTACTTTTATCATGTAACTATCGCTTTTGCTATTCTCCCTTCTTCCTAGTATAGCTATGGTGGTCGGGGAAAGACATGGCTTGCTTTTCTGTCGTCTTCCCCACCACGTCTGCCTCTCTTTCCATGTGGTGTCGGCCCATCGAGCCCATCTGCGGAACGCCGATCACCACGAGTCAGTTGCGGAAAGTGATATTCCCAAATGTGGGGATGGTGATTGGCGACCTCATACCCCAAGTCGGCAGTATGACATCAAAGAGTCCTGTTTGGTTGTTGCTTCTTCCTGTTCCTGACGGGTGTCGAGACGGCAGAGCTGAGGTGGTTCTCTAGTACCTTGAGTTGTGGTCTCTTTGCTGGTGTATCTTACGCTACTTGGTAGTTAGTAGGTTGGGAATCTACCTCAAGACCGAGGAGCGCAGGGTAGGTGGAGGACTAGGTATTGTGTGTTTTGCATTATGCCGATCGTTTGATCATCTCCGTGGAGATTATAAGGCATGTACAGGACGTCAGACTAGAGCCCATACCAGGTGTGCTACGGCTATCATAAGGTTGCAACAGTACAGTCTCAGTGTTGCGGTGTTGATGTAACTCCGTAGCAGTGGGATTCTTCAAACGAGAGCTTGGTGTGTGTCCGAGTGATTGGACTGTACAGAGAACCAGCAGTGAAGTCTTGACAATCTGGAAGGGGTTCATGATACCAAACCGCTCTCAAAACACCAAGGTACTGTAAGTTCCTCTTGTCGTTGCAGTCCCAGCAGCTGCTGTGCGAGAGTCAGATCTCACTTACACAACGTCGAGTGTCACTTGGATCTGTCGCTCTGCATTTAGGCTCCCAACTACACACACTCGCAAAGCCTCCCGCTGTCACAAGCGACTAGACCTCCAGCCACCCTGATTGTAGGTATGTTGTGGAATGTGCTCATGTTCAGTCCACGATGCTGCTGCTGCGCGCTGCATGTGAGGCAAGGGGGAGACGGCTGCGTGTAAGTGGGCGACCAGAACGGGGACGGTCGCACAGTCTCAATATCGATTCCGACCTGCCGCAGCCACCCGGTGGAGGTAAAATACGCCCTGTATACCCTTATTCCTCGTTGGTACAGTGGGAATGCGCAAACATGTCTTTACCCGCGACAGGACAGTTGCTGTTCGTGTCGACTCGTTTCAGCATGGAATGCAAACGGACCGTGCGGACGACATCCAGCGCTGAAATGCGACGGCCAACAATTGACGGCTGAGCCAAAAAGAAACAGTCCTGCAAGGGAGCGGGTTTCCAGTTTCACAAAAAAGCCTGAGCGGGGTCAGAACATTCCGAATCGAACGCAGTGCGCGAGTGCTGATTGGGAAGAGCCGAAGGAACAGAGTAGCCGTGTTTGCATTAGCTCGGCGGGGCTTCAAGCCGTGGGCCGGATGGAGGCACCAGTGTTTAGCGCGCCGAATGAGAAGTTCTTAGAGTTTCTAAACACTGGAACACTGGAATGATGGGCGCTAGTTCTACGGAGGTGCGGTGTAGACCATGATATCGTTCTCAGAGCTCAACTGGAGTGCTCAAACCAGCCGGCATCTCGGTGAAATCCCACATATTATATTATCAGAAGGGAACAAGCAAGGTGTTGCTGGCGCCAGGGAAACCAGTCCGGCAAATCCTGGGCGGTGAGAACTTGGTGGGTCGCAGCCTCGGGAAGGCGTCCAAGAGTCGAACGGAGGGTTTAAAGACGAACCCCCCGAAGTTCACTGGTTGCTTTTTCGCCTGACCTTCTGGTAAAAGACTGCCGGCCGTTCCTGGTGCTGACCAGTGCGGTTGGCTGGCACATATTTTGCTGTTCGTACAATCCATCTCGAGGCGTCTATCTCATTCATTATGTAGTGGAGGAAATTGATGTCACCGACAGTCAAAGTGCGGCAAAGGAAATGTCAGTCATGATGATGCCAAGAGGGAATGTTGGATAGGCATCCCTCCCGGCCATCAATGTCTTGCTGAGAGGCTTGCGCTGACCCGTTTCACGACGGCCTCGATTGGCTCGCTGGCGTCAAAACGGGACTGGTCGTGTGTCAAAGACAAAATGGTTGTGGAACCTAGCATGTGGGAATCGAGCGCCTTTCTCCGCTCAACTCGAGAGCCACTCTCGTGCATTTTGTTGCATGTCACTTCGCTCGCTTCCTGCTGCTCACAGAGTCTGCATGGGGGGTCTGAGCTCGCAGCCACACGGATTGAAAGCTCGCTACAAAATGTGGGGTCATACCGCCATTTTGATGGAGGCCAATGCAATCCTTGTCGCCAGCGCAGAATGTGGTTGGTTTCCGCCGAAAGCTGTCTCCAAATGCTTGGCAGCCTGGGTCCTGCAACGTCGAACCGTCGCCCCTTCCATCATCCCGCCAATGCCCACACACCCCCCCAAACAGGCAAGGCAAAAAAAAGTTACGGCGAGTCTTTCTTGGGTCCTCCCTCCCGGCCCTCCCATCTTCCGAACACTCCGTCACTCAAATCACTATTGTTTTTTCTTTCCCCTCTGCTCGTATCCTTTGCGTGAGCGTCTTCCCATCTTTTACCATTTGATCTTGATTCGTACTCTGTAGAGGGTATCTGTTCTGTTGGGCTTGTGGTGGTTTCTGCGCATGCATTGGTGTTAGTCGCTGCTTAGACGGCTGCTCCTGGCGATCCATCATCCGTTTCAACGGCCACTGTCAAGCATAGCATAGGCATCACCGCGCTCGTCGCATGCCGAAAATCAGACGCATCCTGAGTTGTCCTTTTGTTGCTTTTGCTCCTTCGAACAATCATGCGGCCCTATAATACTCGCCACAAGGCGCTCTCGTTGAGCTCCCTGGGCATTCACGTCCCCGGGTCCAACGCCGCGCGCAATCCTGCGAACCGAGCCTCGTCCAACGCCTCTCCCGTCTCGATGGCGTCTCCCGCATCGCCCTCAAAAAATACCCAGCTGCCGACAAAACGATTGAAGCGTGCGTACAGCGAGTCCTCGGATGACACGCCGATCGAGCGGTTGCCCAAGAAACGCGACGATGCAGCTCGGCTTGAGCACACACCGCCGCCCTCACCGCCCGCTAAGCGCCTATCTATGGACATGAGCGAAGACGACGAGCCCATCACAAAAACAATTGATATGGAGGGCATCAATGATGAAATTGTCGAGGCGGTTATTGTTCAACTCCAGAACACAAGGAATCGGCCGCACCTCGTCAAGGAGCTCGCCACCGTTTTGATGCAGCAGCTCAAGATCGTCCAGCAGTGAGTTCGCCTCAACCAAGACCAGCTCCATCAAACGCTTTGATCGTCTAACGTTTTCTGTCCTGCAGGTCTGCGAATCCGTGCGCCATTATTTCATCACGTCTAGCGACCTACCTGAAGCGACCGGGCTGGTCAGCCATCGCCCCGTGCCCTCTGGCAAAAGAGCTCGAGTCTGTCCATCCGCGGCGCACATACTTCTACCTCACGACCTGCCCACATCAGCCGCTGCCGGATCCCGCACAGGCTTTAGCGCTGAGCCACCTCGTACAAAGTCGCGCCATCATCTCGCCGAGCCCGTCGAGCGCGCCGTCTACGGCGGAGGATTCGGACGAGTCCGACACGGAAAGACGGCGCGAGCGCAGCCCGAGTCCCGAAGTCGACCTGTCGAGTCCCGAGCTCGACGACATGGACGACGACTTTGCCATGCCCAGCACCCCGATTGGGTCCTTCTCGCTGCGCGGCGGCTTCTACATGCCGCCGCGCCCGCTACACAGCGGGTCCGCGCGACACCACCACGGGCGCGCCGCGTCGCCGCCACTGGAGAAGGACGAGAAGGAGTTTACGCAGACGGCCGACGGGTTGCAGAAGCGGAAACTTACGGGCGACCTGGCGCTTGCGTCGTCGTCGAATGATGTCGACCAGACGGTGATGAGCATCGATCTGGATAGAGACGAGAGCTCGCTGTTCGGGGCCGTCACGATGAACACCTCATCGTTGTCGTTCGTCTCGAGCCCGGCCATCCGGCCGTCTACGACCATGTCCCTCAATTTCGGGAGAAAGGACGGCGAGGTTGACAGCTGGGTTAAGCTTGAGGGCATGCTCGAGTGGGACCGCAGTCCGGAGAACATTGAACTCGATGAGCTGGATGGCCTCTTGGATGACTATTGAGTCCCAGTCGGCTGTTGAGATTGTTGTCTTGCTGGTCTAGGCCAATGAGGCAACATGCTGTACGATAATGGAACAAAGCTGGGCGGGTGGTTTCGGCAGCTTGCGGTGCCGTTTTGCTATGATCTCTCTTGTTTTCCTTCTTATCTTTTTGCGGGGTTTGTTCTCATCGGAGTTCCATCATGGCCAGGTCATCCCATAGACGAGGCTAGGTCCACGGCGTTTATGACTTAGCTGATGTGGGTTGCAAATTGGAGTTCTGGAAGAGAGGAGCGGGCTGATGTCGGACGGCGGCGGTATTTACATTGCTATTTCCTGCCTCAGAGCTTCTCTGTTTTCTCAATACCTCTCCTGTTGGTCTTTCGCTCCACTCATCTTGATGTCTCGGTACTGGAAAACAAGGGATGGGTTGCTGTATGGGGTGAATTTCCGGGCTGGAAAGGGGGTGATAGACAAACGACGGAGAGATGGAGAGAAAAGAATAAAAGGGAGAAGGAAGGGTTCAAGGGGACAGATTGGCCAAGCCGGGGCCCTGGTCGAAGACGGACTTGATCTTTGTACTTGTATCATTACTACACCCGACCCCATTTTGTTTGCTATGGCTCGGTTTGGGATGGTTGGGGACAGGGTGATGCCTACACCTAGAGAGCTTGCTTGTTCTTTACAAAACCCGCGGAAGATGGACAGGATGTTACTTATCTAGACGGGCGAGGTTTTGTCTGGACGCGTCTGTTAGAAAGACAGTGCTGCTAGGACGAGCAAGGGTTCTGGTGCCGTTGTGGGATGCGAGAGGAATATAATAAGTTTCCAATCAAACTACTATCAATCAGAGTGGTCCTACCTACTTTAGTTCAGGTTGCTTGACCGAGATTCTGGGCATTAAATCTGACAGGCCTGACGGCCGATTCAATACCAGTGCCTGCTGGATCTTGACGCTCATGAAATCAAGCTTCTACAGCCCGACATTAGTGGCCATAATAACCTGATACTTTTGAAGGTTGTTTGCTGGTCCCAGGATTCTCTTTAGTTTCGTAAATGGATAAGTACCTGCCGCCTTGATTGCCACCAGAATACAGAATTGCTTCCCGCTGGTCAGCTGTGAGCACCGCAACATGAAATGGGAAGGAGCGCCCTCGACAAGATGGGGAAGTAACAACCCGTCAGTGCACATCCGTCCGGCAACTCAGTTTCGCAGAATCCTCCTCTTAGATTTCCTATTCCTGACTTAGTCTGCTAAGTCCTTCTTCGTATCTACAGATCCTGGCTATGGCCAAGCTTATGACCGCTCTGCTTTCTGTTCAGCAATCCTCCCAATATCAGGCAGTTCACCGCCCTGGCCCTTCAGCTGCGCCGCTGACATCATCATGCCCCACGCATCCAATCGCCGAGCCTGTCCGTTTGTCTCTGTCTCCCCCTCCTCTCCGGTTGCGGCTGGATGTCACCTGTCCAGCAAAGAAGATGAATTTTATGAGATAAACACGTGAACAAGTCAGCCAAGTCTCTCGACATAACATGAGCGCCCCCCCCCCCCCCCCCCTCCCCCCACCGTAGAGTGCCTCCGGGGCTTCGCCATCTAAGGGTTTGTTGAAGGCGAGTTCAGTCTCGCCCATCTTTGTCCAGCCTCCAGTTGTTCTTTGCTGGCTTGCGTGTCATATGAGTATGTTCTGATCGCACTGCCATCCAACCCTCACACCGAAGAGATCAGATTCTGGGCCTGTTCTCGCGGTCTAGATCCTCCTCGCGCTCTCCTCGTCCAGAGCAAACCAACAATGAGACCGCATCTACCCCAATCTAGCCACAAGATCATGACTCGCCGCCCAAGGTCCCAGAGCCAAAGCTCCCAGTAGACAGCCCTGGGCAAACGGTAAGGACTTCGAGAATGATGCCCGCTCCGCCATGAGCAAAGAGTCAGCCATCGAAACAGAGGCGCCTAAAACCGATCCGTCGCCCTCAAGAACACGCCGCAGGTCAACTGCCACGTCACCGAGGTCAGCCCCAATATTAGGTCAAGACTGTGGACCTCCACAAGTGGCGTATCAATCTTGAAGTGGCCCTTGCCTCGCTGAGCAAGATGGAAGGGAAAGGCTAACTAGGCAGGAGACTATAGGTAGCCTCAAGCAGCTGAGTAAGTTAGATCAAAACCACCTGGACCATTCGCTACTTAGGAGAGGACTGAAGAAGGCGAAGCCCTGATTATTTCGAACAACTCAATGCCACCATCGACTTCATCAGCCCATTCGCTAGTATGGAGCGCCTCCGCAGGGACCGCACTCGGGCTCGTCAAGGGCACCGCATGGCTAAGTTATCGTCGATGTCTTCGACAACTTGTGTCAGTCCAACTGATTCCCCAGATTGTTATCGCCGTTCGTGGACGCTTCGACGGTCTGACCAACGAGGTCACCGGCTTTCTCAAGCGTATCCCCGTTACAAATACAAAAGGCGAGGCTCTAGGGCTCTTCGTGACAAAAGCCGATCAGCTAACCGTCTTCCAGGCCTTGATTGATGTGTACAAGGATCTGCTGCAACTCAACCTCAATGCATTGTCGCTTTTTTTGAAGAGTCACGTTTCGTCCTGACGGTCGCGCTCGACACCCTGAAGCCCACAGTTGCCAACATCAGCTCGTCCTTCAAGACGCACATGGACGTTCTTCCCGGCCTGCTCCAAGCGCAGAGCTTCGCGTCCATCCAAGAGAACAAAGACGGGCAGGTGGAGACCCTGAGTGAGTTCCGAAGAATGGAATCGAACTATTTGCATGCGTCGCCGCTGAAACACATCGGCAGTCCGCGATATTCTTGACGCAAGGCGGAGTATCATCAATAGACAGATCACAACGAAATCCAGAACCGGGCCGATGACGCCTGCCGCTGGCTCACATCCGACGATGCCTTCACGCCCTGGTTGTTGAGTCGAGACTCGAATGCCTTGGCCCTGTTTGGCGACATGGGCTCTGGCAAGACCATGACGACAGCTTTCGTGGCAGACTCGCTGGCAAAGACGGAGCGCCCGTTGTGTGCATATTACTGCAAGGACGAGCAAAAGTTGAGCAAGTTGAGAAACATCTATCGGAGCATCCTGTTCCAGTTCGTCAGGCAGAGTGATGTCATCAAACGCCGCTTCGCCAGGTGATACAAGGAAACGGGCCCGATAATCGAGGGAACCCAACCGAATCCGATACCAAGTTGCGCAATATCCTGTTCGACATAATCTCTTCGTCTTACCTGCCCGTCTTCGTCGTTGTGGACGCCCTCGACGAATGCGGAACCCGCGCTCGGAAGCAGTTCCTGTCTCTGTTTCATGAGCTGCTCCAAAACAAGGCTCCGCTCAAACTTCTTGTCTCTTCGAGATATAGCGATGCCATCGAGGCTGATTTTCCGTCAGGATTCGCCCGTGCCGAGCCCCGCCTGTTTCCCGCCAGAGACGGGGCCATTGCCACATACCTTGTCGAGCAGACGGATATCCCCCGCCTACTTCGTCAGGCGTTGGTAGATGACCTTGCGCCACGGGCTTGTGGCTCGGCCATCTGGTTGCGGGTCGCTGTCCGGTACGTTGAACGAATGTACATCGCGACACCCAAGGGCCTGGAGAAGGCCCTGACCAAGCTCCCTTCCGCCGAAGGCCTTATCGAGATATACGGAACGCTCTTCCGAAAGATCTGCAACGGCGTCCCGAGAACACTATTTTACTCTAGGTTGCGCTCGAAATATTCTCTGTTGCTCAACGCCCTCTCAACCCAGACGAGTTCGCCCAGGCCGTCTTCACTATCAACCCCGTGGGCGAGGATCCACCGACGCTTACCGAGCTGGACGAATCCTCTCAAAGCGTCGACATAAGTCGGCTCGTCCGGCCCTTCATCACCGTCATTCATAGCAAAGGAGAGAAGCGTATGCGCCTCATTCATCAGTCCCTCAAGGAGCTGGTCCTTACAGCTTCGCCTTCAGAGTAGTGTTCTGGACAGGCCATCCCCAAGCGGAAGAGAGACGACCGCGTTGCCGAGCTAGATGCGAACCTGCTCCAGCGCTGTGTTGAATACCTTCTCTTCGACGAAGGCGGCAAGAAGAGCCTGCTCCCAAGCCGTAACGGTGACACTGGGGCCGCCGCGGCAGATATATTTGCGTTGGCGGCGTGCTCGGCGACAACGGGGCAGACAGCAAATCCCCGACAGGCACGGCAACCCCCAAGTCGGCCCGATTTCTGGACCTTGGCCCACCCGTGCTGGCTTCGGGGGTTTCTATGCATACGCTGCCGTATACTGGACGAGCCACTTCTCGCAGGTATCGCCAGAGCGACGCCCTGATGCCCAAGAAGTGATCACGCTATGCAGTGAAGGGTCCCGGCGACTCGAGAATTGAGTTGAGCAATGGCGGCAACACAACGGTTTTTGTCTTCCCGAGCGCGATTTTCCTGAACTAATGGTCCGCCTCAACCCTGTTGTGATCGCCGCCGTGTTGAGCCCGGCTGCCACTGTCGCCGACCTGCTGAAGCTCAACCTGGACACTTCTGTCCGTACCATCAACTCAGTATGGACCGCCGTGCAGTGGTTCATCTGGCCAGTCGACATATCCGCGCTCAAGAACCTCGTCAAAATCAAAGCCTTCCTGCCGGCCGTCTGCGACCGAGTACTCTTGTACGAAGCAATATGGCCATGGGCGAGCCAGTGGACAGAGGTACTGCCGCAGAGTGGCGACATGGCAGCGACGACAAGGGATTGGGAAGAGATAATTTCTACTTTTTGATTTGGAATCTCCGCGAGGATCTCTTCGACTGCGGCAACCTTGTGCTCCGGCGGGCGCACGGAGTGGCTGCCTCCTCCTAATTCAGCGGCTGTTTCACGCGGCCGAGCAGCACGCAGAGTTCCGGCACACTATGCTCGGAGCCGACGCGGATCTTGGATTGCGGCAAGCACCAGTCTATCGGCGAAGCCGCGTACGTCGGGCGCGCCGACGTGGTGCGCTTCCTGTGTGAGCAGGCTTGGCTCGAGCCGCACCGGCGCCATGTAAACGGGGCAGACAAAACCGTCTTCCGCCAGGCGGTGTGGAAGCCTGACGACGACGTCTTGCGCACACTGATCCGGTACTGGCCCGGAGGCGTCAACGGCCCCGACAAGGGCGGCTACACCCCGCTGAGTACGCTCCTGTTCAACTACTCCCGAAGCTTCCAGGACGGCGCTGGGTCCTCGGTGCTGTGCACCGCCGTCCGCGAGGGTTCGCTCAGGTGTTGAAGGTGTTCGTTGTGGAGGGCGGGGCGAATGTGTGGCAGACTGTGGGTGTTGACGAGGCGAGGGGGAGACCGTTTCTAAGGAAGGGGTTCGACACATGGCCGGAGGGAAAGTAACGGGAGGAGATGTTCCAGGTGCTCTGTTCGTTGCTGCCGCTTGCCGTGCTTCTTGACTATCTCGTTTGAAATTTGTTGCAGTGTCGGGCGAGATAACCCCAGCCCCCTTCTCCCTTCTCCACTCCCCTTTTGGTTCAGATCTCGATTCGAGCCTGGGTGTCTATCAGAGGCGCGAGAAGGAGTTGATCACAGGCAGCGGAGAAGGCGGCGGCGGCAAGTCCATGCGGAACCTTTTCCTTCTCCTCTTGCTTCCCAACCTCTTTTCCCTTTCCATGCTCGTCATGGATAATTGGGTCAGATACCTCCTGCCTAGTTGCCTGACCATATCCCTCTCTGTGATCGAATATACCGCATGATTTGGTGGAGTGCCAAGCCCATGGGTGTATTGTTGTCTTCTTCAACTCCCGAGTACACCTTACGCCTAGACACTCTTGTTCCAGAGTGTCGGTTTCCTTTAAGTCGCCCTCCTGGTTGGGCCGTTCCCCCTAAGCGTGCAGTGCCAACGCTCGGCTTGCGGATCACATAGCCGTAGTACTCAAAGGAGCCGACACCGCCCAGGACGTGCATCTCAGCGTCCCACAAGCCTTCCAGGTCCAACATCGACTTCATGAAATACGGTTGCCGAAACGACACGAGCAGAAACCGGCCGCTATCCTTGAGAAACCTACGGACCTACAGCGCAACAACGAACGCCGAGTCAGCGTTAGGCGCGGCCAGAGAGTAACAGACAAGTCACAAAAGGGAAATGGGGGTAAATATTATTATTATTCCTACGCCGCTGTGCCCTAGGGCGTGCCGGACCTTCAACAACTTACTATACAGGAAAACCGCGCCCTCGTGGGCCGGGTGAAAAACCCATATCGACAATCAAGGAAACGATCGGTGTGCGATCCTGCAAATACAAAGTGGGAAGGCCTCTTGGCCTTCGAAGGAAAGGGTATCAGACTGCGAGCTCCAGCTCCAGCCTCCTGGCCAGACCGTACATCGGCAGTTTCCCCGAGTCCATCAGCCAGTCCAGAATCCTCCCCGTTAGCCGTGCAGCTTTGGGACTGATTCCCTGTAGGACAGAATAAAAGTCCCTTCGCGTCCTGATTTCGGCTCTCTCCCATCTTCGAGTCAACGGTGGGGCCAAGCACCACATCACAAGGTGTTCGACAGTCTCTCGCCCCTCTCCACACTCGCATATAGGCGTCAGTACCTCTGGGCAATGGGGGTAAATACAAAACAAACAAAAAAAAAAAAAAAAAAAAAAAAAAAAAAAAAAAAAAAAAAAAAAACAAACAAAACAAACAAAAAAAGGATTGAACGAACCTCACGTAGGTACGCCGACGCGTTCTCCCGCACCTCTTGCGTCGGACTCTAGGGACTCCAGTGAATCATGGCGTCCAGCGTGCTCTTGTCGAAGGCCACGTCGACCGAGGCGTCGTCGACTACCCTTCCTGCTTTTATGTCGCGCACGTCCATCAGGCGCCCCCGATCAGTCTTGGCATGGCGAGACTTCATCAGGTGCAGTAGTTATTGTGTTTTAGAGTCGAGAAATGCGAATAATGGCGTGTTGTGGTTGTGTCCTCTATCCGTTGTGCCTGATTGGACTCAAAGAGTAAATTGGCCTCCTAACAGAGTGCATGGCCAAGATAACGTACATGTCGGCTTGTTTGAATCCACGTCTGGTAGCAACGGATTTCAATGTGGGGACCGAGAAACTCGGCCGCGGTTCACCTCCAAAATCTTCTCTCATGCCAAGGCTGGAGATTGTCAACAAACTTCAACAAACCACCACTCCGTCGAACCCCTGAAATGGCGGCTACTCACACATCAGGTTCGGCATTGGGGAACTACCTCGTCCTCTACAATACTCTATCTGCGCTCCTGCGCGGTTTGATCATCGCTCGGACGGTCCACCTCTGGGGCGCTCTTGGGACGCCGGCAGTATGGGGCGAGCTCCATGTCCTTGCCCGCTGGGCCGAGACCATTACGGCCGTTGAAGTCATTCACGCTGCGGCGGGCTTGGTGCGTGCCGCCCCTGCCACCGCCGCTCTTCAGGTGGCTGGCCGCAACACCATCGTCTGGGCGATCACGCGAAACTATCCCGACGTTGCCGCAAGGGAGTGGGCATATCCGTGTATGCTCATTGTGTGGAACGCGGCGGATATCCTGCGGTACACATACTATGTTGTCGACGGAGGATCAGGGCAGGCGCCTCGGTTCTTGTCGTGGCTTAGGTGAGCTTGCTTCCCCTTCAGGTGCAAAGTATATGCGGAGCCGAGGAGATCTGACCGCTGTTCCAGATACAACATGTTCATCGTTTTGTACCCGGTTGGCATCCTGTCTGAGATGTGGCTGGTGCACCAGGTCATTCAGCCTTCGAAAGCTCGCAGCAGCACTTACCAATATCTCCTCTGGTTGGGCCTGCTCATCTACGTTCCGGGTTCGTACTGCATTCGACCACTCCTTCTCCATCTTCTTGATGCAGTCTGTACTGAGACTTTTCTAGCTTTTTATATTCTTTACGGCCACATGTTGTCTCAACGGAGCAAGGCAGGGCGGAAGCCTGCGAAACCCAAGGGTCTCTGAATGGCGCCATATCAAGGGCTTCATTGGCATGTCAGACTCGAACACTTCAACCGATAGCAGATCGGCCTGCCACCGTTCGCCATTGATCAATGTCAAACCGAGCCCGTGGACGTTCAATGTTTTCCCGATGCCTGAGGTAACTTATTCAACGAGGCTACCTTCCTGAAGTGGTGTCAATGTACCTTCCTATATACCCTTCGTGTGGAAGCCTGTCTTACTGACTCGAATATTCGGTTGCATTGGTCGCTCGAGCTAGTATTCCACTCAACACAATTATCGTTTCACCCTCACAGGTCACAACATGAGCACGCAGCCCACATGATGCAACGCCCCCACCATGGTTTGCGTGACCATAACGAACTGGAACGCTGCCTTCCAGGTCAGACCACCCTGAACCCGCACATCTCCAAAATGGCCGGCGGCGTCAAGCGGCCAGTTAACATCTTCAAGCTCAGAAACCTCGGCGAGCCGAAGGAAGTCTTCAACTGGAGGCTTTGGTTTGCCGTGCTCTCCTTCTCACTCCTGGGCGCCGCTCGTGGTGTCGATGAAGGTCTCATCAGCGGCGCCTTCAACAGCAAGCACTTCCAACAGAGCATCCACTTCAGCTCATACGCCGAACTTGAGCAGGCAAACATCAAGGCAAATGTCTCGGCCATGGTTCAAATCGGCTCCGTTGGGGGTGCTCTCATGTCAGGATCCCGTCCCGCTCCAGTTATAAGGGCTGCATCGGCTGACTCGCATACAGCGCCTTTTTCGTCTGCGACAGAGTCGGCCGGATCCGGGCCACGCGCCAGCTCTGCGTCCTGTGGATTGTCGGAATCGCCGTCTTCATGTCGTCCAACGGCAACCTTGCGGCTATCTACGCAGGACGGTTCATCGCTGGGCTCGGCGTCGGCCAGACCCCCGTGGTTGGACCCGTCTACATCGCCGAGATCTCCCCTGCCTGTATCCGCGGCCTTTGTACTTGTCTATTCACTGGCTTCGTCTACCTCGGCATCGTACTCGCCTACTTCACCAATTACGGCTGCCAAGTCAACTTGGGAGACACCGCCGCAGCCCGGTGGCTTGTCCCAACCAGTCTCCATATCATGTTTGCCAGCCTCATCTTCGTCCTCTCGTTTTTCCAGTCCGAGTCCCCACGATACCTCATCATGAAGGGACAGCATGACAAAGCGGTACAAACCATGTCCCGACTACGGAAACTGCCGCCGCATCACGAGTACGTCGTGTCCGAGATCAGCGCCATCACAGCCGCCTACCACGAGGAAACCGAAGCAACAAAAACCCTCGGCTGGCTGGGCACTCTCAAAGAGGCCTTCGCAAACCCAGGCAACCTCTACCGCGTCTCCCTGACCATATCAGCGCAGATGCTCTCCCAATGGTCCGGCGCAGGCTCCATCACCCTCTACGCCCCCGACCTCTTCCACCTCGTAGGCATCTCCGATACCAACACAAGCCTCCTCGTGACAGCCGTCTTCGGCATTGTAAAGCTACTCGCCGCCGTCATCTGCGCCCTCTTCCTTGTTGACGTCATCGGCCGCAAACGCGCCCTCCTCCTGGGCATTGCCTGCCAGGCCGTGGCCATGGTCTACGTCGCCGGGTTCCTGACGGCCGTGCCCCAGCGGGCGGGGCAACATCAACACAACAAAACAACTGACGCGGCAGGACAAGCCCTAAAGGACTCACGCCTAGCAGCAGCGTCCAAGGCTGCTGTGGCCATGATCTACCTCTCGGGCGTCGGCTGGGCTCTGGGGTGGAACAGCTTCCAGTACCTCGTCGTGGCCGAGCTGTTTCCCCTGCGGATCCGGGCGTTTGCCGCGTCCCTGGCCATGACGTTCCACTTTGCGAATCAATATGGGAATGCGAGAGCCGTGCCGAATATGCTGCTGCCTGTTCATGTTGCCGGCGGCGTGGGCGGCGGTCTCTCGCCCCAGGGAACCTTTTGGTTCTTTGCTGCCGTGACGGTGTTGGGTGGGGTGTGGGTGTGGTTTGCGGTGCCGGAGACGGCGGGGAGGGGGTTGGAGAGTATGGATCGATTGTTTACGCTGCCGTGGTACATGATTGGGAGGTATGGGAACAGAGAGGCTGATGGGGAGGATGGGGTGGAGAGAGGGCGGGTTGGCGAACGGGAAAGTAAATGACGGGGACTCTATTGAGAGCGGGAGAGGCATTGGCACAGTTCAGACTTGATGCTGACGGCAGTCTTTGGACGGGTTTACACTTGACTCTCAGTTCTTCTGCTCTCTTAAGGGGTGTGTCTTTAGATCTCCCCTGGATCTTCGTTGATCAATCAGGTGTTTAGGTATCTACCCTTCCTCTTGCGAGCCTCTGACCGTTCAGAAAACTAGAATCGAGCAGCTTAACGTACCAGATGACTTTATGAATAGGAGCTTTCACACTCGTAAATCCATGACTCAAGACTCAACCAAGGTACGGTGCCAGCCGTAGCTGAAGCATCAGTGTCCGGACATTGGCAACGATGTTGACCACAGAATACTACCTCAGTGACCCTATCAAAGCTGCCCTTCTACCCGAAGACGCCCGCCCGAGGAATCACCTCCATTCGACATGATCGTACCGACTGGTCTCACCTCGGGGCAGTCCGGAACCGCCTACTTCCGGAAGCACTACCTGCTCAGGGACAGGAGGCACGATTGGTTGCCTGTAGCTAGCTGAGCCTGGAGTGTTACATTCTGGACCCTCGCCACCTGCAGCTGAGGCACACAACCTGACCTTTCAAGCCTGCAATGGTACCCGCGCCAAGGCTGACGAGGCAGATCCTTTCCAAGCTAACTGAAAATGTGCAGCCTGGGTTGTGGGCTTCACCCACGTTCTACTCTGTAATGCAGTATACAAGCTCGACAAGCAAGGAGTTTCCGACGGCACCAATCGCCATGATACCGAGCCTTGATGCCAAATGACCCCGCCCAAGCCTTGGCGACGGTGTCGGAGCCTGTCTGTCACGACGCACGCCACCAATAGTTCGGTGTGAATGGTGGGATGGCCCCCGGATGGGGCCGGATAACATGATCCCCAGCACCACCCATCATCAGCCCTGTCCCGCTCTTCTCAACACTACACTGCTACCCTACCCCCCAAGGTCACCTCAGCACTGCGGGCGGGGCCACATTGCACCTTATGCTCGTACATACGTACTCCCGCCGCTCGGTATGCTCGCCTCGGGATGGGCTTCACCACTGTAGGCATAGTCACGAACGCCAGCTGCGGAGTCAGCGCCACATTGGCACCTCTCTTATGTCATAGCCACAAAAGATATGGCAACCAGACTAGCCGGCTGACAGGAGCGTTGCCTCGTGGTTCTCACCTTGGCGCATGTGCACATGTCTGCAACCCCCTCGCTGTTGGTGCCTGCGTCAGACCGGGACTCGGACTGTAAGAGCAGGAACCGAACGAGAGACATGCCTCTTCTGTCATGAACGTGGAATTGCCCGTGGACTCTAAGTTTAGCTTCATTTGGTACTTGCTTTCTAGGCTGCTACACTAACTGCAGCGACATGTAGCAGACACAGTGTACTACAGACAACAGCGGAGCAAGCAAACCGCCGGATTACGCAGGCACTTGTGGTATTCGGACCCCGCAGCAGTACACCCCCCAACTTGAACGTTCCTCAGTAGGATATATGTCCCGAGAATCATGGCAGTGCAGACGGCACAGCACTAGCTGCATCTCCTCCCCGACCAGTAACTACTCTGACTAGCACTCGCTCCGCGATTACACGCACCGGGTCAGTGGTCGAACCGGACGTCTCCGGCATTCCATATCTCATCTGAAAACCTAGTCACATCCCGAAACCCAGTCAGACTGGTCCTCTCCTCGTGCCATGTGGGGGAACACAGCAGCCCTGCTACCTTGTTAGGCAGTGGCTCAGGATGCCATGTCTGAATGTGGAAAGGTTAGGCTAGGACACGGCACACCTGCCTTGATCTCCTCGCCCGGTTCTGGGTTCAGATGTGGCACTGGCCGGTGAGTATCGAGCGTCTCCTGTCCTATACGGAATGTGTTGTGGCCCCGTCAGACCTGCCCATCTTGAGTAACCTAGGCGGCGGCTCGCGCGGAGACGAAGGACACGACTTGGAGCACATGATCCGTGAACGAATAGATAAACGGCCCGTCATCCGGGCAGCCCAGTGTTGCTCAGGGAAGTTAATTTACTCCTCCCCAATATAACTTCGAGTTAAGCTTCCTGGGCACTTACACATATACCACTTCAATAAATTACACCACCACCCGAACCACCTCTCGGCTCTTACCATGCGGTGGACTGTTGCAACACTGCTCGGCTCGGCCCTTGTGGCCCACCAGACCCTAGCAGAGCCCGAGCTGGCCTTTACCGTTGAGGCCACGCGGAACGGGGTCCCGATCCCAAAGTCAGAGATCAAGCTCGTGCCGTTCGAGTTCGGCCGTAGTCGTGTGGGTCCTGGTACACCATCCCCAAAGCCCAACGTCCACCGCAAGACCCGGAGGGCCAACCCGACCGTCGACAGCGCCAACTGGTGTGGCTCGGTCAGCACGACGCCGTCGAGCAATCAGATCAAGGTGATTCATGGCACCTTTGCTCACCCGGCCTGCACCAAGAGGATCGGCCAGAGCTATCCGCAGGCAGCCGCGAACTGGGTGGGCATTGACGGCGACTCGTGGCCTTCTGCGGTGTTGCAGGCTGGGACGGTGTGCAAGGTATGTCTTCTCAACTGCCAACTCGACTAAGCGTAACTTGGTGCCGTCCCATGGTCGTGGACTGACCAGTAGGTCCAGTTTGACAATTCCACCGCCAGTGTTAGGTGTGTCTTGACGTTCCCTCGACCAGGTATTTTCTCGCAGACCTGACCAATTGACAAATCTCCACCTCCTAGGAACGAAGCCTGGTGGCAATGGGTTCCTTCAGGTGCTTACACTATCTCGTCGATGCCAGGTAAGACACCACATCTCACTTCTTCCCCTTGGGTTCTCTGGGCCAGTTTCCTTGCTGACAGCCCTCCCAATACCAGTGGCAGTAGACGACTGGTTCGCCATAACCATCAACACAACTTCCACCACAGCAGGCGAAGTGTGCGTTCTTTCCCATCCCCCTCCCCCTTTCCCCCTTTTTGTCCCTCCCTCCCTCCAGTGCCTACTGCCCAACCAATCAACAACCCTAACCCCCGGACGTAATTCTAACAAACCCGCCCCTCACTCGGGCACATATGCAACAGAACCGTCTCAAACCTCTCCCAAGGCCACACCTACACCATCAAAATCTCATCCGGCCCGACCCTGGCCCGCGTCAACGCCGACTGGGTGGTTGAGCGCCCCTACTACGGCGCCTCGCTTGCCGGCTTTCCGTCCTTCACCGACGTGTGGTTCGACGAGGCCTGGACGACTCGCACGACCGGCTCTGGGTTGGGCCTCTTGGGGGCGAAACAGTACCAGATCCCGGGTCTGTGCGGGTCGCAGGAGTGGGGGAATGATATGCAGGTTTCTTGGGCGCTTTGATTTCATGTTTCCAACAGGCTGGGTTAAAGGCACATGTAAGGTAGGTTCAGATTTTGATTTGATGATGGTCCGTTGCGGTATAGGCTAAGTATGGTATGGGGTGTGGAGATGGTTGTCCCCGTCTGGTGTTGGTGGGGAGTATCAGGTCCGATGTTTTCTGTTTTCTAGTGACACTTGCTCGCAGCCTGGGATAGATTGGGATCCAGGAAGAGTACATGTATCAAGCAACCTGATGTTGACATTACCTATGCTCCAGGCCAACTGTAACACTGGCCTACATCCCACACGGGGTGTGATTGGTTTGAAGTATGGGGCCTTGCGGATTCTGACGAGCAATATTCATGACATGAAAAACTCGAGCTTCCTCAGCTCCTTGAGCCTGTACTGAGCCCAGTTCTCCAAACGATACCAGGTGACCTACGTGTGCATGTATGTCAACTGCCTCCTCACCGGTAGCCATCACGGATGGCCGTGGTGGCCTGGTGTCAGTGCTCACAGCAAAACTCCACGGCAGTCCGCTCAGGAGAGCCATCTCGCCAACACGAGTCCCAGGTTCCTACACTGGGACAGGGCATGGATTACCGCATCCAACTGCCCTATCGAGCCACAACACAGATCAACCGAACCGAAAGGAGTAACGCTACCTAGTCGAGCCCACCATACAGTACTTAGGTAGCACACTCGTAGCAGGCGCAGCAGGGGCGAGAAGAATGTGTCAATGTAGGATACAAGATGGGCTACGATGTCCCGACGTGTCCTTTGATAATGAAAGACGCAGTGTAACTACTAATTAAGTCATTCTTCCTAATTGTTATGCGGCACATCAGCGGTGTGCGTCTTGCGGGATTCATATTCCATGCCCTGGTGCTCCCCCGTGTTTGCACCGCTCTTGGAATGCTCTTTTCTCTCCTGATAGTCCTCCTGTTTCTGCATCGCCTTGGCCTCCTTCCTGCTGGAGGGATCCTCTGCTCCCCTTGTCAGTGCGACTGGTTCTGAATATCCAGGTCTTCCCCTTTCATCAGACGGCACGCTTACTGTTCAGACCCAGCTCCGGTTTGTCTCCCTTCGGCATGGAAGTGGACTGCATGGTGGTGGTGTTCTCGAATCCGGTAATATGTACAAAACCTATACGGTGTGGCTATACGATGAACTGTCCTAAAGAGCCTTGAGAGGAATAAAAAAACGCGAGAATGGTGGTTACTCGAGCATGAAACAAAGTAAACACTAGGCGTTGCCGTCGGTGAAAGTTAGCTTTATACCTGACTCAAGGGAGACATATTAGTCTATGACGTACACATAGAATCCAATGAATCGTCTGGAGCGTTTGATAGCCAGGCACTGTGTGTACCCCGCCTTCGATACATGAACGCGACACGACGTAACCGGCTCCTCCACCAGGAGATCTGCGTTCTTCGACTGGTCGTTCCATTTTAGGTGTGCTCAGTACCCTACCATATTATGGATCCCATGTTTGGCACGCTTCTCTCGATCAAAACGGTGCTGTGCAAGTGAGAGGACTTGCCATAGACCCAAATGCATCATAGGTCATGGAGATTGGATGGATTTATGATTTGGTATGTCCTCTGAACATCGACATGTTGCTGCTGCCGTGAAATCAATGTCTTCGAGAGAAGTTGAGCTCCGGCAGCCTCTCGGAGATCTGGGAAGTTGAAAGCCACTGCACACTGCGGGGATAGTACTGTAGCAACTCCAGAACCCAGAATCTACGTGTGATTGAGAACCCCACACTCTCTTCCAAATTGAAGACGATCAGAGGCCAGGCCCCTCGGACATCAAAGCACCTAATCGAACAACATGCCTGAAGATGCTCCCAAAATTCTCGTAAGGCATCAAGACGCCGAGGCATTTGTCGGTGCGCTTCTCGAGGCGACCGGAGTATCAAGAAGGAACGCCGGCATCGTCGCCCGCGCATTGGTTCAAGCCGACCTGCGAGGAGTCGAAAGCCACGGCATCAACCGCATTCCATCTTATCTTGCGCGTATCCAGAATGGCGTTCTGGATCCGAAAGCCGAGCCCCAGCTGACCTCGGTCACACCGGTTGTTGCTCAGGTACCTCTCCCCATCCGCCTCATCCCCACTTACATCTCCGAGATACTCACAATCAAGTAATCTTTTTTCAGGTCAACGGCAACAATGGCTTCGGCTTCCCAGCCGCCCACTGCGCCATGGAAGCCGCCATATCCATGGCCCAGACCTTCGGCATCGGCATGGTCACCGTCAAGCACAGCAACCACTTCGGCATGTCCGCCTGGATCGTCCGCCAAGCCATCGACGCCGGCATGATGAGCCTCGTCTTCACCAATTCCTCCCCAGCTCTTCCCGTCTGGGGAGGAAAGTCGCGGCTGATGGGTGTTTCACCCATCGCGTGCGGCGCGCCCGGCGGCGAGAATTCCATCCCCTTTATCCTGGATATGGCGCCCTCGGTGGCGGCACGGGGCAAGATCCACAAGGCGCTGAGACGGGGCGAGAAGATCCCCCTGGACTGGGCCTTGGATAAGCACGGCAGGCCGATTGATGACCCCGAGGAGGCTCTCAAGGGGTTGATGCTGCCGATAGGTGGGCCGAAGGGGTCGGCATTGGCTATCATGATGGACGTCTTTTCGGGTGTCTTGTCCGGGTCGGCGTTTGCGGGAGGCGTCGCGGGGCCGTATGACATGTCCAAGCCGGGTGATGTTGGCCACTTTATCGTTGCCATCAAGCCGGACCTCTTCATGAGCCTTGACGAGTTCAGGCAGCGCATGGATGTGCTGTATCAGCGAGTTGTGGGTTCGGATAAGATGGAAGGCGTCGACCGGATCTACTTCCCCGGGGAGATTGAGCAGTTGACAGAGGAAAAGCGACTGGAGGAGGGGATCCCTTTCGTCCAGGCTGAGGTTGATGCGCTCAATGCAGAGGCAGAGCGGCTAGGAGTAGCAAAAATCCGCCAAATTGTCTCGTGAGCCAGTGATCACGAACAAATACAGCTCCGTCGGGCAGTGATGGGGAAATGAACTAAGGGTAAGGGAGGCTGTATTCTAGGTGCTTTGACTGCGACCGAAAGATGGCGTCAGGTCATTTTTGAAAAATCACCAAGACATGACTCCCTTCGAACCCTCTCTCTGAGGCTTGCATGCAATCCACCATGGGAAAAACCTATGGCAACCCCCGCCCTGGACAAAGAGCCGAGCAAACGCTGCCGCCACCAAGAACGGCGTGAGAACCTGGGCTGATCCTGCATCGGGTTCTGCCGAATGGGCCTTGCTTTACCTGAGTTTGCAACTGTGTGTTTGAAAGCGGAGTGTGACCACAAGGCATCGAGGCTCATCTCTCCCGTGCTAGTAAACCAGTGAACCGGCAATAAATGCCCAATGCGAGTGGGTAAGAGCACGTCCACATGAACTCGATGAGTGACCTAGACGAGAGGCTGAAATCCCACGATTCCGGATGCCCTCAGTTACTTACACCGAGAACGATCTCCATTTGGAGATACTCGCCCTTCTAAGAGCCCGGAACTGGTGACTGGATTGACTTCGGAGACCGGAGCCATCAATCTCAGTTAGCCCTACCAAGCCAGATACAATCCAGCCCTCGGTTGGTTTGTTTGTTAGCTTGACACAGGCAGGCGGGAGACCAGAATGAAAAGAATAGAAGTAAAAGATCTAAGGGGGAAAGGGAGATTAGATATAGAAAATGAAGAGAAAAGGTAAGAAGACCAGCGAAAGAATGACAAGTAATAAAAATGGGGATTAGGGAGACGAAAGTAGAAGTCAGGAAAAGTATATAAAAAATAAAAGGAAAAAAAGAATTTATACAACTAGTTAACGTTGTATAACTTCTAGTTATATAAACAAATCAATAAATCATTAAATAGAAGGGAAGAACACTGAATTTCCGGGCTAACAAACAAACCAGGGTGGATTGTACATACCGTTTGGCATCCTGGTGATCTCATGGAGGAGCCATGGCGGGAAAAGCACTAAGCGATGCGGTATGCTCCCGGCGCCCGTCATGTGTCAACCCCTAGGCCGGCGGCAAACTTCCGGGCAACCCACCCGGCCCCGTTTTCTTCGTATTCTTGCTTCGTCACTGCCAGTCTCTCGACATGTTCGTGTCTCGCAAACTTGGCCGCCCCCAGCCAAGTGCTAGTAACAGCATTTTCGGGGCGTGCCACCCGAACAACGCACTCATCCGGCACGAGCTCCAGCAACTCCATCTGCAGCCGCTGGATGAAGTTGTCGAACCGGGCGTTGCCGCCCACAACCACAATATTGGCCAGCAGACCGGGCCACAGGCCGATGGGCAGCACTGACAGCGATTGCATCACCAGGTCGGCGAGGCCGGGCTGCCGCAGGCCAATGTCGGGGGGATTGAACAAGGTCTCGGGAACGACGAAGCGCTCGTTCCGCAGCGTCAGCACGTCCTCGGTGGACACGGCCGCCTTGCGGGCGCGGGCGGAAATGCCGGGCTCGTATTCTCGAACAACCCCGTGGAAGGTGGTATGAGAGTCCGGAAGCACGTAGTCCTTTGCAATGCCGCCGCCGCCGAGATAATCCTCCCTTCGTTCCCCGCGCGTCCCCTTCCACGTCTTTTCTAGGTCGCCCTTGAAATCTAGCGAGACGTAGCAAACAGCCTCCTTCATCTCATTCACAATGAAGGGTTCGTTGCGCATGTCAAAGTGCCGGACGGAGAGCAAGCGGGCTAGGTAGTTGGTCATGAGCTTGCCCCCCACGTCCAGTCTCCGGATGGCTGGATGTAGTGGCCTGCCCTGCACGACTGGAGTGACGGTAGTGTGGGAATAGCCGGAATCGACGACGAGTAGGATCTCCGCTGGCACGTCTATGGAAGTGTCAGGCGCCCTTGGTGTGTGGAATATGGCTTGAATGTCTTGGTATGCGTTCAACGCCGGGCCTGGATTCCAATCACGGTCAGGGACAGTCCGTTTGTTGAAGCGGTTGGAGAGGGAACAGACCAATGGTACGGCAGTAGCTGGCAAAGCCAAACTCCTCAAACACCATCTGATCGCAATGCGTCTGCAGGGCGGGGAGGGCGTTCGGCTGCTCGGTGAGGACCAGGCGGCTCTCAGACGGGTCGCATTTCTGGGGCGCCTTGTCGTCGAGGAATTCGCGGTCCCAGATCTCCTTCTGTGCCTCCCAGCTCACGATATACCCCTTCTCAACCGGCCGTCGGAAAGCCATTTCCCCAAAGTCCCTGCATTTCTGCAGCTCGGATCCGACATACGTCTTTCTGTGGCGGTCTCGGGCGAGGCAGTTGGGAATGATACGGGGTTCATCGGTCTTGGCGCCGGTCACAAACCCGGCCTTGATTGTGTCGGCGCCATTGTCGAGGACGAGGGTAGTTGACGGTGCCGGCGGGGCATTGATTCGCGATTTTCGACTGGCTGCCATGGCGTGATGCTTGCTGTAGCAGGAGATGGAATTTGCTCGCAGAAGTCGGAACCTGAAGTTTGGCGCGAGAAACTGAATTGGGGACCGTTTTTGGGTGGGATGATGCGAGCTAAGCCAAGATTAGACTAGCTTGCCTACACAGTATGCTAGCCTTGGCCGCCCAATCTTTCGATAACGTCAACCGCGAAACCAAAACCACAAAATCATCACACTAAGTTTCCCACCTGCGAAACTCTCATATTCCGCAGTCACCACACAACCTCGACACCAAGAGGGTGCATCCTTTCCGTATAGACGCTCATAATGTCGTACAATACACGAAATTCCCATTCCAGGGGCGACTATCGCCCGCCTCCGCGCGATTATCGCAACGATCGCGATTCGAGAAATCGAAATGGCCCGTCTCGAAGGAACGCGTACCGACCACCTTCATACAATGCCGGCCGGAATGATCGCGACAACGATGCACGATGGCCTCGCGAAGGAGCTAATGGAGACAGTTACCGTGTTCCACAGGGCGACTTCACCTTTCGTGTTGACAAACCCGCTGGCGTCCAGGAAGCCGATACCTATCGTCCGCAGACTCACCGAAAAGGACGCAATGACGGCCACGAGCCCTCCCCGAATCGTGACTCGCGCCCCGCGAAGAGAAACCGCACAGCGCATGACAGCTCCAGTAGAGATGGAAACATCAACCAGCCATTCCGGGACAACAGGTCCGCTCGCGGAGGACATGGCCATCGGCCCTGGCGCCCGTTCATCGCCGCCGAGCGCGAGTTATTGAAGGCTAACCATACCACCGGCTCAGAGGTTGCCTTCTTCAAAACTGACGGTAGTGTGACCTACCGGCCCCTCGACGAACTGTCGGATAGTGACGAGGCCGAGATGGACATATCCGGAGACGAGGCCGAGCCAGCTGAGGGACCGTCAAGCAAGCGTGCTCGGACAGCTGTTGAACAATCGGCTTCCGACAACAGCGCACCCAAGTGGTCCAACCCGGACCCCTACACGGCCCTGCCCCCGGAGATGACGACGCAGGGGAAGAAGAAGGATGTTGTGCAGATGATCCGCAAGGCCCGCGTGTCGACCCAAGAAGTCAGGACCTCCCTCCCTTCTGAGTCTGCCGACTTTATCGCTCTCGACTTCGACGATAGCGATGCCGAGGATGACGATGACTACGAGCCGAAGGAGCCCGCGGCATCGGCGGCCCCGTCGGTTGCTACTACTAATAGCACCCACAGCGTGCAACTAGACCTTCGGTTGCCCCCCAAGCCTGTGTCTGCAAAGCTGGCAAAGGCCGCTGCACGCTTCCCGGATCCCACCCCGGCTGCTTTAGGGAGTCGCAAACGGACTCATGACGATGAAATCAAGATGCCGCACACCAAGCTCAAGAGAGCTATCACACACAAGGCCTCAGGTCGTGTCACAGACGAGTGGCTTCGGGATCCTGAGCTGGATCCGACCCCTTGGATGAGGGCAGACCACTCACGGTCTGCCAACATGGCTGTGTGGTGAGTCGGAATCGGCGTGTCGGCTCCAATGACTGACCGCTAACTCCCCCACCAGGCTGCACAAAGAAGTCGTTGATTTCTATGACTACATCCGGCCCCGTGATTTTGAGGAGCGCCTGCGCGGTGAACTGGTTCAAGACCTGAAGAAGTTCTGCCGCAAGGTCTTTAAAGATGGAGAGGTTTACCCTTTTGGGTCATTCCCGTCGGGCCTCTACCTACCCACAGCCGATATGGACTTGGTCTTCATGTCTGACGGGTACGCGAGCGGCGGCGGTGCCAAATACCACACCAAGACGTTCCTGTACCGATTCAGAGGGCAGTTAGTGAACCACAAGATCGCTTGGGAAAACGAGATTGAGCTCATTGTCGGCGCCAAGGTGCCGCTAGTCAAGTTCATTGAGCACAAGACTGGCCTCAAGGTTGATGTCTCCTTTGAGAACAACACGGGTCTCACCGCCATCAACACATTCAAGGCATGGCGAGAGCAGTACCCCGGAATGCCCGCGTTGGTCACGCTTATCAAGCACTTTCTCTTGATGCGCGGCCTCAACGAGCCTGTCAACGGAGGCATCGGAGGTTTCTCCGTCATCTGTCTCGTGGTGAGTATGCTGCAGATGATGCCGGAGGTTCAGAGCGGCAACCTGGATACCAGACATCACCTTGGTCAGCTGCTTCTGCACTTCTTTGATCTGTATGGCAACAGGTTCAACTACCAGACCATTGCTATCGGCCTGAACCCGCCGCGCTGGATTCCTAAGGTCAGTTCTCCCTCTCTGAGCTCTTCTTATTACGCTGTGTGAGCATGGTAGGCTAACTCTCATTCGTATGGCCTTGTAGCACCAAGTGACAGAGTTTGCATACAAGAATCACGACCGGCTATCCATCATCGATCCGAACAACCCTGCTAATGACATCGCCGGCGGATCCAGCAATGCTCGCACCATCATTTCTCACTTTGCGCATGCGCACCAGCAGCTCACGCAGCGCATGGCACAGCTCGCGCAGGACCCGAATCGGGCGGGCCAGAGCATCCTGGAAGTGATTCTGGGTGGAAACTACTCCAGCTTTGAGAAGCAGCGCAACTACCTGGAGAAGCTGGCCAAAGAGGGTTATCGACCGACGGGCCAACATAACCGGCCAGCGGAGCATGAGCAGAAGAATCGGCCAGCCGGTAGCCACAACAGGCCAGCGAGGAGCCAGGCCGCGCACCCCCAGCGCCCCTCTCAACAAGGGAGGAACGGCGGCGGGGGGTCTCGAAAACGGAGATGAGGCTCCGTGTCTCCTCGCCTGGTCTTCTCTCACCCTACATCACCACGAGTCTACGAGTTTCGATGAACAACCGCATAACGGGATATTGACGGCGTCTTTGCACGGCGGACGGATCAATAGACGGAGTCGGAACGGCGGCCTGGAGTGCTTTTTTTTCTTTTTTCTTTTTCTCTTGAGGCCGTGGATGCATTGCGATACCCCTACCATGTCTGGCCCGGTTCCCTCCTGCATTTTCACCTGCCGCGTTTTCTAGGGGCTATTTTATGGTCCAGGGAACGTGACAGAAGCTGGAAAGCATTGCCGAAGAGGCCCTTTCCTGCTTCTTTTTCGCTACTCCTTGTTGGGCATACCTACTCTGTTCTTGTAGTCTAGAGCGGTGGCGGTCAGCTCGACGACGCTTGATGTCTGACGTTGTCAGCCTTCCGCAACCTACCACGTCTATTCCCACCAGGCATCTTCCTTCTGCGCGAGGACGAGCCTCGTTACATAGGCCAAGTTGGCTGCTCAATCGACGGCACTTGTTTCATTTTTTTCTTTTCCAGGCTTGTGAACTGACATTAGCAGGCGAGCTTCAGTATGGATTTTCACCGGCCAGGCGACATTTCGGCCTTCCTGTTACGAGTGGAAGACCGGACGCTGGAGACTACTGACTGTTCACAGGCATCGATGGGCTAGCTACACATGCTCGATCTCGACTGTTCGCACCAGAGTGGATGGCACCTAAGTCCTACTTCGCTGAGATGTTTGGGTTTGCATCTCGACGATGCAGACTCAGGGGATGCATTCCTGTCAATGTCGAGCATGGTAGCCAAACCTTGCTTTTTCCTCTGTTCTCCCCTCATTTTCTCACTGCATGCTGGGCATTTGTGTTCGGCTGCGGAGGGGATCTGGCATCGTCTGATGAGACAAGAAAGCAAAAGTTCCATCATGGATCTGGGCTTTGTTGGCGATCCATCGGCGCAAAAGGTCCCGAAACAAACAGCAGGCGCCTCGGGGCTTCCTTGGCGCGGAATCGTCTATCGCCATGGCGGGGAGGATGGCTTGGCGCCCCGCTACAGCCATTAGAGGGATGAGCATGAACATCTCCCGTGCCCGTCTTGGCTGGGTTTTGTTGCGTCTAGCAGGTAGGCCTTGAACGGCGTTCCTTCGGCCGCACTTGGCAGCGAGGTGCATGACAGGATGATTTTTTGGTTTCGGACCGAAGAAGCATACGAACACCACAGCATATTGCCGCTATTAGCCTTGTCTTGATACCTTCGGGTTTCTTTGTTGCGGGGAAGCTCTAGACTAGACATTGAGGGAAGGGAGCTGAACTGGAAACAGCCGGGCATGTGTTGCCTGCCCTCTGAAGCCGCATTTCGTCCCACCGTCGAGAAAACATATCAGGTTCTCACCGCACATCTGGAAGGGCCAGTTTGTTCTATAATCGGGACCATGTCTCAGTCCCCTGTGCGGCTGACAAACAGCATGGCATCTGCAGTGCGTCGGAGGTCAAGCAAGTTTCCGGTTCGGTCCGGGTTTTCTGTTCCACAACATGGCTTCTTCGAAAACGACGGCTGATGTACTCATGAGAGTGGAATCGAGCATGGCGGTCAAGCCCTCCAACAACAGTCCGAGTAACCAGCTTGCCCGGGGGAGGCCTAAAAGGAGCAGCTTCCGCAATGGACGGTGTCTTATTCCATCCAACACACCACCTGACCGTTGGATCTGCTATTCAAGCAGGTGCTCGGCCCCGGGGGGGTTTGGGTGGGGGAAGGGGGCGGTAGGCCAGGCAAGCAAAGCCGGCATACGTCCTAGCTTCCGCCTCCCGATCAGGAGACGCCACTTGCAGGGTGTTCCTGGAGATGCTTAACACCGACATGAACCCGATGGCGTTGAAATTGCGTGTGCCAAGAATCTCAGAGCGCACCAGCCCAAAGCGGCGGGCAAAACTCCGGAGAACCTGCTCGAGGACATTCTCTGGGCTTTCAAACACTCTGTGATAAGTGGAGATTGAGAAGGAGGCCCGTCCTTCTATGCAGTAGGATGCTCACATGCAATAGGTATTTTACGGTCAGACCCTCGATGTGTCGACCGGACAAAGTCACGCAGCGGGAACCGGCGCGCCTTGTCTCATGATAGCTACGGAGTGCCTGCATCAGCGGAGGGAGATCTGCTTCAGTAGAGGTGTCGATGGAACGGTACCCATACTGTATCTTAAGCAATGACGGCGTCAAAACCTCCAGATTCCTCGTTAGGTCCCGGGAGTTTCTCCTGGTGCTACGTTCCTCTTGGGAGAAGTCTGCCTGTGGTTAAGCTCAAACGGTCGCGCCGGAAGCTGTTTGGTGATCACGATCCCCAACGATCAAAGTCTGCCCAATATGTACTCCATAGGGGTTTATCGAGCAAGGTCCCTCGGCATGGCCCTGACCGTCATGACACAGTATTAACTCCTCTCCATGCGAAGGCTCGAAGCAGTGTGACCGCTGGCCGTGCAACCCCGCATAGTCTACCTCCGTGTCGGGAAAATAATGGCCAAGCTACCCTTGCCCGTCTCAAGTCCTCCCGAGTCCTCTGGAATCCACCTCCGGGGATGGCTTGGGACGGGGAAATCACCTGTTGCAGTGGGCTGGCTTGTAGGAGACGTTCAAAGACCCCGCGAAGTTGATGAGAAGCTTTTATCAATGGCAATCTTCCTCCCCCCTCATCGCTTGCGTTTTCCATCCCATGCCTCAATCTCTTGCTGCCTATGTTGGTTTCTCCCAGTATTTGGTTCCCGAAGCACCAACAAACATCATCTTAGCTTCGCGCGAGCAGTAGCGCTGCCCTCGGCCATTGATTTTTGTCTTCTCGTCTCGACAAAAACGCCGACATCTCATATCGATCATCATTAATCATTCTTCACCATGTATCAGGCCAGCAATGTCTATTTCATATGTGGCTTCGCCGCCATCGGTGAGTCCCCAAGCACCATGAATTCGCGAACACTATTCGTGTCAACTAACACACCCGCAACAGGCGGCGGCCTCTTCGGCTTCGACATCAGCTCCATGTCGGGCGTCCTCGGCACGCAGGCCTACAAGCGCTACTTTAATGAACCCAAGTCGTACGCGCAGGGCGGCATCACGGCCGCCATGCCCGCGGGCAGTCTGGTCGGCTCGCTCATGTCGTCCTTCATCGCCGACAAGTACTCGCGCAAGGTCGCCCTGCAATTCTCGTGCGGCCTGTGGATCGCCGGCTCCATCCTGATGGCGGCCGCGCAGAACGTCGCCATGCTCTGCGTGGGCAGAGTCATTTGCGGCCTGTGTGTTGGCATCGCCTCGTCCATTGTGCCCGTCTATCAGTCCGAGATCGCGCCCAAGGAGATCAGAGGACGCGTGGTTTCGCTCCAGCAGTGGGCTATCACTTGGGGAATTTTGATGTATTTCACCCTTCCCCATTGTACATCCATTCATTTTCCTAAAGCAGGATGATGACACCCTTCGTAGTCAGTATTTCATCCAGTTCGGCGCCGCCTCGGGCATCGGCGGCGGACCCCATGACCCTTACCAACCGACAGCAGCCTTCCGCATCCCCTGGGCTGTCCAGATGGTCCCGGCCATCATCCTGCTGGTCGGCCTGTTCTTCTTCCCATACACCCCGAGATGGCTCGCCTCCAAGGACAGATGGGAGGAGGCCCACCAGGTGCTCGCCAACCTGCATGGCAAGGGGAACATGAACCATCCCAAGGTGCTTGCGCAGTACCGCGAGATCGAGGAGGCCCTGCGCTTCGAGCGGGAGCAGGCCAAATCGTCCTTCAAGACCCTGGTCCAGCCGCGCATCTTCAAGCGTGTCTTGCTCGGCATGAGTATCCAAATGTGAGTTTCCTTCTCCCTGCATGGGTTTAAAAGTGCGAAGGCTGACTCAAACTCTTTTCCCTCAGGTGGTCGCAACTCAGCGGGATGAACATCATGATGTAGGCCTGACTTGTCAACACCTGAATCTCGTGACTGACTGACTGACTGACTGATGCCGACAGGTACTACATCGTCTACATCATGGAAGGCGCCCAGATTGCTTCCCCTCTCGCCACCGCGTCAATTCAATACGTGATTAACGTGGCTTTGACGCTCCCCGCCATCATCTTCCTTGACAAATGGGGCCGCCGACCCTCCCTGATCCTGGGTGCCTTTGGCATGATGACCTGGCTGTTCATCTCCGGTGAGCCTCACTCAGCGACCACCCCCAATCCCCATACCCCTTTCCAAATTGCCTCCCTAATCCCTTCCGCCCAGGCGCACTCCAGCAGTACTACGGCCAGCCCAACACAGCCGAAACTCGCACCCCTCAGAACGGCGACATCACCTGGATCGTGCACAACAACCGGCCCGTCTCGTCGGCCATCGTATCGTGCTCGTACCTCTTCGTTGCCACCTTCGCCACGACCTGGGGTCCTGTGTCGTGGACCTACCCGGCCGAAATCTTCCCGAGCAAGGTGCGCGCCAAGGCCGTCTCGCTGTCGACGGCGGCCAACTGGTTCTGGAACATGGTGCTGGCCTTCGCCGTCCCGCCGCTGCTGTGGAACATCTCGTACAAGATGTACTACATCTTTGGCGCCTTCAACGCGGCCGCCTTTGTGCACATGACGCTGTGCGCGCCCGAGACGAAAGGGTTTACTCTGGAGGAGATGGACGACGTGTTTGACTCGGGGCGGCCGGCGTGGAAAAAGCATGAGAAGAAGAGCAGGCTAGATCAGCTTGAGAGGGAGATTGAGGCGGGGAATTTGAAGGTGTGTTATAAGCAACTTGAAAGAGCCCACTTGCTACTAGGAGCTTTTCCTGTTCTTTTGGCTTTTGTTGCTGACAGCTTTTCCAGGTTGGCGTTCCAGCGGATGCGCCTGCTGCGACTGTGGGCGAAACTTCCGTTCATGACTCTGCAGGGTCAGAGAAGAATGGGGTCACGCATGCTGAGATAGCCAACTGAGCTTATTGCACAAGCTCACCTTGGGTTTTCGTGGTGGTATGCAGGGAGAAACGGCAGTACAAATGTCAGGTCTGTATGGGATGGAGGAAATGGAAGGTGGAAGCCGGCTCAGAGGCTGGTGGTTTGACCAGACAGACACATGCGCATTGGAGGATCCAAAGCAGGGACCTCGACAACACGTTTGTGGGTAAGAGCTCACGACAGTCTGTCTAGAGGTAGGTGTCAATGGCATTGTGGTAGTCACAAGGTAAGACATATGACAATGGAGTACGGACTAGCAAACCGTTTGTAGTCGTATCACACTCGTCAGCCGTAGCCTGTCGGAATCCTGTGTTGAATCACCAACTCTGCATAGTGCCAGCCACACGCTCTACTTGCGTTTAGCTTCGGTACCTGTTGTACAGATTGAGTAATAGTACTATTGTGACGAATCTCGAAGCCTCAACTTCTGAAAGGGACTCCAGAAGGTTATCACTTGACATCGGGGTGAGGTTCGATAAAGCTAAAAGGTTCACAACAAGCAATGTCCAAAGGTACCGACAATCTTGCACTTGAATTGCTTACTAGAGGACTCCCAGAGTCCTTAAGAACGAGTGACTATACACTATATACATTTGAGGATACATTTGGTTGCTCTCTTTTACTCTCTAGAGCCACCTAGAGCAAGTGCTCTACGGTATTCCCGACAGCCTCTTGGAGAGTCCTCTGATAGGCCTTCTATTAGTGCTCTCTCAATACTCCTGAGAGCTCTCTAGAGCACCTCTATAGCTCCTTCCGATTGGTCCTACTGTACTTAATCCTATAGAACAACTACTACAAGCTTATAAAGGGCTAACCAAGGTAAAGAGCTCGCTGGTAACACAAGCTTGCACAGGAGCAATTAGCTAAAAGACTTCCTCTTTAAAAGGTGTCAGGACCCGAGGTCCCTTTGGGAGTTGATGTCAGAGTGAAGAGGTGCGAGCAATGGGCGACAGCACTGAGAAGCGTGGTAGCGGTTTGTGAGCAACCAGTCGATTGAGAACCACACTGAACTCTGACCCCCTCTTCCACCTGATTCCCCTCCTCCCCCCCTCTTTATCTTCCGCCCTGAAATCGCAGCCTTCCTCCTGAAACCTTCCCGCGCACTGAAACATGTCAGGCTAATTGCTCGCACGCTGTTCTTACATCGCTGAGACACAGTTGAGACATCCCCTAGCTCTGCTGCCCTGCTCCCACCCCACGGGCCCACTTGACGGCAGCGCTGGAGATGGAAGTCGCCAAGTCTAAGCCATTCCTGGTCCTGACAAAAGGCGGGTCTCTAGAGTGCCTATACCGCTCTACCGCTGCGGGAGAGCCCCGGAGACGGTGGTCCAACTGGTGCTTAGATGCCAAGACTAAGAGCTCAAGGACGAGAGACTCTAGCTCAGAGATAGGTACGACCTAATAAGAGCGCTTAGAAACTACTCCAACGTAGCGCGATAGTCACCTAGCTTATAAGTCTTAGGAGACTAGCTGAGTATAGAATCTCGATAGAGCTGGAGCGTAAGGGAGCAGTGGAAGACCCTAAGGAAGGCGAAGGGACTGGGAGCTCAGATGGGGCCAAGAAGGAGAAAAAGAGGAAGAGACGCACCGGGCTCTAACGCCACGCTGGAGCCGCAAGCGCGTAGCGCGAGTTGTGCAGCTAAGTGACGAACACGGCGGGATGGTCGCCCATAGCGTCGTCGTCACCAAGCCGGAAAGGTAGGTTCCGGACTGCTAGATGGGAGGGACTGCTAGGAGCGCCGGAGCTGCAACTAAGCCGCGCGGACGTAGCACAAGAGCGGATGCCTTGCATGTAAAATAACGTAGAGGGACCGCTTGCCCTAACTGGGCGGGGCGATTGCCCTTGCGGTGTAAGATCAATAACGTGTTTGATAAGCGAGCGCCGCGGATAAGCGAGCGCCGCACTTTTACCTACCCTATAACAACTATCCTCAATTGCAACACACCAACACTAGGGACCAACTATAATGACATCAACAACAGCTGAATCAGACGGTTCTCCAGCCTCCTGGCAAGTGCGTGCGTTATGGCCAGGCTTGCCGCAGACACCACAGCACCGAACCTTCGTGCGACCCCCACCTACACCACTCCCTTCCGGCTGTGTTTCTTGCAATGCCTCCCCGCCCACAGTCTTCTGGTTCAGCAAATCCTGTGCATCTTGTACGGGAAGTGATCCTCCAAGCTGCACACGTGTTTTTTTAGCTCTCCGGCGCTTGCTTAGTGCCTCATTGGCATTGCGGAGCGAAGAGACCTCTGACCGAAGGAGAGCCACCTCGTGCATTACAGCCATTGTACCCTTAGTAAGCTGGTCCACAGCAGCCAACATCGAAGTCGGGGAGCTATTTTGATGATTGGCAATGCGAGTCTTGATGAGCGTTGACTGCGAGTTGGCTTCTCGGGGGTTGTGTGGCGTCTGGAACACCAAAGGTTGTGGGGTGCTGGCTCGCGAGGTCAAGGGTGTTGTTGGCGTACGAAGCCTCACATCCAGCTTAGAAAGCACCCTCTCTGGATCATATGGCACTAGGCCAGCCCCTGCAAAGCCACCCTGTATGTTCTTCTCCGTTATGGAGGCAAAGAAGGCCTCGCGGAAGGCACAGAGGAATTCGAGCTTGCTCACGTGGTTGATATGCGCGCACATCAAGTCCTCAATCTGGCGACCGTACGCCTGCTTCAGTGGCCCAAAGCAGCCAACATCGAGTGGCTGGAGCTTGTGGGAGGAGTGCGGAGGCATGCAGAGCGTGATGATGTTGTTCTGCCGGCAGTAGAGCTCGAATTCGGTCGAGTGATGGCTTTCTTGGCCGTCGAGGATCAGTAACCGGTATATGCCCTTTGTCCGGGACGCCGTATGGCGATCGAAGTGCTTGATCCAGTCGAGGCCTACTGCATTGGTGGTCCAGCCATTGTCGGTGGTTGCGATGTGCCAGTCGGCCGGGAGGCTGCACTCGGTGTACCAGTTGGCGAGGTGATACTGAGCGGCCAAGATGATGAACGGCGGGATGGCCCAGCCGAAAGCATTGACTCCCTGGATCACCGTTGCCCATTCGCGTTTGCCAGGCTGAGCCAGTTTCGCCTTACTCAGGCCGTCCGAGGTCGTGACCACCATACCCGCGAAGATGATGCCCATGATGAACCCGGTCTCATCGAAGTTGTAGATATCATCCTCTACAATGCCGTACTTGGCTATGGTATTCCGTACAAGCGCAAACTACTCGCCAATGACCTTTGGATCCTCGCATTTAGCCCTCTGGTAGTCGTACCGACGCGTATGACGCGTACAGAGCTCTGGCTGGCGTTTGACGAAGTTGTGTGCCCAGCGTTTGCCGACAGGAGGCGCGTCGCGTTCGCGGAGCAGTTGGTTGGCCATATCCTCCACACCACGCAACCTCGGCGGAAATCCTCGTACATCCAGCTCGATGACATATTGAACAATAGCCTCCTCTTCCAATTGCGTAAGCTTCCTCGATTTGGGCACAGTATCGCGTTGTGCAGGTTTCCCGGCGAGTCAACGACGGAGGGTTCGGTCGGCAATGTTGTATATCTTTGCTGCAGCTCTTATACTTAGTTTTGGGTTGTTCCGAATAGCTTCAATAGCCAAGATTACCCTGGCTTCCTTTAAAGTAGGAGGCATGTTGGGTTGATGAGAAAATTGGTGTTGAGTGTAGATATAACGCGTCGCGTAGAAAAGTGCGGCGCTCGCTTATCAAACACGTTATATATATATATCTTGCCCTCTTGTTCCCTTATATAACCTAGTCCTTTGTATAAGTCCATTGTTCCTACTTTACATTCCTTCTTCCTTGCATTCCTCATTTTCTTTTCTTTTCGTCCTACGTTCCACGCTGATGAACAAACCAGGGTTGGACTGTATACGCAACTATCAAACTGCCTCATGCCTCTCATGCCCCAATAAAGCCGTCCGTCCCCTATTCCTTGCAGCAAACGATCTAACCCTGGTGTACATATGAATAAGGACTTGCATTGGGGTTGTGTTTCCCGGAATGATGCAGCGACGTTAGTTGCGACGTTAAACCCAAGGCAAAGTACGCGCAAATGCTTGTATCCTATTGGGGCGGGTCAAGCTCTGCTTTGGCAACCATCTGCCTGCCTACCTCGGCACGTCCTAGGCGATCAAATACGACCGTGGCAGACTCGACTGTAACCGTCCACCAATCCGTCCCAGATCTTTACCATAACAGTACAGCTCATGATTGGAGCGCCTAGCCGGGCTTCTACACAAACAGAGCAACGGAAAGCCATTTTCGAGAAGGCCCAGGGTTCAAGAGCTATAAAGTTCATCATCGACGGCCTTTCCTGGCGTGTTCGCAACCTCAACTTGTGCCTCCTTAAGGCTTTCGCTGACAGAACTACCTTCGAGATGAAATCAAGGCTAAACCTATTGTTCCTGATCCTGGGCCAACTGCATGTTACCAGGGCCTTAAACAATGGCATTGGATTGAAGCCACATTTGGGATGGAGCAGTTGGGTGAGTTGAAGACACCTCGATGAGTGAACGGCTAATCTAACTATCACGCAGAATGTAGCACAATGCGAAGCTGCATCAGAGAAATACGCCCTCGACGCAGCAGCCAAGTTCATCTCGCTCGGTCTCAGAGACCTTGGCTATGAGTGTAAGCTGCGTTTTAACTTGGGTTTTCCAGTCTCAACCGCTCACATTGCGTTTCAGACATCAACATCGATGACTGCTGGTCGACCAAGAGCCGAGATAGCAGCGGAAAGCTCGTCCCAGACCCCTCCAAGTGGCCCAATGGCATCAAGGCCGTAGTGGACAAGATCCACGGCATGGGACTGAAGTTTGGCCTGTATGGCTGCGCCGGCCAGTGGACGTGCGCGGGATACCCTGCGAGCGAGGGACGTGAGGTGTCAGACGTGGCCCAGCTCGTCAGCTGGGGAGTCGACTTCTGGTTAGGATTTTGTCCACCGTGCCTGCGTTCTTCCGAGTCTGTCTCCTACTTACTACAGTCAGGAAATACGACAACTGCTACACCCCTTGCAACCAAAACCCGCGCCCACAAACCTGCACCAGCCCCGCAGGAAACACCAAGACGTGGTATGCTCCTATGCGAGATGCCATCCTCGGCGTACAGAACATGCGAAAGATCCACTTCAACCTCTGCAACTGGGGGCGTGATGAAGTTTGGACCTGGGCAGCCCAGTAAGAATCTCTTTCGAGTTATCTGTGGACTTCTTATACCCCTTTATGGCTGTCTCGGGAGCCAGCTGATCTACTCCCGAGATCGCGCATTTCCTCCTGAACGGAACCCTCCCGACACCTGGAAGAGGAAGTACATAGCTGACATTGTTGGTGCGTCAGGTATGGCCATTCATGGAGGTATACCTTATCCACCCCCTTAGCCCCAACTACCTTGACCACCGGTAGCCAAATACATTAAATACACTACAGCCTTCAACTAACAACCCAACCCCCGCTAAAGGATGAGCGTCGATAACTGGGGCGACTGGGCCAGCGTCGAGCGCATCGGCAGCGCCGCGGCCGCCATCTCGCAGTACAGCGGACCCGGGGGCTTCAACGACCTCGACATGCTGTATCTCGGCTCGCCCAAGCTCAACACCAACCAAGAGAGACTGCACTTCGGTCTTTGGGCCATCGCCAAGTCGCCGCTAGTGCTGGGCCTCAACCTCGCCACCATCTCCAACGCGACGCTCGACATCATCCGGAACAAGGGCATCATCAGCATCAACCAGGACGCTTTGGGCAAGGCGGCGACGACGTTCCGTCCGCCGGGGGCGCCGGCGCCGGTGAGCGGCAAGATTTACCCGTACTGGGTTGGCCCGCTGACCGATGGCGTTGTGATTGGACTTTGTGCGGGCACTGCTGGCGGCAGGTATAGCGTTGAGTTCAAGGACGTGCCGGGTCTGGGCGGTGCGGGACCGTATGCCTGGAAGGAAATGTACACTGGCCAGGCCGGCCGGGGTTCGCGTGTGGCGTTTGATATTGCGCTGCATGACATGCGTGTTATCAAAGTCACCAACGTGTAGCTACAGTACCTAAGGTTCATGTTCCTAGCCAAGCACAACGGAAGTCTCTAGGGGCTTCAAGGAAATCCAGTCCTCGATACAACAATCCCACGGCATCGTTACCACTGAAACATGACCAAGCCGGCGCGCAATCTTTTGTTTGGTGTCGCAGCACTCGCAGGCTCGAGCATAACCCCATGTAACCGGAACAAAGTTCAGAAGAGCATTTGTCTTCACCTCCGCGCACTTGCGACTCTTCTTCCCCAAAAAATCTCGAAAATCAGATTCATCGGATTTCTCAGGCTGGTCCTCTTTTTCCTCGGTATGTTCAGGGTTGTCGACGTCGTTGGGGGGGAACGAATGTTTCCTTCTCCAGGTCACAGTGGTACGAACAGCAATGGAGTCGACACTGAGCTCGTCAGGCTGCCTAAACCGCCACTCATTCACAGCCGAGATTGACTGGAGGATTTTGGTCCCTTCGGCACCCGTGTGTTTGAAGAATGTGCCGGCATGTCTTTCGTCGACCTTTCCATCGCCTGCTTTCTCTCTCCCTGATGGATCGGGGGTATCCTGCTCAGACGTTCCAATCCGAAACGAATGGCAATTTGTCAGAAAGTGGAGATAAAAGCGCCCATGAGGCGGATTGCTTGGAACCCGCCGGTCGTGTCCTAACAGGTTGTGGTAGTAGTCCTGAACCTGCGCTTCTGGCAGGGCCTGTCCAACGGTGTCAACGTACATCAGGGAGTAAGACTCGTCGGGAGTAATGCTCGTCGGGAGTGACGCCTCAGTCTCGGAGCAATGCGGCTCCCAGGACTTTCCATGAAGGGGTTTGGACAGCACGGCTTTTACATACCAGAGGCCCAACTTGGATGTCCTGAGCTTCCCGGAGCTTCTGGAAGCGGTCATTTGTTCCATCAAGTACGGTTCCGAACTGTGACCAACCATGACCACGACTCTACGGCACCTCTTTGGGTGGAAATCGTGGTGGAAGCGAATGTTGCCTTCCCAGCCGGCCCATGACCTACTGGGGAACCCCGTACGGCGGCACATGGGGGAGCCTGCGGGGTACCAGCCAAATGCATAATCGAAAATTCGGCTGGGGATGCCGTACTCGGCGAGTCCAAGTTTGTCGGAAAAAGCTGTTATCAAGGCCGAGAGGGCAGTCAATGCATCGTTTGCACCAGAAAGCAGGCGCTCGGAATAGTGCGAGACAAGGTAGAGAAATCCATCGGCTGGAGTTGGGAGTAACTCCATCGCTGGTGGATCGTAGTCCCAGTCGAATGATTGCGTGGGTATGGAGACGCGGGAGTAATCATGAATATCGTCCTTGTCGTGCTCGAAACCGTATATTCGAAGAAGAAATGTCCCGCCGCGCTTGCCATGAAGACCTGGTGATCGGTGAAAGTACTAGAGCCTGCGCGAACGTAGCCGCTCCTGCAAGGTCCAACCGGGCGTGTTCCACTTCGAATGCTGGATTGTACCTGCAAATGGCGGTCGGTGTGTCAGAAGAACTTCTCATGCTGAACAACCACTTGCTCTTGACGGATCTCCCTCAATCCAGGGAGAAGTCCTCGGACCGGGGTTCGGACCGACGCTTCTGGATCTGCCGGGGCCTGGACAATGGTGAGAGCAGCAAACTGGTATATTCGGTTCATCTGAGCAACTTGCAGTGCCAAGTCCTCTTCGTCGTCCTGGCGGATACAAAGGGCATCCACCCAGAGATAACGGTAGTCGATCAGTTTGCATAGCCTCAGACCGTCCGTGATGGTTCTGCCGAGTTGTGGGTGTTCAGGGGCGATGGCGCCTGGTTTCTCAAGCTGTTCTTCGGTCGGCTTCGTGAGAGTTATGACCTGGGGCCCTCCCCAAACATAACTCAAGGCGGCATACCCACACGCCGTAGTTGTGATCAGCCGTCCTTCTTCGACATCAATTAGCCCAACTCTGACGTAGTCATCAACTCCACTTGTTGGGAGGATGGCCGAGTCGGATGCGCAGCCACTTGATCAGCATTTCGGCATCGATCTGCTCGCTCATATGGCGACCGTTGAGAAGCTGGAGCTTAGGGGAACGGTCTGAATGCCAGGCGAAGGGTTCTGTAGACTCGAAGCAGAGCTGGATGTTGTGCGTCATGTTGACTCGCTGCTCTATGTATTCGGGTCGGAAGCCGCGGGCCTTCGGGCGGAGGTAAAAGTAGATCTCGTTTTCCCGTGAATATCGGAGAGAATGTTGTGCTGTTCGTCCCAATTGTAATCCCACCAGAAGTATCTGACACCTTTGGTCCTTTTCACTGTTGTCAGGCTGCCAGAACGCACCGGATAATCGCTTCGTACCAGCATTTCTACATCGCCAGGGCAGACAGGAGTGCCAGGTTCAAGGTTCAAGGCCATCAGTGTCAGCCGGCAGAAGTTGCACGAGGTCGACCATTCCTTCACGTGGGCCAGCGTTCGAGTGGAAAAGTGGTGTCCCGAATCGCCCACCAGTTGGAAAAACAGCTTCTTGATTCCGCTTCCTGCACACAGGGCAGAGCGCTTCATGGTCGACGTGGTGTTTTACCAGTTCTGCAACGCCCAGAACCTCGAAGTCACTAAGCCCGTCGCTGACTTCTGAGCCTCCGGGCTCCGAGTTGACTGATCCGGCTGACTGTGAGCCGGAGTCGCCCACCATCGCGTAGAAACGTAGTTGCGATTAGGTGGCAGCTTAGGTTAAGAACCTGAAGTACACTAACGATTTTCTAACAGTTTTGCACAGCCGCTGTTCTACCAAAATTTATTAGCATTGCACAGTCACTTATATTGCGCACTCACTCATATTGCACACTCACTTATAAAGTACGTTAAATGGAAAAATGGAATTGAAGGAAGCGGCCTGGAAGAAGGAAGATAAGAAGAAAGACCAGAAAGATAGCGACTGATTGAAAGTAAAAGAAAAGGGCAGAGAAGACAATACAAAGAGAAAGGTGAAAACGAAGATGGAAGACGTATGATGAGACAGTGGAAGTTAACGAAGAAATATAAATACCGTATTATGTATGTAGTGTCGCGCTAACAAACAAGCATACAGCCACTTCTGCGTCCCGGGCATTGTGTTGAAACAAAGCCACCTTCAAAGTTGACCTGCTTCTGATGAAATGGACAAAGCCGTGCACAACAAGCCTTTCACTCGCCTTCGGGACTATTGAACCGAGTCATGGCTAGGAAGCTTAAGTGAACATCAGTCCGAGTCAATTAGTGACTTGTTCGCCGCTTTGTCCTTCTGGCATGTGGAGAGAAGCGTGAAGGGGAACTGGTTGAATCTTGTTGTTTATTGTCCAACTGCGGTATTAATAACTAAAGTTCAACCCTGTTTGTTTGTTAGCACGGAACCTAGGTATCTTCACTCCTCCTTTCATTTGGGCCAACCTTCTTAGATTTCCTTTCTTTTTGACTTCCTCTTCCTCTCTATTCTTGTCTCTTTCTTCCTCTTCCGTCGACTCGTACTTCTAATCTTCATCTAACGTTACTATGCTTGTCGTCTTATCTTATTTTCAATGATTCCAATTTCTCTATTTCATGTCTGGTGCATGCTTGCCTTGTGCCACCCGACGCTATCGACAAACCAAGGCTGGACTGTACAAGCCTTCCATCTCAAAGAAAATAATCCCTTCATCCTTTGGTTTAGCAACACCACTCGAGCGCAGTCAAGGACAACCAACAAATCTCCACGTAAGCTCTATGGTATCACCACGACCGCCCTCCACCCAAACCAGCTTCGGCTTGTCTCCAGGGACGAGATCAAAGCCGTTGTCACTCAGATTGAGCCCTTGTCGCTCAGCAAACACAAACCCCTTCACCGGCTTGGCGGCTGAGACTTCGACAAGCCCCTGGTCAACATGTTTCACGACTAGCCCCCTGTCTGACGACAAGTCAAGATATTTGATGGGATCCGGCCATGACGTGTCGCTGCTCGCTAGCACACCATCCACCCACAGAGTTGCGTGGATAACAAACGGCTCAGGTTGAGCCACCGAAACTTTATCCCAGTCAAACTTGCGCCCCGTTAAGACCTCGACGCAGCCATTTGGCGGGACAAGAACCTCCTCCTGCATCCTCTCGCCGACCTCCTCCCCCGTCTTGACCGATACGAACCTCACCATCACATCCCCCCTGACCGCCTCGGCCCTCGAACTGACCACCCAGACATCAAACCGAACGTCAGTCAGCGCCCGTCTCGGGTCAACATGCCCCGTGTTCCGCCGCCAGAGCTCGTCGGCCGGCCTCGCCGTCCAGTCGTGGAACGTGCGTGCCACGCCGACCGCGAGCGGCGCCATGGCCCGCTGGATGGCGTAGTACGCCGGCTTCTTGACCAGGTAGTAGTCTACCACGGCCCACGACACGGCCGGCCAGCAGTCATTCAGCTGCCATACCAAGACCCCGCCACATCTCCTCTCTCCTCCCTTCCGCCGGCCCCACTGCCTCCGCCACGACTTGTAGCCCGCGCCGAGGGCGTCCGCCTGCAGCACCTGCGTCAGGTGCGCAAACGCGGTCAGGTTTCGCGCCCACTCCACCCGAAAATTCTCCCCGATGTACGCGAGCAGCCGGCGCTCGTGCATGACAGCCTTGTTGTGGAAGTCCAGCGTCCTGCTGCCGGCGTACCGCTCGGCCGGGTCCGTGACAAAGCGCTGGATGGTGTCGACGTGCGGATAGGCGACCATACCGAACTCGCTGACGAACCGCCCGCCCATCTGCGGGAGAAGCTGCCAGGGCTTGGCCTCGCCGTTCCACAGGTCCCACTGGTGGATGTCGCCGACCGTGGGGTCGACGTTGAGCGTCGTGCTGCTGCCGTTGCCCCAGGGGCTGCCAGGGTGGTAGATTGTATGAGTGGAAGGGGACTCCTCGCGGAGGATCGTCGGCAGCAAATGCTCGTAGATGTAGCGGGCGGGGAAGGTGGAATTGAGCCACGACTGCGGGTTCTTGTCCGAGGCGAAGTTGTACTCGAGGTCGTAGCGCTCGATGAGCTGGTAGTCTTCATTGTTACCGCACCAGAGGACGACCGAGGGATGGTGGCGGAGGCGGCGGATGTTCTGGCGGGCTTCGACCTCGACCGAGGCGAGGAACTCGGGGTAGGTGGGATACGAGGCGCAGGCGAACATGAAATCCTGCCAGACGAGGATGCCGAGTTCGTCGCAGGCTGTGTAGAAGGCATCTTCTTCGTAGACGCCGCCGCCCCAAACCCGGATCATGTTTTGGTTGCCCTCGGCGAGAATCTCGATCCACTGCCGGTAGCGGTCAGGGGTGACTCGGGGGAAGAAACTGTCGGCTGGGATCCAGCAGGAACCGCCGGCAAAGATGTCCTCTCCGTTGACGCGGAAGTAGAAAGACTGACCATACTGGTCGTTCTCCTGAATCAGCTCGACCTTGCGGAACCCAATCTTCTGATACTCTTCCACCAAAACCGTTGATCCATCGCCAGCAATGCTTCGCAGCTGCAAGTCACAGAACGTCTGCGTGCCGTACCCGCGCGGCCACCACAGCTGTGGATTCCCCCATTTCACCCGGTCCGATGAGTATCGCCACGGCGAGACACCATCGGGGTTCGTTTTTCGGTCCCTCAGAAGCACAACTGGTTTTGCTCCGTATGGTGATCCTGGAACGGCGAGCTCGACCTCAATCTCTGCCGCGGGTCCTATGACTCGGGCATGGACGATAGCTTCCAGCATGGTCGCGAACCCGTCATCGTCAGTATGAACCTCGTAGTCCACGCGGATGTCTTCGATCCTGCTAACGTAGGTCTCCAATCTCACAGGCTTCCACGGCCCGCATGTCAAGAGGATTGGACCCCAGTCCCAGCCCCAATGATACTGTGCCTTCCGCACCGGGCCCCTGCTGACCTCGGTCTGATGCACAATGAAGTCGTGTTCCGAGTGCGCTTTGACAAGGTCCAGCCCACGGCGGCGTGCAGGCTCAAACTCGATCTCCAAATTGTTCTCTGTGATGTCGTCGGCCAGAATGTCCGTGATGCTGATGCGGTGCTCAACGAACATGTTGTCTGACTTCAAGATGTCTTTGCCGTTGAGCGTCACCTGGGCAAAAGTATCCAACCCTTCAAAGACAAGGTCGATCTGAATTCCCTGAGTTCGTACCTCGCTCGGCGTCTTGAAGGTCGTCCGGTAGTACCACGTCCGTTCGGCTACCCATCGACTTTCCAGTTCGTTACTGTTTAAAAAGGGGTCCGAGATTAGGCCGTGATGCATGAGCTCGGTGTGAACGTGGCTGGGAATCTGAGAGACCGAGAGCCATTTCTGATCCGTTTCGCATTTGAATTCCCATCCGGAAGAAAGATACTGCACGGTGTAACCTGCCATGCTGCGTTTACTGTCGTTCTTCGGTAAGGGTTTGATCGGCATGAAAGAGAAACTCCGAAGTGCTGATAGACCGTAAACTTGTCCTCCACATGACCTCCTCAGTTGTTGTCCGGTCCTCCGCAATGAACTACCAATCATATTGAATACGGATCCGTACAGTAGTTCGAGCCAGTCAAGTGCGGTAGGGCTAACCTGCAGTGATTCTGCAACTCCACCTTTTGATGCCCGTAACCGGGTGACAAAAATAAGCCACAACCATAACGAGGGACACGTACTAGATACCTCGACCTCCTAGCATTTTGTACACAAAAACAGGTCATCTAATGGCCTGTTAATGTGCCCTCTCTCTCAACTATATCCTGAATTAATTAATAAGCACTTTTGAGCTGGTTGTCAAAAAGAAAATCTCCTTGCGACTGGATTATTTCTAAAATATGAGTGAAGATTTTTTGCCACCCGGTTAGCCTCTTGGAGATTGTGCCACCTATTAGACCCAAGTGCTTCTGAACCGGTTATCTTTGGGCCAACTGCAATCCAACCCCAGTCTCTTCATTAGCATAGAATATATTAAGCACCTTAAGCTATAACGTATATCATAAGCGAGCCGCGCATATAAGCGACTCGCGCACTGGCTATCCCGATGCATTCTCTCTATATTCAACATCATTTTCCTCTATAACCTAACATACCGGCTACTTCAGAAGAGGGGAGGGTAATCCTAGCTCTCGAAGCTCTTTAGAATAATGAGCATTTATGCGTCAGGGTAGCAACGAAGTCCTAAGATGTTCCACAATTAACTCTCCGCGACTAACGTATTTGCTGGCCTATACGACATGACACTATGCCCAAATCGAAGAAGTTTACCTAACCAAAATGTCACGAACCAACCATATGTACAGGCCCAGTGGGCCACAAGACAGAACTGCAGGAACCGCACGAGGCCCACACGGTAGCTGTGGGGGCCGGGCGATCAAGGGTAGACTTGGGTAGCTGGCTACCCAAGGCGATCAAGGATAGCTCTGTTGGAAAGTCGTGGCACTGGAACTTCGGACGCTCAGCTGCAAGTGCCCTGCTGTTGGATGCATGGCTGCCCAACTGAGCGTCAGGCAACGTGAGGGGTAACCAGGGCGCTGGGCA